TTTCTCTCTTTATATCGGTGCATGATGAGATACACTGAACAAGGTGAAGATAAAATAATACTTAAATGTAAGTATCACATAATCTTGCAGAATTGATCCGACGCCTACGAATATAATGGAGATAGTTAGATAAAAACACGAAGGATCCACGATCAGATTCAAAATGGAAGTGATGCGGTATAATCGAGGAGCTGTACTAGTGAGATTGATAGCAAGAGATGGACACTGTTTATTTTCATCGATAGTGAACCAACTTCATCATACAGAGGTGCATTCGGAGCAACATTATGAGATGGTTTGGCAGCTCAGACGGGAAGTTGTGACTCACATCCGGAGTCACATTCAACCTGATATCCTATCTTATGGATCCTGAAATACGCACTCCTGGTAATACATTGGAAGAGAAAACTCAACTGTTCTTGCAAAGGCTCGAAACCTCAGCAGAATGGGGCGGTGAGGAAACGATTTCAGCGGTATCCATAATCTATGGAAGGAGAGTCGACGTGTACAACGAAAATGGACCAATTATAAAATTTTACGAGAATGGAACAGTCAATGGAGTTATACGCCTTGCATACCGGATTACTGCTCATACTAGAGAAAGTTGCAGCAGGAATCACTACGATAGTATTATCCAAAATCTACAATTACGAAATAATAGATCCCAAGAGGTAACAGAACAGACACCCAATGAACGAGGTTATCAGGCCCCGAACAGCGAAATCGAAATATGGCAGCATAACCCAAGGATTGATGCATCACAAATAAGTAACAGGTCATACGAACATACGACAATTAATACGACCATACGACAATTAACCCAAACCAAAAATACAGAATAGCAACATGGAACGTCAGAGGATGCTCAAATGACAGGAAACGAGACGAATTAGACATTGCTCTTAACGAACAACAGATCACATTAGCCGCTATACAAGAGTCGCGTATGCCTGGATGCACGTTCGAGACACGACATTATGTGTGGTACAATGTTAATGATGACGATAGAATTCGCCAACGAGAAGGAGGAGGGACTGCTATTGTCGTTCATAAATCTATACATAAGCCGAATAAATTCAAAAAGATAAGTTCGAACTCGTGCTCGTATCTTAGTGACTTCGCTGGAGAAAATATTATATTTATATCCACTTATGCTAGACCGGTGACCAAGGAGGATAATGGAGAATTTTCTGTGTTGATTAGATATGTTTTAGGTCTTTCAAACCACCTACAAAACAGAATCGCAATGCTCGGCGATTTCAATGCCCACCTAGGAATAGAAGACCTAACGGATAGCGATAAACGCTACATAGGACACAACCTACTACATCGGCAGTCAAATGTAAACGGACTGGAATTGAAGAATCTAATTCATTGCCTCAAACTCAAGGATTACCTCACATTCGCCAAGTCAAAATCCGTCAGAGTTACATGGAGCAACCGGAAGAGTGAATCTCAAATCGACCATATACTACTAAGCGTAATGTCCTTTTTATGCAATCCTGATATCAAAGCGTTCCTGCATCCAGCATCAATCAGCGATCATAAAATGGTGATAGGAATAATTAAACGCAAAAGAAATACAGAAAGTGTAACAATTTCACAAGAAGGTCCAGCCATTTATCCAACGAAGCGGGCTAAACTAGATCTAGGACTACTATATAATGACGAAACCATAAAGGAAAGATACCAGGTAACATTAGATAGAAACCTAGCTCGCATCCCTGGTAATGCCAGCATAAGTGAAAAATGGGAAAAGATAGCTACGGCTATGACTACAGCAGCACAATCTCACTTGAGTTGTCCCACATCTCCTATGACTCCAAGGCGTGAGAAAGCTTATAAACGGTACGATCAAATTCATCACAAACTTATTTTGGATCGGTCGAACCCAGTTTTGAAGAAAAGCTGCGCGGAAGCCAGACGCGATAAAGCAAATGCTTTTAAACAACATTTCGAAGACAAAATCAACAGGTTTCTTGAAGAAACAGAACATGATAATGGATTAGATAAAATGGTGAAAACATTCAGGTTTATCAAAGCACACAGAAGGAATAATGGAAGCAAGCGTGGGAAATTTATCCATATTAGAGACTGGGAGATGAGGCTACGAGAACAAGGAGTGGGGACAGATATTCAGCTAACTGATGAAACAGACGAGCGCTCTCCGGGACCAGACTCTACAAAGGACGAGGTGATAAGAATAATAATAGAAATGCGTAACAATTCCGCACCTGGCCTGGATGGAATAGCAGCTGAATTGCTGAAACACGGATCTGAATCAATTAGTGGAACTACTAGTCGACGTTTTTCGGAGCAACGAACTCCCGGTGTCATGGGCAACAACAATACAGATACCAATCCCAAAAATACCCAGCCCACAATCGACAAATGACTACAGGCGAATTACATTATGCTCAGTAGCATATAAACTGTATGCAAAAATATTGCTGAACAGACTAAAACAGCAACTTCCGCAGATTCCCGATTACCAGATGGCCTTCATGCGAAAAAGAAGCGCTACGGACCAGATTTTTGTTCTTCGACGGATACTGGATGAAAAATGGCGTAAAGGCAAACCCGTCATTATAGTATCTGTGGACCTTCGGCAAGCATTTGATAAAATCGATGTGTCAAAGCTTTCCCCAATATTGCGCGAAATGGGCGTGTCCGAATCATTGGTTAACAGGATTCTTAAGGCGTGTTTGAGTGAAGAGACATCCTTGCAGTGGTATGGCCAACGCACGCAAATAACACGAAAGAAAAGAGGAATCAAACAAGGTTGCCCCATCAGCCCAATCTTGTTTGTTATCATGTTGCATCCAAGGTTGCAAAGACTCATTTTAGCTAAAACAATGTTTTTCTAAATTATGAAATACAGTACCAGCAGTCTAACCCGGAAACAGACAACATCAGATCGAATAAAGAAAGCATACAAAGCCTTCCATACACTATGCGGTTTTTTGCGGCAACACCCAGTAAGATGGCCTGTGGTAAAGAAACTGTATCACGCTTTGATAACGCCGGTAGTGACGTATTCAATGGAAGTGGCAACGGTACTCAAAAGTAATAGGAACTCCCTCCGTAGAATGGAGAGCACGATGTTGTCTACACTAAAAAGATTGAGCAGGAGTAATGCAGGGTCTCGTGAAGGAGAAGAATCTGAAAACATGGAACAGTAACAGCAGCAACAACCACAAGAACAACAATTAGTCAATGTAGAGACTTCACCGAACAATGAACAGTCTGATTCACAGTATATAGCTGTACGGGAGTTGGAAGGAAGAACCATAAACAATAAAATCAGGGTTTCTCGTCTAAACTTTTATGGACACGTCGTTAGAAGCGCACCTCAGGGGATTATCAGGAAAGCCCTAGAGTATAGGATCCCGGAGAAGAAAAAAGTTGGAAGACCCTGCTTCACTTGGAAAACCAGCGCAAGGCATGATGTAGAAAGAAGCGGTCGATCGGTGGATTATTGGCAAGAGGTGGCTAATAACAGAAGTGAGTTCAAATCAGCCACGACAAGATTGTTCACTGAAATGGTGGAATCAGAATACGAAGACTCGGAAGTTACTCTCAGCGATTCAAGTAGCGATGAGCAACTGAACATCCTGGATTTCAGAGGTTTCTCTGAAGACGAGGATGATGGTTTCCAAGGATTCGACTAACTATGTGATGGTAAAATCTACTAACAACTTCCCATACTTTTCACCAACCTCGATCATTATTAACAGGTAAATATTCATTTTATTAAATTACTATATTATACTGTCATTACTGTTAACACTATCATTGCAACTAATTCAATTAGGCATATTCAATTGACCTGCATCGGGTTATTATTTTGCATGTAATGATATGGGAAAAGGGGGGACTCACGATTCAGCATGGAGAGTGTATGGGAGCCGTTCTAGGGGTTGGTTGGGGCATGTGGTTCATTTAAGACATTATAGTCTGACGTGAGAACCATGTTCCACTCAAGTTCTGGAATTTGGCCTTGAGACTTGAGATCTGGCCCCTTCTGTCTCGCAAAATCAAAATCAAAAATCAAAATCAAATCACCGTAAATTCCTGGAAAAAAAAAATAAAATTCTCACGTATCACCAAATAATGTGTAGCGAGCAGATGACGGTAATTAGACTGCAATTCAGTGTCAACATTTCAAAGGAGCGTAATTGTATTTGTAAACAATGGCTTTAGCCATCGACTTCTCGCGAATAAAAGCATACTCATGAAGATTAATTACACCATCAGGTAGAAAAATGTTTCCTTTACCAGGTAGCATTGTTAATTTGAAGGGATGGGCTTTTATTTGCGAGAAATCGATAGCTCAAGCCATTGTTTACAAATACAATTACGCCCCTTTGAAATGTTGGCACTGAATTATCGTTTGTTGTGAAACATTCAATTGTTTTTGTTGTTCCTACATATATCGTTGATTAATTTTCGGTAGGTAAATTAAAATAATCAAAAACTAACCATAACATATCTTCTCCCGTTGGGGTAGACTTTAAGGTGTCCTATGAAAATCTCCAATAGCGCGGATCGTCGCCTACGAGTGTTAGAATTGTGTTTTATATGGAGTTTTTACGCCTATTTGAGTAAGTATAACAAGCTCTAACTTCTTTTCCCCAGAGTTGGTAATACAAGAGTTACGCAGACTGAAACCAAAATTCTACCTATCGAACTATCAAACTGTCTACCTATCGAGCATAGTAGACAAATTGACTCTGTTGCGTGAGAAGTATTGTTATCGAAACTAGAGGAACCTTCCACAACCCGGTTGAAGTAAGCCGAGGTGTAAACAAAAACAAAGGTAAAAAAAAATCCCATTGATCGACATCAGACATCAGTGTCTCTTCTATTATCAACTCTGCTTATCCCTATCAGGGTTCATCTTGACAACAAAAGTTCGATGAAAAACCTAAATAAATGTTTGAGCCACAGACTCACTTTTTATTCAATTCCACAAATAAAACGCCATTTGATTATTAGTATCTTTTTTTAATTTTATTTTATTAACGTTTTCTTTGAGGTGACATCCACATGCTTCACATTAATTTTACCTTCTGATAAAAAATAATAATATTACACTGGGAAAGTTCGCGCGCAGACTGTCTTGCTGGAACAGTTTTGAAATATAGCTTTTTTTATTTTGTTTAATTCTCGCGTCATTACCTCAATTAATGTTAATCCAGTCTTAATAGTTGACATTATTATCAGTTTATAGTTTATAAACATAAATATCGTGGCGCAGGAAGCCACCTAAACGGAAAATTTTTCGAAACCAAAAAAAAAGTAATTGCCAAACATTTTAAATAAAGAAATAGGTAGTTGATCTGCCATGTAGTTTGTCTCTTGGAGACGTGCGTTAAACTCGAAAATTCGAAATCACATGCGTTTGATTAGGCGCTTCTATCACTTTCCACGCGCATGTTGCAGTATTCTGAAAGGGCAGTATAGTTTTACAGCGGTTAGCAGCAGTATGGTTTCGGAACAGTTTAATTTATCTTTATGGGAGGTAAGTGGCGTTGGGATAATCGGCCCGCCTCCGCTCCCTGCAGAAACTGGGAAACGAAAATAACTGAAAGCTCGCTGCTTCTTTCACATTTTAGTTTTTCAGCTGCCATTGAAAGCGAATGGAGGGATGAGATACCCCCGGCTTTACCGTGCTTTGAATGGAAATTTTTAAATGGCAGTTTTATCATAGTTGTATAGTTTAGTGGGTCGCAAATCTCGTACAGTTTCGTTTATGTTTTTATGAGATAGATTAGCTATAAAATGACTACGTTGTGCGTTATGTTTTCGCTGCTTTTTCGCATTGTTCTTCATTTTTTTATATTACACGTAACGTTTCAACTATAAATTTCTCTCTTTCTTTTATTTTCACTAACATAGGTAAGACAAATCCTCCGGGGGCCGAGTTTATTCATTTTTTCTTCTTTATATTGATAAAATTTTCAATAAATTACAACTAAAACAATTATATTAAGAGAATAACACCGATAACATTGTTCATTCCGTGTGTGGGTGTGTGCGTATAGGATCGAATAGAGTTTGCTTCATGCGTTGGAGCTGAAAGATTTAATGAACAATATATGGCAATGCACGATAGTTGTTTCGTTGTTGAGCCAAAAAGTCAAGAAAACTGGACAGAAATAGTACGGAAGGAGAACTGGGACCCTCCACCATGGAAAATGGAGAAATTTCAAAGTAACTAGAGCGATATATTTTTTGAAAAAGAGTGGTTCAATCTCTTACTAAATACAATAATAACATTAATAAATAAAAGACTAGCAACGGCCCGCGGAGGAGATGTTCGTTTCTGTTTCGGGGAATACTGCCAATCCGGGGGAGGAGTTCCTTCGCAGTTCCCAGCAGCCGTTCCCGCCAAAGTAGGGTTTATCGAGAAACGAGACAAATGGTGTTCTATTTTCTAACGAGGTTGAGGTTGCATTAAGGTCGTCTCGGTTTCTCGATTCTATAAATTGCTTTTTACATGAGGTGAACTAGTTGCGGGATCGTTACTGGGATGAACCGGATTGGCAGTGTTCCGGATTATTTCATAATAAAAACGATCTATGTCTAGGATTTTTTTTTTGCTTTGTCACGGGTGCTTGCAAACTAATAATGGACAGCGTCGGGGGTTGTTGCATTGAGGTTAGAGCACCATTCTTCAATTCGTCTGATTGGTGTTGCTGTCCAGCGTAAGAGTACGATTTTTAAAGTATCTATTTACATTGTTTTCAACTGTTCTACGCTAATCTTTCTACTATCTCGTTCGCATTCGTTGTATTCTTGGTACTTCGGTACTTGACATTATTCACAGTTTGTTATTAGTACAGTTGGAATTTACAATCTGTTTGCCACGGGAGCTTCTCGCGCAGTCTCTCTCTTATATATTTTATGTCATGTAGTCGTGCGATGGCTCCGATGGTTCGTGGTGGGCAAACAGAGGATTCGGGAATTCGGGCGGATGCGGCAGTGGTCCGGTTACCGTTGGACGTCTCCTGTAGGCCATCAGCCAGCAGGAAACTGCCACAGCCACCGCCACCAGTGCCAGCAGCGCTGTTATCACCAAGGCGATGATCAGTCCAATCATCGATACACAAATATCTTCGACACGTTGAGCGGCGGGAGTGACTGAAATGGTAGAGAGGCTTTGAGTACGCTGCCCATGATACACCCCACTGTTATCAAACTTACTGTTATCTGAATCGTACGACCGTTCCTCCCTTCTCTCCAGCGTTAGAATTGCATTCGACTGGATCGTAATCTCCTCTCGCAGTGTTCCCTCAATACCCAGTGTATCGTCGGACGCCAACGCCGTGTTGCTGCTGCTGGCACGTCGAGTTCTGTTGAGCATCATCTCAATTTCGTTCATATCAGTGATAGCACGCCGTCTGCGCTTTCCGTATGCATCCGCTCCGTGGCAGTTGACCGGTTGACACCGGCCGAAGCACACCCGGATGTTGCACTGGAAGCGTATGTTGTCGCTCGATGGGAACTTGAACGCGTTGAAGCTAGCCAGTAGACTGTTAGTTTCCGCTTGGTACTCCCAGTCGCCGAAAATGCTCGGTTCCGTTGCGCACCCATTTTCGTCCGTCACAATGTACTCATTTTCAACGCTGTCCTCCATCGTCTTTGCGACACAGCTACGTGCGAATCCTCCGTAAATGGCTGTAGGGAGAGTGAAGAATGTGTTAGCAAGCATATCAAGATTATCTACGTTCGCGGTTCCGTAAAGTGTTCCCCAATTGAGCCCTAACCAATAAACGCATGTATTGTAGACGATCACATGCTGACCAATGCCGATCATATTATCAAAACTCGTCATGCTAATGAAAGTTAGGAGATTTCCAAGGGTATGCTAATGGAGTGCTGACAGGTCTTCCCAAACGACTTCAAAGAGGAGTCTAGATGTCATCGAAACAAGTCCAGAAGACTTCGAAGGTATGTCCAAACGATTTTAAAAATTTGCCTATGTCTAGGGCTTTTAGGACAAAAGCAGATGTCTTCATCTACTGGTGAATGGTGGCTGGTGCTGGTCTAGTGTTCAAAAAATCAAAGCAACAAGGACGTTATTAGTGGTCATTAGGTCGAATGGAAATTAGGTCGAATTTCGGAAAACCAGTTAAACTCGAAATAACTGCTCATGTTTTAAAAAGTTGGAAAAAATGTTCGGAGGATGTATGAAATTTTTTCTATTCCGGAAAAACTAAAAATCGCAGTCCGAGATCTCTCAAAATTCCGAAAAGTCCGCAAATTTAAAAAAATATAACTGTATAGGAAGCTCGTAAATTTTTCGGCCGGACACCAGTGTTTGAAATATACATAGGGATCAATGTTTCAAAATCTTTAAACTTCCTCCAAATTTTTGGGTTTGAATTCGTTTGATGTACACTCAAAAAATAAATCACATTTCCAATGGAAAATATCCATTAGAATTTCACATAACTTTCATGTGATCTCATAATTGGGAATCGCACTACAAAATCACATGAATCTTATGTGTCCAATGAAATTCATGTGATTTATTACATAGAATTCATGTGATCATATGAATGTTATGTGAATGATATGGAAAGTATATGAAAACTTTTTTCGGTGTACGGTTTAATGTCCCAAATGGCCTATAGTGTGTCCCAGAAAGTATAAGCACACTTTCAATTCGAAGTCATTTCTACCCCGATGAAGTTTATCAGTTGTTCATCGATGTGTGTTATGGTTAACTTATTGCTCAGTAAGTTTGTGTGCACAAAGTGCATTTTTTTTTTACAAAATCATCAAAATGCGAGGCATTTCACCGGAAAAGTGCAAACAGATCGTGAACAAATGGTGTACATACTATTTCCAAACTATCAGTAAGGAAGTTGGCGAAAATTGAGGAAGTAGGTATGGGAGCAGTCCGAACCGCCATCCGGAAATGCGGTGAAGAAGTTACCTTGGAGGACACATTGAAATCTGGTCGTAAACCGGAACCGGTGGACCGAAAACTGGACTTGAAAATCACCCAAGCTTTCGTCAATAAAAAAAAAGTGCCTCTGTTCGAGATTTGCCAAAAAACTGAGAAAATCTAAAAGTAACGTCCAACGGCCAAGGCAAGAAACGGGCCGAAAACGTTCAAGAAGCAGCAGAAGACGAAACGGAGCCAGAAACAAGCCGCATACCTCACCGCATCCGTCAAATCGAGAGCTCGGAAACTATAGAGATTTTCACGTCCGGTTGTATTGGTGCGATATGTGAGAGTATGTTAGTGAATATCCGAGGAAAATACATAACAAATCGATGTCAAACGCATTTTGACAGATCTACTTTCATACATTTTTTAGGTTAGCCAGAGGAAAATAATTAACAACTTTACACGGCGTTGCTCCCGCTAGTGTGCGTGCGTTAAACGTCATTAATCTCTATAGCCTGCTGTGTGGAAAAATGGTGTGTTATCATAGACGATGAAACATACGTCAAATTCGACTAACGGACGCTTTCGGGAGACCAATACTACACGGTTAGAAAAAAGTACCCAAAATTAAGTTCTTTTCACTCATCTCGGCACTTGCAGGAACCCAAAAGCAGGTAAAGCGGGTCAAAGTAGTTTTCATTTACTTGTGTGCAATTCGTATGGAATTTTCCACTGGCTTTTTAACCAAAAGTAAGTTAGTTGTACCCAACAGTAGGTAAATATGATTATGCTCAACGTTAGGTTCCCACACTTTACTACCCCTGTTGGGTGGTTTTATTCCTCGGTTTTTGACAACATTAGTAGGAGAAAAGGAGACAAACTAGTCAAAAGTAGGTAAACGTGAACTGGCCGTTGGGTACTTTTTTCTTACCGTGTACACAGTCCGTGATGGTCAGGAAGTTGACAATGCCGTAAGTCAATTTTTACCGAAAAATTTGGTAAGACGGCCATTGTTTGGCAAGTGAGTGTGACAAGTTTTCAAAACCATTTGTGACGAAGGAGACGATGAACAATCAGATTTTTAGGCTCGGGAGTGTTTGAATTGGTCTATCTGATAACTTGTAATTTTCTCAAGAGTTTCCTTTTAATCACCCTTAACTGTCCTCGCAACTCTTTTAAGACTTAGAGCCCTAGAATAATCTTGGGGTTCTCCCTGGTATTCCCAAGATTCTATTGTCCCAAGACAAATCTATTGTCTGACTGTCAGATTTTCTTTTCTCTTCGGGTTCTTAATAAATCTCACGAGAATTTCGTAAAATTTATCTTTACAATTCTCATTAAAGTTTTATCAAATTGTTATAGCATTCAATGAGAGTAAATTGAGAGATCTCAGATAGGGCACAGTATTACGAGGCCGAAGGTGGCGGTTTCCATTTCCGGTCCGGTCTAGACCATCATTAGGGTTGGAAATGTTCTAGAATTCCCTGGTTGGCGTAGAATGCTCTCTATTAATAACTGTGGATATGCTTCACAGAGCACTCAGTTGAGAGTAGGCGTAAGCTCGTCTAAGAGCGTCAATGCCAGGAAGAAGAAGAATAAGAATAAATTATGGTTTACAATAGAAAATCGATTACAATACTCTCTAATTTGATCTAGTTAGAATAAGAAATCCTCCGAATATTTCTAATGGAATGCTCGTTTGGCTTTCTAGTTTACACGGCTATAATGAAACTCAAATTATTGCTTGGCTTGGTATACTCTTCAGAATATCTGTGGAATTCACATGATTCCCTTGGAATTGCCTTAAAATCTCTCCTGAGAATTGCCACGGAATTCTCCGCAGTAATCTCGGAATTATTCCTGAAATTCCTTAATTTAACACCAGGTTTTCCTAGGAAAAGAAGCTTGAAATTCTCCTCAGGATTAATTGAAACTCTGTTAACAATTTCTATGGAATAAAAAATGCCCTCAGAAAACCCGCAGGATTTAATTTATTTGTAAGCAAAATTAAGCAAACACTTTTCCCAAAATTTTAATGGAATTCTGTTATGAATTTCCTTGAATCTCTCATATGAAGTCTCTAAAAACAGTTTCCTCAGAATTATGTTTCCATGGAATTTTATACGCAATTTCTTTAAAGTTCTTTTCTAAATTCCCTTCTAATTCTCCTCAATTAGATCCTCGTTAGAAATTCTCCTCAGAATTCCCTTTAAATTTTCATCTGAAGGCTCATTGAATTTCCAGCAGTATTCTCTTAGATTGACGTTCTCCTTACAATTATCTTGGAACTCTTCTCAGAATCAACTTGGAATGGAAGTTAGAACTACTTTTGATCACTACTGAGAACTCCATTGGAATTCGCCTAAAAATTCCCTAGAAATCTACCTCATAGTTACCTTCTCCTTAGAATTTCCCTAAAATCATTGAATTTCCCTTTCAATTCTCAAAATTACTCAGGAATTTTTATCAGAATTCAATTGAGATATCATGCCTGAAAGGGGGAAGAAGCCTAAGCAACGGACATAGTCGGGGCAGGTAAATGAGAATTCTCGGCTCAAAGGAGGCAGCGGATATGATCCGATCAGGTCAGGTAAATATAAAAGCTCACCTCAAAGGAGGGGGACGCCCAAGCAACGGACAAAGTACTACTTACTTGCTGGTTGCACTTCGACCTGCAGCCGCAGATTGTCGCCAATTTCGGCCGAGTTGATCTCCTCGCCGTTGTAGGCAACGATCCGCATGGCGCACGTTGGCGGTGGACCGGTATTGGCGATCGTTCCGGCCGTTGTCAACATCTGCACGTTGAATCCGAGCGTCACGTTCTTCTCGCCCGTTTGATAGACACACTTGATGTGATATGCCTGGGCCTTGTACGTCACCAGCTTGGGATGCTTCTGTATGACCAGTATGAAGCTAGCCACACCGTTGACGTGAATCAAGCCACAGCTTCCGAAGTGCACCTTGAATATCTGCGTGCGTTGAGATGAATCTCCGGCAAGGTTAACCACTCGCCGACACTCTTCGTCCTTGCTGTGGCCCTTCACGTACAGCACTCCGTTGAAGTTGGATTCCATCAGATCGATTACCACCTGCACGCCATCAGCCTGACAGGTGACTTGCATTTCCGGTTGCGGGAAGTCCGTACGGAAGTTTGTTGTTTGATCTGCACAAGAAAAAAAAAACAATGCGTATTAGAGGTGAATTTTAATTTTGCCGAACAGATTATGGAAACTTACTGCAATGCTCCTCTGGATTTCCAGTGTATCCTGCAATGCAATGGCAGATAGCTTGATGATTCGTTGCATTACAGAAAGTGTTCGTTCCGCAATGTTTCGTATCGCAAGGGTTTTCGCATGTCCTGGTCTGCTGATTACAGTATTTCGAATCCGAGCAGTCACTGTCTCGGGAGCACTCAGGTACTGCCGTGCGGACGCATTCGCCACGTTCCGTCAGGCGGTACCCGTGGTCGACCGGACAAATACAGCGACCCCGCTCGTCAACGATCATTCCTCGTTCCAAGGCGCACACGCAACGTCCAGTTTGATCAACCTTAAGTCCATCCTCTTCGCGGCACAGTTGACAGTCTTCGTATATGCCTAGGCCGTAGCCTGGTGGACACACACATTCACCGTTGGCGTTGCGAATAAAGCCTCGATCCGTCGGACATAGAGCCACTGCGAAAAATGAAAAAAATGTTCCATGAATACAAATTCTTACTCCACACAATGCAACAAAAAAGACTTACTCTTGTCGCATTGAATTGCTGCGTTGCCCTGATAGCCAGGCAAGCACTCGCATATCATCGTACGAACCGGTAGCGTATCCAACACCTTACACATCGAGTTGACACCACATGGTTCTGTTACGTTGCATGGGTTGACACACTCGCCCTGAATGCATGCCGTCTGCGATGGACATTCCCCGTCCGTCCTGCATCGATCGTCTTGCAGTACACATCCCCTGATGGGATCTGCCTCGAACGGTGGTGGACAAGCACATTCCGGACGGTGTTGGTATACCTGGCACAGTTCGTTCTGGGCACAAATTGCTTGGCTTTCACATGGGTTCACACATTTTGCGTTGATACAAGCCTTGTCCAGTGGACAGTCTGAATCGGCGCGACAACCCAGAAGTTTACAACTGGTTCGTGCATCTCCCTCGTATCCTGGTAAACATTCGCAAATAGCGCGATGGCTCTGCGCGTAACATTCAGCCTGTTTACTACAGGAATCAATCGAACAAACCGGGACGCACTGTCGGTTGATACATGAGTGCTGACCTGAACAATCATCGTCCACTCGACATCCAATCTTGATGCATTCGATTTCTGGATTGCCGTCGAACCCTTGTTTACACGAGCAAACCGGTTTGTGGTCCTTGATTCTGCATTCCGCATTGGGGCCACAGTTACAAGGGTTTCTACAAATACTGTTGATACAGGCAGTATCGCTCGAACAGTCCGAATCCGAAATACATCCTGATTTGACAACTGGTTTACATGTACCGCTTCCACTGCTTACGTATCCATCCGGACAAACGCAGATCATTGTTCTGACTGGTGATGACGGAATTGCTTCGCATCTTGCAGGCAAGTTGCACGGTTGTAGCACTCCGCATGGCTCAACGCACTTGTTCTCGATACAGGCAAGATGCGATGGGCAGTCTGTGTCGTAAACACATTCTGGCACGATTTCTGGTCGACAATCTACGTACGGATTGCCTACCAATCCCGGAGGGCATCTACATATTGCCAAATGATTCTGTGCCTTGCATTCAGCTCTCGGTGAACACGAACTATCGTAGATGCATGGATCGACGCACTGTGAATTGCGGCATTGCTTATCGTTTGGACAATCGTTGTTGCTGCGACATTCGACAACCGTACACTGCACCAACGGATTGCCACGATAACCGCTTAAGCATCTACATTCAGCTTGGCTCGAAACAGTGTAGCATTCGGCATTGATTCCACATGGATCACTATCCAGGCATGGGTTGACGCAGTTTCCGTTGATACAAGCCTTACTGGACTCGCATTCGGAGTCCACCCGACATCCGATCGTTCGACATGCAATGTTCGGGTTTCCTTCGTAGCCACTCTCACAGGAGCACACTCCTCTGTGATTTCTGACGGTACACATAGCGTTTTCTCCGCAGTTGCATGGATTTCTGCACTGTCTGTTGATACAAGCGTCGTTTTCTGAGCACTCCGAATCACTCGTACATTCGGGCGGCGTTTGCAATACTATGCGCTTACATTCGCCATTCACATCGGGCACGTGTAATTCAGGACATTCACAAACCATGGTTCGTACTGGAACTGAATCCAGCACCGTACACTTGGCTGATCTTGCACATGGTAGTAGCTCTCTGCATGGATCCACGCACTTGTTGTTGATGCACGCTAATCTACTCGGGCATTCCACATCTACCGTACATTCTGGTTTGTCATGAACGACTCTACGTTCACAGTACGAGAACGGATTACCGTCCGGTAGATTATCGGGACACTTACAGTGCGGCGCATGACCACGAGTGAAGCAAATTGCATTCTGTGCACATGGAGCCATTTCACTGCACGGGTCAATACACTGTTCTTGGACGCATGCTCGATTGTCTGGGCATTCTCCGTCGAAGTGACACTCTACTCGACGGCACTGTACGAACGGATTACCTTCCAGTCCAGGCAGACAGCGACACACAGCGCGATGTTTCTCGCCGTAGCACTCGGCGTTCAATGCGCAAGGATTTTCCAGGGCACACGGATTCAGACATTCTCCGTTGAAGCACTGTTTATCGTTGGCGCATTCGCTGTCTGAGCTGCAGCCCAGTTTGAAGCAACCGAACTGAGCATTTCCTGAATATCCAGGTTTACAGCTGCACACAGGGTAATGGTCCTTGACGTAGCAGTCGGAATTCTGACCGCAGTTACACGGATTTGCACAAATTTCGTTGACACACGTTTCACTTGATGTGCAGTCCGAGTTCGTTTGGCATTTCGGCAAGTCGGCAGATGCTGTAATAGAAAAAAATAACGAAAAATGAGACCGAGTTCCGTTTCACGCATTTCTTGGCAGAATACTTACGTGGTACGCAGTTATCATTGCTGTCCTTGGTATAGCCGGCTGGACAATTGCAAACAGCATTGTGGTTTTGCACGTGACAAATAGCACCGCGTCCGCACACGTCTCGAGTGCATGGATTTTGGCAACGTTCATTGTGACACGATCGGTCCAGTGGACAATCGCTATCGACAGCACATTCCTTGTAGCTTGGCACTCGTGCTTCCGGTGCACATTCAGTGTGTGGATTGCCGATGTACTCCGTTGGACACGTACAGCGACCTTGATGACCACGTGATTCACATAATGCATTGATTCCGCAAGGTTCAGCTCGACAAGCCAGCATACATTGTCCTCTGATACAGCGATCCGTATCCGGACAATCTCTATCCGTACGGCATCCTTCCACTACGATTGGCTTACATTGTCCGTTATCATCGACCAACATGTCCGATGGACACGCACAAATCATCGTTCTCAGTGGCAGAGTATCGACAACGCTACACGACTGCTGTTGCGAGCATGGATTGATTTGCGTACATGGATTTCCACATCGGTTGTTGATACATGCCTGTTGTGATGGACAATCGCTATCAATTCGACATTCTGGCTCCGGTTCGTCCCGAAGACACTCCACGTATGGATTGCCTCTTGTTCCGGGTGAACATTCGCAAGTGGCCTGATGATTCCGTCCTATGCAAGTTGCCTTGGCAGAACAGGTTTCATCATCACAGACAGGTCGACAGACACGGTTCAACCTATCGCAAGCCTCGTGATCTGCGCAGTCTTCATTGTACTGACAAAGTCCCGTTACACATGAAATCAATGGATTTCCTTGTGTACCCGGTGGACAAATACAGTTGGCACGATGTCCCTGTGGCATACACTCGGCGTCTCTTCCACACTGAGTTGCTCCATATGTGCACGGATTCAAGCACTTCTCGTTGTAACAAGCTTTATCGTATGGACAATCGTTGTCGGTTTGACATTCCGCTGAAATGGACAAAGTAATAAAGTTAACCGACTGCAACACTGCATAATTCTGTAACAGTAATACTGACGTTTGAAGCACTGTAGCTTTGGATCACCTCCCCATCCTCGCGGGCACATGCAGAGTGGCCTATGGTACAGAGTGCGACACTCGGCATTTCCTGCGCATGGGTTACCTTCGGCACACGGATCCTGGCATTTCTGGTTGATACAGGCCCGATCGCTTGGGCATTCCGTGTCCACGGTACATTCTACCGTAATGACTGGCTCGCGGTAGCAGTTCTGGAATGGATCACCCACCATACCGATCGGACACGAACAAATAGCCTTATGACTTTGTGCCAAACACTCGGCGCTTTGGGCGCATGGATTGAACTCCGTGCAGGGATTGACGCACACTCGGTTTCGGCATGTTTCCGTTGCGGCACATTCAATGTCTGAACTACATCCTGGCACGACAGTGGATTCTGAATGGAAACGTGAAACATTAGCTATGTGGGACAATGTCTAATCATGGTCATACGGTTAGTGAGCATTTGATCTAGATAAAGTATTATGATAATTTGCTAAGGATGGTCTGAAATGATTTTTTTTTCTGTAAATTATAGGTTATGTCATTGAGTTTTCTGGAAATGAAAGCGTAAATAATTAGTGGCATAGATTGAAGAAAGCAGGTATGTTTACGATCATTAGCTATCTTCAAATCCAACAAACCTGGCAAGCATTGTTTCTCTGCATCGCCAACGTAACCCTCTTCACACACGCAATACATTGTTCGCAGTGGCAGTGTATCCTGTACTGAACATACGGCACGTTCGGCACAAGGTTTCGCTTCGTAGCATGGATTCTTGCATACTCCGCTAAAGCAGGCCAACTTGCTTGAACAATCGGCATCCATTTTACATTGATCGGGATCGCGAACCGGTACTGTGAACAGAGAAAACATTGATTAATCTCCGAAACCTCTCACCCGCTTAACCTTAGTCTTACTCTTTTCGCAAGCAAAACTGGCATCTCCTGTATATCCAGGAGGGCATCTACACGATGCACGGTGATTATCGACTCTACATTGGGCTCCTGGTGCGCAATTGCAAGGATCTCGGCATTGCTCATTCTGACAGGAAAGATGGTAAGGACATTCGTCGTCTTGGGTACATTCCGGTCGAGTACATCCGGTCAATGGGTTTCCTCGGTAACCGTCCACACAATGACACCTGGCGTTGTGATTGTAATCGGTTCTACAAACTGCATTCCTTCCACACTGGGTGTACTTGCACGGATCAACACAGTTTCTGTTTACACACGCTTCCGTTGCCGGACAGTCTGAATCGGCGCGGCAGCCAATTTCGTAACATGCAACCTGTGCGTTTCCGGTATATCCTTCGCGGCACGTGCAAATCGCTCTGTGGAACTGCACGCGACACTCGGCATTCAAGTTGCACAAGCCACTGTTGGCCGTACATGGATTGACGCATTGCTGGTTGATGCAAGCCTTATCGTTCGTACAGTGGTCATCGGCCGTACATTCTGGTTGTGGAATTGGATCCATTTGCCGATTGCATTGTACAAATGGTGATCCAACGTGACGTTCCGGACATGAACAAATTGGAGAATGATTGACAACATTACAGAGAGCGTTGACACCGCATGCTCCAGCGCAAGGATCACTGCACTTTTGGTTAAAGCAAGCTCGGTTCGATGAACAGTCCGAATTGATCACGCATTCCGGATATTGACATTCGGCTCTTCCACTGACAACACGACATATTCCATTCGTTCTACATGGTGATGGATTGCATGGATCCTTCGGTGGAGCTTCTTTGCATTCCACGAATGGGTCACCGATCATATTGCTCGGGCAGGAACAGACTGGGCTGTTGTTGATTGCATGGCAAACTGCACGGTATCCGCAGACACCTGGACATGGATCGACACATTTCTTGTTAACGCACGTCTTGTCACGTGGACAATCAGAGTTGATTGTACACTCTGGGTAACAACCTCTTCCGAATGGAGTTCCCTTGAAATCTGGTAAGCACTCGCAAACGGCATTTCCATTCGATGAGCGGCAGACCGTATTCAGTCCACATGGCGATGGATAGCATGGATCGGTGGGCGATGCTTGCGTTGGTTTCCTGGAACACTGCTCGAAAGCATTACCAACCATTCCTTCGGGGCACGTACATGTTGGCGTATGGTTGATAACACTGCACTCGGCACTGTATCCACATACACCCGGACAAGGATCTTTGCAACGATTCTGTATGCAAGCCGTATCCCTTGAACACTCGGAGTTTGACACGCACTCTGGACGGCAGGCAACATAGGCGTTACCGAAATAGTTTTCGATACATTCACATACGGCACTTCCGTCGACTGGTCGACATCTTGCATTAGTGCCACACGGTGATGGATTGCAAGGATCTTCCGGTGTACGCTCTGGCGGCGTTGTAACAACTGTGAAATGAAATAAGTTTTATGTTAGTTAATCAATCCTAAATTATAACGCAATTCAAACGCTGTCTAACAAACGCAATCGAAACTCACTTTCCACGGAGCAGTGAACGAAAGGATTTCCTGTGTAACCAGACGGACAAATACAGTTAGCAATGTGTAGCGAAACGCGACATTCGGCATTAGCTCCGCACGCGTTTGCACATGGATTCTGACATTTCTGATTGATACAGGCCAACGTATTGGAGCAGTCTGAATTACTAATACACTCGGGTCTACAATTAGGAGGTGAGCCAATCATTTCCGGTTGACATGAGCATGACGGGCTACCATTTCGATTAACGCATACGGCGTTTGGTCCACATGGCGAAGGACTACAAGGGTCACGAGGAGTCTCTTGAACGAAGGGTTTTTCGACTGTAAGAATAGTGTGAAAGTTAGAATCATCCCAAGTTGAGCTAGACAATATTCGAAAATTACCAATCTCGTAACACCTAACGAAAGGATCCCCAGTCATTCTGTATAGACAGCTGCAGATCGGATTGTGGTTGACTACAGAACATTTGGCTCCAAGTCCACAGGTGCCAGGGCAAGGGTCCTTACATTTGAAGTTTGCACAAGCCATATTTTGGACACAATCCGAATTGACGGAGCATTCCGGACGGCAAGATGGTGGACTACCGACATAACCAACGATGCAAGAACAAACCGCTTGTCCATTGACAGCTCTACATTGACTATTCTGACCGCATGGAGATGGATTACAAGGGTTAGTTTCGATTGGAGTTCGTTGAGGTATGCATTGCACAAACGCATTGCCTGACATTCCATTGGGACAGCTACAAATCGGAATGTGATTCATGACTTCGCACAGAGCATCCTGACCGCATGTGCCCGGGCAAGGGTCGTCGCATTTGTTGCGAATACATGCTTTATCACGAGGACATTCCGAATTGAGTACACATTCAGGACGGCATCCACGATATGGATCACCCTGATATTCCGGCAAGCAAGTGCATACTCCATTGGAACACTGTGCATTTGAACCACAGGGAGACGGATTGCATGGATCGTCCCTAACGGGTTCTCGTGGAGGCGGTGGTGTTGGATAGCAGTTCGTAAACGGATCTCCAGTATATCCATCTTGACATGTACAAATTGGCGTATGATTAATTACATTACAGCGTGCTCCAATACCGCACGATCCTGGACATGGATCTCTACATTTCTCATTGATGCATGCCTGGTTGCTAGAGCATTCTGCGTTGATTGAACACTCGGGTCTGCAGTTTGGTGGTGATCCTATGTAAGTCGCTAGGCATGAGCACGATGGTACTCCGTTGACATTTCTACACTGTGCATTGGGACCACATGGCGATGGAACGCATGGATCTCGAACAATTATTTCAGTGTCCCTTGGAGGTGCTGTTCGAAGTGAATATTAAGGGTAAGTAACGGAAGTTGATCATAGTGAGTCAAAAATCTTACGTGGATTAGGATAGCAACGGGTAAACGGATCTCCGGTGTAATCAGATTGACAGGAGCAAATGGGACTGTGGTTATTGACAATACATCTAGCGTTGGTTCCACATGTTCCCGGACAAGGATCAATACACTTCTGATTGACGCAAGCCTTATCCAGAGAGCATTCAGAACTGGTCACGCATTCCGGACGACACCCAGGTGGTGATCCTCTATATGTAGGTAGACATGAGCATACAGCCTGCCCGTTGATCTCGCGACATTGACTGTTGGGGCCACAGGGATTCGGTTGGCATGGATTGACGTATTCTTTCACAGCTGTGGGGTATTCATTAGATTCAGTAAGTGATTCAATTAACACTAAGCAAAGCAATTAAAAAGGATTTGAAAAAAATATAATTGCTTACGTTCTCTCTGCACGATATTACAATACTGGAATGGATCACCCTCGTAACCCACCAGGCAAGTACAGGACGGCAGGTGATTAACTACTTGACATTCAGCATTTTGTCCGCAGGTTCCAGGACAAGGATCCTTACACTTGCTGTTGGTACAGGCTCGGTTCGATGGGCAATCCGAGTTCAAAACACATTCCGGTCTACATCCCTCGTATGGATTTCCAAAATAGTCCTCAAGACATCTACAAGATCCCGCACCATTCTGTTCTCTACAAACCGCGTTGGAACTGCATGGGTTTGGTACGCACGGTGATGTTTGTTCCCTTGGAATATCCTGCTGCACTGGTACACATTGTGTAAATGGATCTCCAGTAAATCCAACAGAGCAGATGCAATTAGGAGTATGACTGACAACTCGGCACTCTGAATTGGCTCCGCAAGCTCCAGCGCATGGATCTTGACATTTTTGTCGAATACATGCGAGGTGGCTTGAGCATTCTGCGTTGCTGACGCATTCCGGACGACAGTTCGGAGGAGATCCAATCATATTATCCAAACATGTACAGGATGGAGAGTCACCTACTGGTCTACATTCAGCATTAGGACCACATGGATTCGGCTGGCAAGGGTTTATTGGTGTCATTTGCACAGGAGTTACAACTACAAATAATAGATTGCTATAGATTGTTTGTGGAGGAAATTATTTTAAAAAGCTTACTTATTGGCTGACAACGGACAAATGGGTCTCCTGTAAATTGGTCTGGACAACTACAGATTGGGCTATGATTTACAACCGTGCACCGTGCTCCAACTCCGCATGTTCCAGGACATGGATCTCTGCACTTCTGATTGTTGCAGGCTTGGTTTTGCGGACATTCAGAACTGACGACACATTCTGGTCTGCAGGCTGGTGGACTTCCGATGAATCCTGGAACGCACGAACACACGGCTTGTCCGTTGATCTCTCGGCATTGGCTGTTTGGTCCACATGGAGATGGGCTGCATGGGTTGGCGACTGCTGGTGCTTGCTGAGGTCTGCACTGTACGAAAGCATTTCCGGCCATCCCATTAGGACAACTGCATATCGGTATATGATTGACCACTTCGCATACTGCACTTTGACCACACGTTCCTGGACAAGGATCGATGCACTTGCTTCGTATGCATGCCTTATCACGTGGACAGTCAGAGTTCAGGACACACTCAGGTCGACATCCTTGATATGGATCACCCTGGAACTCTGGTAGGCAAGTACAGATTCCATTGTCGCATTGTGCGTTCGATCCACATGGTGACGGGCTACATGGGTCGTCTCTGACCGGTTCTCTTGGAGGTGGTGGAGCTGGGTAACAGTTTGTAAACGGATCTCCGGTATAGTCTACCTCGCAAGTACAAATTGGAGTGTGATTAATGACGTTGCATCTTGCACCCACGCCGCATGATCCAGGACAGGGATCTCTGCACTTTTCATTCATACAGGCTTGATTGCTTGGACATTCGGCGTTGATGGAACACTCGGGTCTGCAGTTGGGAGGTGATCCAATGTAGTTGACTAGACAAGAGCACGATGGTACTCCGTTTCTGTTTCTGCATTGCGAATTGGCGCCACATGGAGAAGGAACACAAGGATCACGGATGGCAACAGGGGTGTCTTGTGGAGGTGCTGTGATTGAAAAGGTTGTTTTAGGAATGCTTTTGATATTTTGAACAAAATCCTTACGTGGATTCGGATAGCATCGCGTAAATGGATCTCCAGTATATCCAGATTGACAAGAACAAATGGGGCTGTGGTTGTTGACGTTGCATCTAGCGTTGGTTCCACATGTTCCAGGGCAAGGGTCCATGCATTTCTGATTGACACAGGCCTTATCCAGGGAACATTCAGAACTTGTGACACATTCCGGTCGACATCCAGGAGGAGATCCAATGTACGTGGGTAAGCATGAACAAACGCCCTGTCCATTGATCTCGCGACACTGACTATTGGGGCCACAAGGATTTGGTTGACATGGATTAACGTACACTTGTGCTGTTTAAGAATAGATGATAATACTTTAGTAATCAATTGCAGAGGTGGTGTAATGAGTTAGAAACTATCATGTTAAAGTCATTGTTAGTTTCCTTTTAAAATCTTTAAATAGATTATGAAACAAACAAGTTTTGATCTGTGATGATCTGTCAATTAAGTTTGGTAGCGTCTCTTTCTTGTAATCGTCTTTTGTAATCGAGTAGAACAATTTATGAGCTTACGTTCTTTTTGCTTAATGCTACAATACTTGAATGGATCGCCTTCGTATCCACTGAAGCAAGTGCAAGATGGCAGATGATTAACGACTTGACATTCCGCATTTTGTCCACACGTTCCTGGACATGGATCCTTGCACTTGTTTCGTACGCAAGCCAAGTTGGATGGACAATCCGTGTTGAGAATACACTCTGGCCGACATCCTTCGTATGGATTTCCGAAGTGATCTTCAATACAAGTACACGACCCGGCGCCATTTTGTTCCCTACAGACCGCATTGGCTCCACAAGGACTTGGAATGCAAGGTGAGGTAGGCTCCCTCGGTACATCCTGTTGAACCGGCAAACACTGAGTGAAGGGATCGCCAGTGAATCCGACCGAGCAGATGCACATGGGTGTATGACTGACAACCCTGCACTCAGCGTTTGCTCCACAGGCTCCCGTGCATGGATCCTGGCATTTCTGCCGAATACATGCAAGATTGCTCGCACATTCTGAGTTACTGATGCATTCGGGGCGACAGTTGGGAGGAGAACCAATCATGTTATCGAAACATGTACAAGATGGTGAATCACCAACCGGTCGGCATTCAGCGTTTGGACCACATGGAGATGGTTGGCATGGATTGATAGGAGTCATTTGAACTGGTGGTTCAACTGAAAATGTATAATTGTGTTAAAATGGTGTTTCTTAAGCAAAACTTAAACCGTAACATACTTATAGGTTGACAACGGACAAATGGGTCTCCAGTGTATCGTTCTGGACAACTGCAGATAGGATTATGATTGACAACTGAGCATCGAGCTCCAACGCCACATGTTCCTGGGCAGGGATCTCTGCACTTTTGATTGTTACAGGCTTGATTTTGTGGGCATTCAGAGCTTACAACACACTCCGGTCTACAAGTTGGTGGGCTTCCGATGAATCCTGGTACACAAGAGCATACAGCTTGTCCATTAATCTCTCGACATTGGCTATTCGGACCACAGGGTGATGGATTACATGGGTTGGTAACAACTGGTGCTTGTTGTGGTCTACATTGTAGGAAGGCATTTCCGGCCATTCCATTCGGACAACTGCACATCGGAATATGGTTGATGACCTCACATAAAGCATCCTGTCCACATGTTCCCGGGCAAGGATCGATGCATTTGTTACGGATGCAAGCCTTATCTCGTGGGCAATCCGAGTTCAGCACACATTCAGGCCGACAGCCCTGATATGGATCGCCTTGGTATTCTGGTAGACAAGAACAAATTCCATTTTGGCATTGCGCATTTGGTCCGCATGGTGAGGGATTGCATGGGTCATCGTTAATAGGTTCTCTTGGAGGAGGAGGTGCTGGATAGCAATTTGTGAACGGGTCTCCTGTATATCCAATTTCACATGTGCATGTTGGCGTATGATTGATGACGTTGCATCTGGCTCCGATTCCGCATGATCCAGGACAAGGATCTCTGCACTTTTCATTCATGCAGGCTTGGTTGCTTGGACATTCAGCGTTGATAGAACATTCAGGTCTGCAGTTTGGTGGTGACCCAATGTAGTTGCCTAGACAAGAGCACGATGGCACTCCATTGATGTTCCTGCATTGTGAGTTAGGTCCGCACGGAGAAGGAACACAAGGATCTCGAATAACAACAGGGGTATCTTGTGGAGGTGCTACGGTTGAAATAACTAATTTAGTACCAATTTCGTCAGAAATCATGAGAACAGTCTTACGTGGATTGGGGTAGCATCGTGTGAACGGATCTCCAGTATATCCAGATTGACAAGAGCAAATGGGACTGTGATTGTTGACATTACATCTAGCGTTGGTTCCGCATGTTCCAGGGCAAGGGTCCACGCATTTCTGATTGACACAGGCCTTATCCAGGGAACATTCCGAACTTGTGACACATTCCGGTCGACATCCAGGAGGAGATCCAATGTATGTGGGCAAGCACGAGCAAACGGCCTGTCCATTGATTTCCCGACACTGGCTATTTGGTCCACATGGGCTTGGTTGACATGGGTTGATATACACTTGTGCTGTTTCAGGAGAGAGTTTGATGCACTTGTTATTTGTCTTTTTGCTAAATTACTGCATGGAATTGTTGACAAAAGCTTTGAATTTTTTTTAATTTATGCTAGGAATTGTTAACTTATTCTATGCTCTAGAGGTTATCGTTTCCCATAAATCTATTTCTGCCAGCTGATTATGGTCGGATGTTATCTTTGTCAAGTCTTTAATAAAACTGTCAATACGTCGTTTATAATTTCAATTCATTTCTGAAATTAGCCTGCAGTGTCAATTAAAGTTTAAAAATGATAGATATCATACTTAAACCACGGAGCATTTGCGCCCGTGCTATGTAAGCAATAAAAAATAATCAATAATAGATAAAACTCTTACGTTCTCTTTGCTGTATGCTGCAAAATTTGAATGGGTCTCCTTCATATCCAGTGAAACAAGTACAGGAAGGCAAGTGGTTTACGACCTGACATTCTGCATTTTGTCCACATGTTCCAGGGCAAGGATCTTGGCATTTGTTGCGAACGCATGCTCGATTCGATGCGCAATCAGAATTCAATACACATTCTGGTCGACATCCTTCATAAGGGTTTCCGAAGTGATCTTCCATACAAGTACACGACCCAGCGCCATTTTGTTCCCTACAGACCGCATTGGCTCCACATGGGCTTGGAATGCAAGGTGAGATCGGTTCCCTTGGGACATCCTGTTGAACTGGCAAACACTGAGTGAATGGATCGCCAGTGAAGCCGACCGAGCAGATACACACAGGTGTATGACTGACAACCCTGCACTCAGCATTTGCTCCACAGGCTCCCGTGCATGGATCCTGGCATTTTTGCCGAATACATGCAAGATTACTGGCACACTCCGAGTTGCTGACGCATTCGGGGCGACAGTTGGGAGGAGAACCAATCATGTTATCAAAGCAAGTACAAGATGGTGAATCACCAACAGGTCGGCATTCAGAGTTAGGACCACAGGGCGATGGTTGGCAGGGGTTTGTAGGGGTCATCTGTACTGGACGTTCAACTGTAAGAAATGGCAATGATGATTGTTAGCATGTGTACTATTCGTTTGGTGCGGAGACGACATACTTATAGGTTGACAACGAATGAATGGATCTCCAGTGTATCGCTGAGGACAACTACATATAGGATTATGATTGACGACTGAGCATCGAGCTCCAACGCCACATGTTCCTGGGCACGGATCTCTACACTTCTGGTTGTTACAGGCTTGATTTTGTGGACATTCAGAGCTGACAACACATTCCGGCCTACAATTTGGTGGGCTTCCAATAAATTCAGGCACGCATGAACATACGGCTTGACCGTTGATCTCTCGACACTGGCTATTTGGCCCACAGGGCGATGGATTACATGGATTGGTAACAATTGGTGCTTGTTGTGGTCTACATTGTACGAAGGCATTTCCAGCCATTCCGTTTGGACAACTGCACATCGGAATGTGATTGATTACATCACATAAAGCATCCCGTCCACATGTTCCTGGACAAGGATCAATGCACTTGCTTCGTATGCAAGCCTTATCGCGGGCACAGTCTGAGTTCAGCACACATTCAGGTCTACAGCCCTGATATGGATCACCTTGGTATTCTGGTAGACAAGTGCAGATTCCATTGTTACATCGTGCGTTAGGACCACAAGGTGACGGATTGCATGGATCGTCATTAATGGGCTCTCGTGGCGGTGGAGGTTCGGGATAGCAATTTGTAAATGGATCTCCTGTGTACCCACCCTCACATGTGCATATTGGCGTATGATTGATAACGTTACATCTAGCTCCAATTCCACATGATCCAGGACAAGGATCTCTGCACTTTTCGTTAATGCAGGCTTGGTTGCTTGGGCATTCAGCGTTAATGGTACATTCAGGTCTACAGTTTGGAGGTGATCCGATGTAGTTGGCTAGACAAGAGCACGATGGCACTCCATTGATGTTTCGACATTGTGAAATGGGACCACACGGAGAAGGAACACAAGGATCGCGGATTACAACTTGGGTATCTTGCGGAGGCGCTACAGTGAGGGGATTTCATAAGTATGAGAATGATTGAAGGTTAAAATGATCTTACGTGGATTGGGATAGCATCGCGTAAATGGATCTCCAGTATATCCAGATTGACAAGAACAAATGGGGCTATGATTGTTGACGTTGCATCTAGCGTTGGTTCCACAAGTTCCAGGGCAAGGGTCCACACATTTCTGATTGACACAGGCCTTATCCAGGGAACATTCAGAACTTGTGACACATTCCGGTCGACATCCAGGAGGAGATCCAATGTATGTGGGCAAGCACGAGCAAACGGCCTGTCCATTGATCTCACGGCACTGACTATTTGAACCACATGGGCTGGGTTGACATGGATTTCTATAAACCGGCTCAGCTGCCAATGGATAATAGAGTTTGTATGAGCGAGAGAGTTTGTCGAACAACAGGTATTAATTTATTTAAATAGCTTTTGCGCATAGAGTCTTTCGCGATTAAGCTTTAGTAATTATATTAGCAAGCTGTAGTGAAAAATCTATGCAGTTAAAAACTTAATATCGTTGAAAAAGACCGTGACTGCATCTTCAATCAAACTGAAAATCAAAAGGAAGTTGTGTAACAGTTGGATTGAAGATGCAGTCACGGTCTTTTTCAACGATGTTAAGTTTTTAGTTTATATTGATAAGCATTTAAATGCATGCAAACAAGCATAGATGATTTTAGATCATCTCAGACAAAAATTGCGAAGCAAAATATAAGTGAATCAACCATATCAAAATTGTTGCTTACGTTCTCTTTGTTGTATTGCGCAGAACCTGAATGGATCACCTTGATATCCATCAGTACATGTACATGAAGGTAGATGGTTTACAACTTGGCATTGGGCATTCTGTCCGCATGTTCCCGGACATGGATCCTGACATTTGTTGCGAACACAAGCCCGATTAGATGGACAGTCCGAGTTAACAACACATTCTGGACGACATCCTTCGTATGGGTTTCCAAAATGATCATCCATGCAGATACATGAACCAGCGCCATTTTGTTCTCTACATATGGCGTTGGCACCACATGGGCTTGGCATGCAAGGAGAGATTGGTTCTCTGGGAATGTCCTGCTGAACTGGTGTGCACTGGGTGAAAGGATCACCAGTAAATCCAATCGAACAGATGCACATCGGAGTGTGACTGACTACTCGACACTCTGCACTAGCTCCACAGGCGCCGATGCATGGGTTTTGACATTTCTGCCGAATACATGCAAGATTTCTTGAGCACTCCGAGTTGCTGACACATTCTGGTCGACAATTCGGAGGTGATCCAATCATATCTTGTATGCAGGTACAGGATGGAGAATCTCCAACCGGCTTGCATTCGGCATTAGGTCCACATGGAGATGGTTGGCAGGGATTGGTAGGAGTCATTTGAACTGGAGGTTCAACTGAAATTGTTAGAATGTTTCGTTAATTATGATCAATGAACTGAATGTTTTCGAATATTCTTACTAATGGGCTGACAACGGATGAACGGATCTCCGGTGTATCGCTCAGGGCAACTGCAAATTGGATTATGATTGACGACTGAGCATCGAGCTCCAACGCCACATGTTCCTGGGCATGGATCTCTACATTTCTGGTTGTTACAGGCTTGGTTTTGTGGACATTCAGAGCTTACAACACACTCCGGTCTACAAGTTGGTGGGCTTCCGATGAATCCTGGTACACAAGAGCATACAGCTTGTCCATTAATCTCTCGACATTGGCTATTCGGACCACAGGGTGATGGATTACATGGGTTGGTAACAACTGGTGCTTGTTGTGGTCTACATTGTAGGAAGGCATTTCCGGCCATTCCATTCGGACAACTGCACATCGGAATATGGTTGATGACCTCACATAAAGCATCCTGTCCACATGTTCCCGGGCAAGGATCGATGCATTTGTTACGGATGCAAGCCTTATCTCGTGGGCAATCCGAGTTCAGCACACATTCAGGCCGACAGCCCTGATATGGATCGCCTTGGTATTCTGGTAGACAAGAACAAATTCCATTTTGGCATTGCGCATTTGGTCCGCATGGTGAGGGATTGCATGGGTCATCGTTAATAGGTTCTCTTGGAGGAGGAGGTGCTGGATAGCAATTTGTGAACGGGTCTCCTGTATATCCAATCTCACATGTGCATGTTGGCGTATGATTGATGACGTTGCATCTGGCTCCGATTCCGCATGATCCAGGACAAGGATCTCTGCACTTTTCATTCATGCAGGCTTGGTTGCTTGGACATTCAGCGTTTATGGAACATTCGGGTCTACAGTTTGGAGGTGATCCAATGTAGTTGACTAGACAAGAGCACGATGGCACTCCATTGATGTTTCGACATTGTGAGTTAGGACCACATGGAGAAGGAACACAAGGATCACGAACGACAACTTGGGTGTCTTGTGGAGGCGCTACAGTGGGGAAATGTTCATGAGTATGAGAATGAGTGGGGGTTAAGATTTTCTTACGTGGATTGGGATAGCATCGAGTGAATGGATCTCCAGTATATCCAGATTGACAAGAACAAATGGGACTATGATTGTTGACATTGCATCTAGCATTGGTTCCGCATGTTCCAGGGCAAGGGTCCACGCATTTCTGATTGACACAGGCCTTATCCAGGGAACATTCAGAACTTGTGACACATTCCGGTCGACATCCAGGAGGAGATCCAATGTATGTGGGCAAGCACGAGCAAACGGCCTGTCCATTGATCTCACGACATTGGCTGTTGGGCCCGCATGGGCTAGGTTGACATGGATTCATGTATTCTTTGATGGCTAGGAGAAAATAGTTGTTGTCGTTGTTATTTTTTGTGGATCAGAAGCTTATTGTTGCTATTGTTTTTTTTGTGTGTGTTAATGTATGCTTGCTTAATGAATTAAACGGTAACACGTGTTTTTCCTACTGAAATTTGAGAATACCGATACTTAGTTTTATTTTTTTGCACGAAGAGGCATCGTTGAATTCAAGTTTGGGTTAAACAATTAAAATTTGACGTTGTTTAATTGTGTTATGTAACTACTTTAGATACTTTGTTCTAAGTTTGCCAACATCATTGCTGATAAAACTATGGACAATTTGACAAAAGTTTAATTCTTTAATGGTAGTTATTGAGATATTATGATGTCTACGCATTTTCATAAGAAAGCATAATTTCAATAGCTTACGTTCTCTTTGCTGTATGCTGCAGAATCTGAATGGGTCTCCTTCATATCCACTGGAGCAAGTGCAAGACGGTAGATGGTTTACTACTTGACATTCAGCATTTTGTCCACATGTTCCAGGGCAAGGATCTTGGCATTTGTTGCGAACGCATGCTCGATTCGATGCGCAATCAGAATTCAATACACATTCTGGTCGACATCCTTCATAAGGGTTTCCGAAGTGATCTTCAATACAAGTACACGAGCCGGCGCCATTTTGTTCCCTACAGACCGCATTGGCTCCACATGGGCTTGGAATGCAAGGTGAGGTAGGCTCCCTCGGGACATCCTGTTGAACCGGCAAACACTGAGTGAATGGATCGCCAGTGAATCCGACCGAGCAGATGCACATGGGTGTATGACTGACAACCCTGCACTCAGCGTTTGCTCCACAGGCTCCCGTGCATGGATCCTGACATTTTTGCCGAATACATGCAAGATTACTGGCACACTCCGAGTTGCTGACGCATTCGGGGCGACAGTTGGGAGGAGAACCAATCATGTTATCCAAACATGTACAAGATGGTGAATCACCAACAGGTCGGCATTCAGAGTTAGGACCACACGGGGATGGTTGGCAGGGGTTTGTAGGGGTCATCTGTACTGGAAGTTCAACTGTAAGAAATGGCAATGATGATTGTTAGCGTTCGAACTTCGGGTTTGATGTGGAGACGACATACTTATAGGTTGACAACGGATGAATGGATCTCCAGTGTATCGTTGAGGACAACTGCATATTGGATTATGATTGACAACTGAGCATCGAGCTCCAACGCCACATGTTCCTGGACACGGATCTCTACACTTCTGATTGTTACAGGCTTGATTTTGTGGACATTCAGAGCTGACGACACACTCCGGTCGACACATTGGTGGGCTTCCGATAAATCCAGGCACGCAGGAACATACGGCTTGACCGTTAATTTCTCGGCATTGGCTGTTTTGACCGCAGGGCGATGGATTGCATGGATTTGTGACGACAGGTGCGTGTTGAGGTCTACACTGTACGAAAGCATTTCCGGCCATTCCATTAGGACAACTGCACATCGGAATGTGGTTGATGACCTCACACAAAGCATCTTGTCCGCATGTTCCTGGACAAGGATCAATGCACTTACTTCGTATACATGCCTTATCTCGTGGGCAATCTGAGTTTAGTACGCATTCTGGTCGACAGCCCTGATATGGATCGCCTTGGTATTCTGGTAGACAAGTACAGATTCCATTATTACATTGTGCGTTAGGACCACAAGGCGATGGATTGCATGGGTCATCGTTGACAGGTTCTCTCGGTGGCGGAGGTTCGGGATAGCAATTCGTGAACGGATCTCCTGTGTATCCAACCTCACATGTGCATGATGGTGTATGATTGATGACGTTGCATCTGGCTCCGATTCCGCATGATCCAGGACAAGGATCTCTGCACTTTTCATTCATGCAGGCTTGATTGCTTGGACATTCAGCGTTTATGGAACATTCGGGTCTACAGTTTGGAGGTGATCCGACGTAGTTGACTAGACAAGAGCACGATGGTACTCCATTGATGTTACGACATTGTGAATTGGGACCACATGGAGAAGGAACACAAGGATCTCGAACGACGACTTGAGTGTCTTGAGGAGGCGCTACAGTGAGTGAATGTTCATAAGTATGAGAATGATTGAAGGTTAAGATTTTCTTACGTGGATTGGGATAGCATCGGGTAAATGGATCTCCAGTATATCCAGATTGACAAGAACAAATGGGACTATGATTGTTGACATTGCATCTAGCATTGGTTCCGCATGTTCCAGGGCAAGGGTCCACGCATTTCTGATTGACACAGGCCTTATCCAGGGAACATTCAGAACTTGTGACACATTCCGGTCGACATCCAGGAGGAGATCCAATGTATGTGGGCAAGCACGAGCAAACGGCCTGTCCATTGATTTCCCGACATTGACTATTGGGGCCACACGGGCTAGGTTGACATGGATTAACGTATTGTTGAATTGCTGGTTATGGAAAGTAAAAGCACGTTAAATGTTTTGTCGAACCGCTGACGTTTATAGATTTGAAGTTAGTTTATCTCAATGATAAATTTGAATGTATTCGTTTGGTAAAAGATTTTTTCATAGTCTCCGAAACAAACTTTGTTTGGTATGTTGTTCTATTATTTTTTGTTTTGACTGGAAACGGTTTTCTCTAAAAAAGAAGTGTTGCCGTTCTTGTTAATGTTATCTGAACAAGTCAACATTAGATGTACGGATAATCATAAATTCCATAGACAACCAGGCTTCATGCATACGGACATTGGGCATAGTAGACGTTAGCCTAGTAGCACACTCGTCGCAAAACAGTTGCGGAAACTTCTTTGTGACTGATTTTACTCGCAACCAAGTTGCTGTCATTGTTCGTGACGGAAATTTGCTACTTTTGTAGGCATAACATTACATACCTACTATTTTTTTATTTTTATAATATACATTGTACAACTTTAGACTTGGTATGGGAGACTTAGCTTGCCCTGAGTTTACCAGAAATCTAAACCTACATCAATTCTATCTGAACATGTTCAGCGTGTGGGGCAAGGATCGAATGCAAACTCCTGAATTTCAGATAGTTTGTGTAAGTCCAAGAGCTTGGTGTTTCTTCAATGTCTTAGATTTTGTGCGATATGTTACAGCGTTTTGTTAATTTTTGTGGCATTAGACCGAATGGATCACTAGACGAAAGTTTGGAAACTGAGATATTGTTTTAGAAATCTTGGACACCAAGTAAATTGTTTGACTAAAGGAAATACTCCACAGACTAAACAAATTTATCAAAATTGTGAGAGTTGAAAAAAAAATTTGAAGATTCTGAGACTACGAGAAGTTTTCGGGATCCCTAACATTTATTAATGCTTTTAAGTGCTAGGAATCCCTACAATTTCTCGAATCTCGATGCTTGTTTTTAAGATATTTAGAAGCTTCTGGAACATGGAATATTTTTAAGAAATCTAGTATACGTGAGCTTCAAGAGTCTGGCACTTGAAAAAATGTTAGGATAAATTCAGATATGTACAATCAGACTTTTATCATTTAATAATTTCACATAACCGTAATTCCATATGAAATAATTGATAGTTAATGTCAGAAATACAATAAAAGCTTATGCTATCTCTTTACGTCTAATATTCTTCTTCAAAATTTGGAAATAAACAAGATACAATCAGGATATGTATGTACCGTGTAAAAAATCCGCGTAATTTGATTGAGATTGAGTACTTTCATATGATAACATGTTTTTAAAGGTTTGGAGGGGGCGGTCCGTCCCTGGTATCATCTTTGAAGGGGTGACACGCACGTGCAAAATTTACAGCTCTCGAAATCTTTATGTGCGGCATATTAAAAATAAATCCTGGTGCAATTATTATTTTTTGTATCCAGAATTTCAAATAAGTATAAGTCTCAGAATCATTCAGATTTTTAAATAAACGGGGGGTCAAAAAAAGTCCAAGCATAAGTACTACATTTCTGGATCATTAACTACCTTTTGTGCATGGAATTCTTGAAAAAATGTCGGTGTCTAAATTCGTCATGATTTCAGAATATTCTTCGGTTTCTCCCTAAAAAACTCAACCATTCACTTCTTATCATTCTCCCAAAAATGTGGTTAAGTTACTGTCTTAAACGAGTTCTGTAAAATTTGCTTAAAATATTTCTCAGAATATTCACGGTATACCCTTCAAATAATCCTAATCTTGAGAATTGCATTGGAATGCGGTTCAGCATAGTCTTAGATACATTTTGAAGTTCTCTTATTCTTTTTAGAATTCAGATGCAATTTTACAGAGAATTCCTTTAGATATGAACGCGATTCCTTGGAACACTTATTAGAATAGATCACCTCATTCCAGCAGTTCAAAATGACGTTTCGGTTAGGTTATCTTTACTAACGAGACTTTCAGCCATAGGCTGGTTCATCTCTTTATGACGTTTCGAATTTTTCTGTGCAATAACATTTTGAATTTTTTTCGTCTACAACCTGGAGAAAATAGGGTATTTTTTATGCGGAGCTTGAAAAATCTGGAATTTATTGCGTCATTGTCTTGGAATTAACCTCATAATTCTGTACCTTTAGTTTCTTCACAACATTATGTTGAAGGTTTCTTAAAAATTAGTCTTGAATTTTCATCAGAATTTCAACCAGATTTATTTTATATTCTCCACATAATTACTTTGAAATCTCCATCGAAAAATCTTCAAACTGGCAGAACCAAGAAAATTTGTCCAAGTCCATGAAACTCGAGAATTTCAACCAAAATCTTGATTTTATAAATCTAGGATGCTGACAATTTTCAACGTCTGACTGAATCAATGAGTGAACATACATAAAGTTTCGAATTTGCATCCTCTTTTTTATATCTTGGGGGGTTTAAAGCCTTAAAATTTGTTCAAAAAAATAGAAAAAATAGAATAGAAATAGAACAAAACTGATTTTGTTACTCAGAATTAATTGGAAAAAATCTGAGACTTGAAATCTGGAACTGTAAATATACCTTAGGTATTGAACATTTTTTCTTAATTATTGAAGGAAAAGCAACATTTTCCGCTGCGTTACACATATCAGAATAAATCAATTGCAAAAAATAGCATACAATAAATGATATGAAGATTTTTTTTAACTAGTCGAACAGTCTTTGCTACAGGATTTGCAACATTTGTTTATAAGTTTCATGACATTTTAAACACCTCAATTCTATTGTGATCAAAAATGTAAATAATTGATCGTAAAATATAATTTATAAAACATTTATGCAATTTCGTTTGAGATTTTTACAATAATTGTGGTATCTTAAGCTGAATTTGAAAATTTATGAAAATTATGAATCAATAATTTCAATTTGTGAATGTTAGAGTACGCGAACCCCAGGCTGGATACCGTAGGTGTTCAATCTTTAACATTCACTAAATTAGGAGGGATATTTTTCTTTTAACTTTAGCATGGTTTAAACATATATTGATAAATGGACAAAAGTGTTTAAATACAATTGCATAAATGATAAGTAGCCTTTTTGAAGTGAACATTTTTGACAGTTAGAGGGTGACACCTAAACCATGCGCCCCGGGTGTCACCGAGTCACGATACGCCCATGCTAACGGGTCCTAATAAATTTGTGTGTTACATGTTTTTACGCATTATGTTACTTCTGTTTCTGGTAACTTTTCTTGAAATGTTTGAATATGTTTTTCCAGCTTCCAAAACCGTACTAGCAATTGCAAAATTGTGTTTTACATTAAATTGATTGTCGATCTGGTTTTGAGAAGCCGTTCTCCACCGTATAAAATATAAAAGTTTCTTACGTTCACGTTGCTGCACACTGCAGAATCTGAATGGATCGCCCTCGTAACCGGTAAAACAGGTACAGGAGGGCAGATGATTTACGACTTGGCAATCGGCATTCTGTCCACACGTTCCTGGGCATGGATCCTGACATTTATTGCGCACACAAGCCCTGTTCGATGCACAGTCCGAGTTCAATACACATTCTGGTCGACATCCCTCGTATGGGTTACCGAAATGGTCCTCCATACAGGTACACGATCCAGCACCGTTTTGCTCCCTACAAATAGCGTTAGCTCCACACGGACTTGGGTCGCATGGCGATATTGGTTCCCGAGGAACGTCCTGCTGTACGGGTAAGCATTGTGTGAAGGGATCTCCAGTGAATCCGACTGAGCATATACACATGGGCGTGTGGCTGACTACTCTACACTCAGCGTTTGCTCCGCACGCACCATTACATGGGTTTTGGCATTTCTGTCGGATGCATGCAAGGTCACTGGCACACTCAGAATTGCTGATACACTCTGGTCGACAAATAGGAGGCGAACCTATCATGTCCTGTAGACACGTGCATGATGGTGAATCACCAACGGGCCTACACTCGGCGTTTGGTCCACAAGGTGATGGTTGACAAGGATTGACAGGGGTCATTTGAACTGGACGTTCAACTGGAAAATTTTAATGATTTTTTATAAAAGATTTTAGAAAATTGCCGTAAAGTTAGGCATACCTATTGGTTGACAACGGATGAACGGATCTCCACTGTACCTTTCTGGACAACTGCAAATTGGGTTATGATTTACGACTGAGCATCGAGCTCCAACGCCACATGTTCCTGGGCACGGATCTCTACACTTCTGGTTGTTACAGGCTTGATTTTGTGGACATTCAGAGCTAACTACACACTCCGGTCTGCAAGTGGGTGGGCTACCGATGAATCCAGGCACACAAGAGCACACAGCCTGTCCATTAATCTCTCGACACTGGCTATTCGGACCACAGGGTGATGGATTACATGGGTTGGTAACAACTGGACTTTGTTGTGGTCTACACTGTACGAAGGCATTTCCAGCCATACCGTTTGGACAACTGCACATCGGAATATGGTTGATGACCTCACACAAGGCATCCTGTCCACATGTTCCTGGACATGGATCAATACACTTGCTTCGTATGCATGCCTTATCTCGGGCACAATCTGAGTTCAGCACACATTCAGGTCGGCAACCTTGATATGGATCGCCTTGGAATTCCGGTAGACATGAGCAGATCCCTTCGGTGCACTGTGCGTTAGGACCACATGGCGATGGATTGCATGGGTCATCGTTGACAGGTTCTCTTGGCGGTGGAGGTGCTGGATAACAATTCGTGAACGGATCTCCTGTGTATCCAACTTCACATGTGCATGTTGGCGTATGATTGAAGACTTTACACCTAGCACCGATTCCACATGATCCAGGACAAGGATCTCTGCACTTTTCATTCATGCAGGCTTGGTTGCTTGTACATTCAGCGTTGATAGTACATTCGGGTCTACAGTTAGGAGGTGATCCGATGTAGTTGACTAGACAAGAGCACGATGGCACTCCATTGATGTTTCGACATTGTGAATTGGGGCCACATGGAGAGGGAATGCAAGGATCACGGACGACAACTTGAGTATCTTGTGGCGGAGCTGTATGAGGAAGAATCAATGAGAGTAGATTCATTTCGATTAAATGAATGATCTTACGTGGATTGGGATAGCATCGTGCAAATGGATCTCCAGTATATCCAGATTGGCAAGAACAAATGGGACTATGGTTGTTGACGTTGCATCTAGCGTTGGTTCCGCATGTTCCAGGACATGGGTCCACACATTTCTGATTGACACAGGCCTTATCCAGGGAACATTCTGAACTTGTGACACATTCCGGTCGACATCCAGGAGGAGATCCAATGTATGTGGGCAAGCACGAGCAAACGGCCTGTCCATTGATTTCCCGACATTGACTATTGGGGCCACACGGGCTAGGTTGACATGGATTAACGTATTGTTGAATTGCTGAAGTCAATTGTAAAATGTTAGTTTGACTGTGCAGAAGTATTGTTGTAATGATCATAAAATATTGTGTTAGGTTTTATTGGTAGGGACAGCTTTCTTAAGTAATTTAATCGTCCGTCATGTTAAAATTGGTAAGATGAAATGCTTACGTTCACGTTGTTGTAAGTTGCAGAATCGGAACGGATCTCCTTCATATCCTGCAATGCAAGTACATGAAGGTAAATGATTCACGACCTGACATTCTGCGTTTTGTCCACATGTTCCAGGGCAAGGATCTTGGCATTTGTTGCGAACGCACGCTCGATTTGAGGCGCAATCAGAATTCAATACACATTCTGGTCGACATCCTTCATAAGGGTTTCCGAAGTGATCTTCAATACAAATACACGAGCCGGCTCCATTTTGTTCCCTACAGACCGCATTGGCTCCACATGGGCTTGGAATGCAAGGTGAGGTAGGCTCCCTCGGGACATCCTGTTGAACCGGCAAACACTGAGTGAAGGGATCGCCAGTGAATCCGACCGAGCAGATGCACATGGGTGTATGACTGACAACCCTACACTCAGCGTTTGCTCCACAGGCTCCCGTGCATGGATCCTGGCATTTCTGCCGAATACATGCAAGATTGCTCGCACATTCTGAGTTACTGATGCATTCGGGGCGACAGTTGGGAGGAGAACCAATCATGTTATCCAAACATGTACAAGATGGTGAATCACCAACAGGTCGGCATTCAGAATTAGGACCACACGGGGATGGTTGGCAGGGGTTTGTTGGGGTCATCTGTACTGGAGGTTCAACTGCAAGGAATGGCAATGATGATTGTTAGTATGTGAAATTGAGGATTTATGTGGAGACGACATACTCAAAGGTTGACAACGGATGAACGGATCTCCAGTGTATCGTTCAGGACAACTACATATTGGATTATGATTGACGACTGAGCATCGAGCTCCAACGCCACATGTTCCTGGGCACGGATCTCTACACTTTTGATTGTTACAGGCTTGATTTTGTGGGCATTCAGAGCTGACGACACACTCCGGTCTGCAAGTAGGTGGGCTTCCGATGAATCCAGGTACGCATGAACATACGGCTTGTCCATTAATCTCTCGACACTGGCTATTTGGCCCACAGGGCGATGGATTACATGGATTGGTAATAACGGGTGCTTGTTGTGGTCTACATTGTACGAAAGCATTTCCGGCCATTCCATTTGGACAACTGCACATCGGAATGTGGTTGATAACCTCGCAGAAAGCATCTTGTCCACATGTTCCCGGGCAAGGATCAATGCACTTACTTCTTATGCAAGCCTTATCTCTTGGGCAATCCGAGGTCAGTACGCATTCAGGTCTACAGCCCTGATATGGATCGCCTTGGTATTCCGGTAGACAAGTACAGATTCCATTATTACATTGTGCGTTAGGACCACAAGGCGATGGATTGCATGGGTCATCGTTGACAGGTTCTCTCGGAGGCGGAGGTGCTGGATAGCAATTTGTGAACGGGTCTCCTGTGTATCCAATCTCACATGTACATGTTGGCGTATGGTTGATGACGTTGCATCTGGCTCCAATCCCACATGATCCAGGGCAAGGATCTCTGCACTTTTCATTCATGCAGGCTTGATTGCTTGGACATTCAGCGTTTATGGAACATTCAGGTCTACAGTTTGGAGGTGATCCAATGTAGTTGACTAGACAAGAGCAAGATGGCACTCCATTGATGTTTCGACATTGTGAATTGGGACCACACGGAGAAGGAACACAAGGATCACGAACGATAACTTGGGTGTCTTGTGGAGGCGCTACAGTGAGAAAATGTTCATGAGTATGAGAATGATTGAAGGTTAAGATGATCTTACGTGGATTGGGGAAGCATCGCGTGAATGGATCTCCAGTATATCCAGATTGACAAGAACAAATGGGGCTGTGATTGTTGACGTTGCATCTAGCGTTAGTTCCACATGTTCCAGGGCAAGGGTCCACACATTTCTGATTGACACAGGCCTTATCCAGGGAACATTCAGAACTTGTGACACATTCCGGTCGACATCCAGGAGGAGATCCAATGTATGTGGGCAAGCACGAGCAAACGGCCTGTCCATTGATCTCACGGCACTGGCTATTTGGACCACATGGGCTTGGTTGACACGGATTGACGTATTGTTGTATTGCTGAAGGCATTTGTAAACCATTAGTCATATACTCAAAAATAGGGTGAATGTCCCTAATGTCAGCTAAAGTATCCCTTATGTTGGGCCCATACATAAATGTGGATGGAGAGTATTTTCTGGCCAATTTTTCACTAGCATCTAAAATTATTCTTTTTTACTATCGAGATGACGCAGTGTTGTACGAAACATTGAAAAAAATCATTTTTTTTTCGATGGGCCCAATCATTAGGGTAATTGATCATATTTTTAGCCATTTCACCTATTAGCTTATTTTAATATTGGTTCAGTATTGAATTGTTAGAATGCACTATTTCATTTACTAGTATATACCCGTATACAAAATTGCGTAATATGACTTTTAAAATAATTGGATTTTTCAAATAGCTCGGCGTAAGATATTACATCCTCGTAAATATACTAGGCCCAATACATTTTAAAGAGAAACTTAATTTATAAGCACGCATTATTAGCTAACGATGCGTTACTCGTTTACTTCTTTTGTAGTTTTCTACGGTCTTGATAAACGGTATGTCTTAGTAATCATAGAAGCTTATTAAAAATGCTTACGTTCACGTTGTTGTAAGTTGCAGAACCGGAACGGATCTCCTTCATATCCTGCAATGCAAGTACATGAAGGTAAATGATTCACGACCTGACATTCTGCGTTTTGTCCACACGTTCCAGGGCAAGGATCTTGGCATTTGTTGCGAACGCACGCTCGATTTGAGGCGCAATCAGAATTCAATACACATTCTGGTCGACATCCTTCATAAGGGTTTCCAAAGTGATCTTCAATACAAGTACACGAGCCGGCACCATTTTGTTCCCTACAGACCGCATTGGCTCCACATGGGCTTGGAATGCAAGGTGAGGTAGGCTCCCTCGGGACATCCTGTTGAACCGGCAAACACTGAGTGAAGGGATCGCCAGTGAATCCGACCGAGCAGATGCACATGGGTGTATGACTGACAACCCTGCACTCAGAGTTTGCTCCACAGGCTCCCGTGCATGGATCCTGGCATTTCTGCCGAATACATGCAAGATTGCTCGCACATTCTGAGTTACTGATGCATTCGGGGCGACAGTTGGGAGGAGAACCAATCATGTTATCCAAACATGTACAAGATGGTGAATCACCAACAGGTCGGCATTCAGAATTAGGACCACACGGGGATGGTTGGCAGGGGTTTGTTGCGGTCATCTGTACTGGACGTTCAACTGTAAGAAATGGCAATGATGATTGTTAGCATGTGAAATTGGGGATTTATGTAGAGACGACATACTCAAAGGTTGACAACGGATGAACGGATCTCCAGTGTATCGCTGAGGACAACTGCATATTGGATTATGATTGAGGACTGAGCATCGAGCTCCAACGCCACATGTTCCTGGACACGGATCTCTACACTTCTGATTGTTACAGGCTTGATTTTGTGGACATTCAGAGCTGACGACACACTCCGGTCGACACATTGGTGGGCTTCCGATGAATCCAGGTACGCATGAACATACGGCTTGTCCATTAATCTCTCGACACTGGCTATTCGGACCGCATGGTGTTGGATTACATGGGTTGGTAATAACGGGTGCTTGTTGTGGTCTACATTGTACGAAAGCATTTCCGGCCATTCCATTTGGACAACTGCACATCGGAATGTGGTTGATGACCTCACACAAAGCATCTTGTCCGCATGTTCCTGGACAAGGATCAATGCACTTACTTCGTATACATGCCTTATTTCGTGGGCAATCTGAGTTTAGTACGCATTCTGGTCGACAGCCTTGATATGGATCGCCTTGGTATTCCGGTAGACAAGTACAGATTCCATTATTACATTGTGCGTTAGGACCACAAGGCGATGGATTGCATGGGTCATCGTTAATAGGTTCTCTTGGAGGAGGAGGTGCTGGATAACAATTTGTGAACGGGTCTCCTGTGTATTCAATTTCACATGTGCATGTTGGCGTATGGTTGATGACGTTGCATCTGGCTCCGATCCCACATGATCCAGGACAAGGATCTCTGCACTTTTCATTCATGCAGGCTTGGTTACTTGGACATTCAGCGTTTATGGAACATTCAGGTCTACAGTTTGGAGGTGATCCAATGTAGTTGACTAGACAAGAGCACGATGGCACTCCATTGATGTTTCGACATTGTGAGTTAGGACCACATGGAGAAGGAACACAAGGATCACGAACAACAACTTGGGTGTCTTGAGGAGGCGCTACATTGAGGGAATGTTCATGAGTATGAGAATGATTGAAGGTTAACATGATCTTACGTGGATTGGGATAGCATCGTGTGAATGGATCTCCAGTATATCCAGATTGACAAGAACAAATGGGGCTGTGGTTGTTGACGTTGCATCTAGCGTTAGTTCCACATGTTCCAGGGCAAGGGTCCACGCATTTCTGATTGACACAGGCCTTATCCAGGGAACATTCTGAACTTGTGACACATTCCGGTCGACATCCAGGAGGAGATCCAATGTATGTGGGCAAGCACGAGCAAACGGCCTGTCCATTGATCTCACGACACTGGCTATTTGGACCACATGGGCTAGGTTGACACGGATTGACATATTGTTGTATTGCTGAAGGCAGGTGTAAACAATTAGTTATATTATAAAACATATTTGCTATATATTTTTTAAAGAATCGTTGAGTAAGTACTCATCTTTCAGAGTTGAATATTTCATTTAGGGAAATAGATGTTATGTCGACCTAAATGCTCCTTATTTGGGCCCATACATAAATTCAGCAATCGACTAAATTTTTAAAAGCCACCAAAAATATCCATTAGTACCGTTCCAATGATGCGTTTACTGGATAAAATTAATAAATAGCAGATTTTTAGCGATGGGCCCAATCTTAGATCCATAGGCCAACATTAGAGCCATTTCCCCTAGACAGCCCTACTTTTGCTCAATAAAACAGATGACATTATCCTTCATAAGTAAAAAAAATCTCCTTAAAATAGATCGGGTTGCTCCTTAAATGATTGATCAAAATACGTTAAAAATCTTAAAATGCTCTGTAAATATTTAAAGTACGCTCCCTAAAATAGAGAAAACTGTACATTAAGCATTTGAAAATGCTCCTTAGTATGCACCGCTTTGCACCATTTTGAAGTGTAATTGTACCATATATCATCGGAAAAGCTGCTGTAGAAAGGTTAATAAGTACCATGAAATCAGCTGAAATGTTCAGTAAAAATGCACAAGCGATCACTTAATGGGGAAAAAAGTGCGGTAAAGTAAAATACTTTTTTCCGAGTAACACACCAATTTGTACCATAAATAATTGAAATATTTCCTTATCAACATCACTTTTGCCAACTATTAGCTAGGAAATGGAAAACGGGGGGCTTCACAATGGAGCTTATAAATAACGTATTCTTGATTTGTTGCTATGGGAAAAAGTGATGTTGCTAAGGAAACATTTCAATTATTTATGGTACAAATTAGTGTGTTACTCGGAAAAAAGTATTTTACCATACCGCACTTTTTTCCCCATTAAGTGATCGCTTGTGCATTTTTACTGAACATTTCAGCTGATTTCATGGTACTTATTAACCTTTCTACAGCAGCTTTTCCGATGATATATGGTACAATTACACTTCAAAATGGTGCAAAGCGGTGCATACTAAGGAGCATTTTCAAATGCTTAATGTACAGTTTTCTCTATTTTAGGGAGCGTACTTTAAATATTTACTGAGCATTTTAAGATTTTTAACGTATTTTGATCAATCATTTAAGGAGCAACCCGATCTATTTTAAGGAGATTTTTTTACTTATTAAGGAACATCGTCATTGTTTAATGATTCATTTACCTTTTTACCATTTCCCCTACTAGGATAGACCCGCATACAAAGTTGTGTTTGCGTTGCCTTTCAAAATGTTTGTATCATCGTCGCAAGTTATTACACCCTCGTAAATATACTGGGCTCAATACAATGTAAGGAGGAAATTAATTTACAAGCACGTATTAGCTTACGATGTGTTTCTTAAATACTCCTATTGTAGTTTTCTACGGTCTTGGTAAACGTTATGGCTTAGTAATTATAGAAGCTTATTAAAAATGCTTACGTTCACGTTGTTGTAAGTTGCAGAATCGGAACGGATCTCCTTCATATCCTGCAATGCAAGTACATGAAGGTAAATGATTCACGACCTGACATTCTGCGTTTTGTCCACACGTTCCAGGGCAAGGATCTTGGCATTTGTTGCGAACGCATGCTCGATTCGATGCGCAATCAGAATTCAATACACATTCTGGTCGACATCCTTCATAAGGGTTTCCGAAGTGATCTTCAATACAAGTACACGAGCCGGCGCCATTTTGTTCCCTACAGACCGCATTGGCTCCACATGGGCTTGGAATGCAAGGTGAGGTAGGCTCCCTCGGGACATCCTGTTGAACCGGCAAACACTGAGTGAAGGGATCGCCAGTGAATCCGACCGAGCAGATGCACATGGGTGTATGACTGACAACCCTGCACTCAGCGTTTGCTCCACAGGCTCCCGTGCATGGATCCTGACATTTTTGCCGAATACATGCAAGATTACTGGCACACTCCGAGTTGCTGACGCATTCGGGGCGACAGTTGGGAGGAGAACCAATCATGTTATCCAAACATGTACAAGATGGTGAATCACCAACAGGTCGGCATTCAGAATTAGGACCACACGGGGATGGTTGGCAGGGGTTTGTAGGGGTCATCTGTACTGGACGTTCAACTGTAAGAAATGGCAATGATGGTTGTTAGCATGTACAATTTCGGTTGATGTAGAGACAACATACTCAAAGGTTGACAACGGATGAATGGATCTCCAGTGTATCGTTGAGGACAACTGCATATTGGATTATGATTGACGATTGAGCATCGAGCTCCAACGCCACATGTTCCTGGACACGGATCTCTACACTTTTGATTGTTGCAGGCTTGATTTTGTGAACATTCAGAGCTGACGACACACTCCGGTCGACACATTGGTGGGCTTCCGATGAATCCAGGAACGCATGAACATACGGCTTGACCGTTAATTTCTCGGCATTGGCTGTTTGGACCGCAGGGCGATGGATTGCATGGATTTGTGACGACAGGTGCTTGTTGTGGTCTACATTGTACGAAAGCATTTCCGGCCATTCCATTTGGACAACTGCACATCGGAATGTGGTTGATGACCTCGCAGAAAGCATCTTGTCCACATGTTCCCGGGCAAGGATCAATGCACTTACTTCGTATACATGCCTTATTTCGTGGGCAATCTGAGTTCAGTACGCATTCAGGTCTACAGCCCTGATATGGATCGCCTTGATATTCTGGTAGACATGAGCAGATTCCGTTGTTACACTGCGCATTTGGTCCACAAGGTGACGGATTGCATGGATCATCGTTAACGGGTTCTCTCGGAGGAGGAGGAGGCGCCGGATAACAATTCGTGAACGGATCTCCTGTGTATCCAATCTCACATGTACATGTTGGCGTATGGTTGATGACGTTGCATCTGGCTCCAATCCCACATGATCCAGGGCAAGGATCTCTGCACTTTTCATTCATGCAGGCTTGATTGCTTGGACATTCAGCGTTTATGGTACATTCGGGTCTACAGTTTGGAGGTGATCCAATGTAGTTGACTAGACAAGAGCACGATGGCACTCCATTGATGTTTCGACATTGTGAATTGGGACCACACGGAGAAGGAACACAAGGATCACGAACGACGACTTGAGTGTCTTGAGGAGGTGCTACAGTGAGGGAATGTTCATGAGTATGTGAATGATTGAAGGTGTTAATATGATCTTACGTGGATTGGGGTAGCATCGTGTGAACGGATCTCCAGTATATCCAGATTGACAAGAGCAAATGGGACTGTGATTGTTGACATTACATCTAGCGTTGGTTCCGCATGTTCCAGGGCAAGGGTCCACGCATTTCTGATTGATACAGGCCTTGTCCTGGGAACATTCAGAACTTGTGACACATTCCGGTCGACATCCAGGAGGCGATCCAATGTATGTGGGCAAGCACGAGCAAACGGCCTGTCCATTAATCTCACGACACTGGCTATTTGGACCACATGGGCTAGGTTGACACGGATTGACGTATTGTTGTATTGCTGAAGGCAGTTGTAAACAATTAGTTATTTTTTCAAAAAGATCAGTTCTATTTTGGGAATTGTTGAATGCTCAATTGTCAAAGTATTAAATATTTAGCGTTGTCCTTCATATTATGTTGTAGTTCGGGTTTTTAAAAGATTTGAGGTATTCATATAACCCGTCGCAAGTTTATATACTCTTGTGTATATAATTGCCTCTGTTCAAGTGTAATGGACAATAGTTAATGCAACGCGTGTTGGTACAATAGAACCTGCTGAAGTTGGACAGTCTCAAAAAATTGCTGTTGCTCTTCTGTATGTCAATAATTTTTCATGATTTTTTTTTGGGCTGATTGTCATAACAATGAATAAAAGTTCCTCATGTTTTCTTGTACTTCTATTGGGATGCTTTTGAGAAATGGATGGGTATGTAATATTGGACTAATACACTTAAATAGCTGCGGTTACGTTCATCAATGTTCTAATCATGGATTGACATTTTTTTCGTGTAAATATTTCAACGTTTAGTGGTTCCAAAGTTTTCTTTGGAAGGAAACAATTGTTTGTGCCTAAACCATTGATTTTAGGTAAATAGTGTAAATTGCTATAGAAACCTTATTTATTATTGATCTCATTATCACCTCGATATTTCAAGACCACAATGATCGCCTCTCGCGAAGCTGGAGCTCCTCGTTTGCTACAGTGCAGTAAACAAGAAGTTTCAATTTCATGAGCGTTGTTGCAACAATGTTCGAGATTTGTGCTCTGGAAAACTTGAAGTGATAGGGTATATTAGCCATCATGACGGCCATGTGTGGACTTTTCCGGGAATCACCTTAAGCCCATCTTTTGATGTGATCGAAATTAGGGGGTTCCTATGGCTAAGGTCTCTATCTGTCTATCTTTTTTGTTTCCAATGCTTCTAAAGTGTGGTCTTTAGACGAGTTGTAGGGTAAATAATAGCGCACATTTTTACTGAACAAAGTACTTGGGAAGGACTTAGCATTCAAAAGTAATGGTAATTTTAACTCAAAAAACAAGCAGTATTAAAATGCTAATATCTCAGGTATTTGGATAGATAGTTTTATTCCTGGTACGGCTTTTGAAAGATCACAGCGAAAAAAGTTCTGAGGGATTATTTTCGGCGCAGGAGTCTACTTTTTTGTCTACTGAGTCTAATTCTAATATAATTTCAAGCTACTATGCTGAAAATAATGTGAGTTTAGTTCTTCAATTAACCATGCAAAGAATTTTTTTCAAATTTGTATAAGGGTGCCTCTTGAAAAATCAGTTTTTTTTAACTGTTTTGTCCTAAATTACTTAAAAAGCGCAGAAGTCTATTTTGGCGCAAAGTCAGGAGTCTACTTTGGTGCATAATGCGCTTATTACTCTTCAGAAAAGTTGTAGGCAAAATTATTTCAAGCAACTTTGCCGAAAAGAAGCTGTATGTCTAACTTGTCTCCTTTTTATTGAGATGCCTCTAAAAAATCAGTTCTTTTAAGTTCCTATTTTAAATTTCGTCAAAAAATAGTGAAAGGAAGACTTTCAGAACTAGTTACGGCCTTTTTTTGCAGAAGGCAGCAACTTGCTATATGTAGTCGTTTATGAGTTACACGTAGTCTTTGAATCAATTAAAAGTACTTTTAAAGCTTGTTTACACCATGTAAAAAATAGCTGTTCTCGTAGTTTTAAAATTAAATTTTTATAATAATAATGATAGCATTTAAAGACTGAATGTTTTTGAGATAACCCATAACCTTAGAATTTTAAGTTATACCAAAATGATTTGTTCAGCAAAAATGTGCGTCATAATTTTCTCTACAACTTTTCTAAACACCACTCTTTGTTTTCATTGAATGTACACTTGAGAGCGCTCTCGAGTGCAACTTCAGTGAAAACACAGAGTGCGGCTCTACGGTGTGGAAATTTTAATTGCATGAAACTATTTAATTTTTGATGGATTAACTGAAAGTTCAACTGGATTTAACGTTAACATTCTATAATAAAAAAAGTAATGAACAAGCCCCAAAAGAGCGATCCATCACTGCATACATCTATCACAGAGAACAGACATGGAGGCTGGAACAAAATTTCTCTAAAAACTTGTGTAAGGATTCCTATTTGACTTCTGCGCCATTAACGGCGACTTCCCCACTTAAAAATCCTCTTTGACAACATGATGGCGCTGGCGTTGCACAAATTACACTAGACACTAAGTGCTAGTAGCGCCAAGAGGCAATTTTCAACAGAAAATTTATCGATACTAGCGCCAAATTGGTCGAAAGTGGAAAATTTAGAGAGAAAATCAGGAGATGCTAACACCACGTAACGGCGACGTTCCCACTTATTTTACACAAGTTTCTGACCGAGCTTCAACGTCTGTTCTCTGTGCATCTATGACAACTAGGGTGAGTCAAGTTTGTATGATGCATCACAACCCCCAATATTGTTCAAATTTCACCAAATCTCGGAAATAGATTGGGAATTCTATACAGAACAACTTCAATTAGACTTCTGAGAAATTTTTTTTTTATTTTTATTTATTTTCATTATAGTCACTTTAACGCTCTTGGGTCATTCGTGACTTGTCTGGAGGTGAGATTTGAGCTCGTGAATTTGGCGTGAAATGTATGGATTCTAACCACTACGCCGAGGTCGCCCCTGAGAAAAAAGTTATTATTATATTAATTTGGACCTATTGATCCGCGCATACCTACAGGCAAATATATGAGCTTGCAGGTATGAGTGGAACACTTGGTCTAGTTACTTTTTGTACAAAGATCAAATCGATTTGCAGTCTTCGACAAAGTTGTTTTGTATACTATTCTTAATCTAAGTCCTCAGAGATGAACCAGCCAACGGCAGAAAGTATCTATAACAAAGAAATCAAATCATATCAATCTAGGTCTGACATTTGGTAAAATTTGAGCAATGTTTGGATGTTTGGTAATCAACTGAATATGATCGTTCCGCTTCGCATACATACAAAGTATAAAATTCTCCCGCAAATAGAGATTATAACCTAATAAGCACATAATGACGAGCAGGAAACATGACCACTGTATACCGAGGAGTAACAGCTATTTGAGTGTGCTATCTATAATGTTATATAGGGGAAATTGGCCTAATGTTGGCTTGCTCTTCAATTTTGCAATGCAGCATACAAAGGGATATTTTTGGTTGCTATTTTTTTTTTTTTTAATTCTTTATTTAAGAGATTTTTAGCCTTAGGCTAGTTCATCTCTAATTTGGTTGCTATTGAAAAATTGTCAAAAATTGATTTCCTTAGAATAACAATTATGTATGCGTCCAATATTAGGGACTCTTAGACCGACCTAAGGAACATCGACCTTATTCACCGAGATCTTAGTTTTGAAGAGCATTTGCGCGTAGTTTTTAGAACGATAAAAATTTAGTTTGTCCAAAAGCACTAGATATTTCATGAATAATTTATTTACAAACAGCTGAGATACGTCGGTTTTATTAACATGAGGATTTCAGCAGATTCTATTGTTCTGAAACGATCTGTATACAAGACAACATTGACGTACGATGCGTAACTTGAATACTCCTATTGTAGTTTTGTACGGTCTTGGTAAACGTTATGGCTTAGTAATTATAGAAGCTTATTAAAAATGCTTACGTTCACGTTGTTGTAAGTTGCAGAATCGGAACGGATCTCCTTCATATCCTGCAATGCAAGTACATGAAGGTAAATGATTCACGACCTGACATTCTGCGTTTTGTCCACACGTTCCAGGGCAAGGATCTTGGCATTTGTTGCGAACGCATGCTCGATTCGATGCGCAATCAGAATTCAATACACATTCTGGTCGACATCCTTCATAAGGGTTTCCGAAGTGATCTTCAATACAAGTACACGAGCCGGCGCCATTTTGTTCCCTACAGACCGCATTGGCTCCACATGGGCTTGGAATGCAAGGTGAGGTAGGCTCCCTCGGGACATCCTGTTGAACCGGCAAACACTGAGTGAATGGATCGCCAGTGAATCCGACCGAGCAGATGCACATGGGTGTATGACTGACAACCCTGCACTCAGCGTTTGCTCCACAGGCTCCCGTGCATGGATCCTGACATTTTTGCCGAATACATGCAAGATTACTGGCACACTCCGAGTTGCTGACGCATTCGGGGCGACAGTTGGGAGGAGAACCAATCATGTTATCCAAACATGTACAAGATGGTGAATCACCAACAGGTCGGCATTCAGAATTAGGACCACACGGGGATGGTTGGCAGGGGTTTGTAGGGGTCATCTGTACTGGACGTTCAACTGTAAGAAATGGCAATGATGGTTGTTAGCATGTACAATTTCGGTTGATGTAGAGACAACATACTCAAAGGTTGACAACGGATGAATGGATCTCCAGTGTATCGTTGAGGACAACTGCATATTGGATTATGATTGACGATTGAGCATCGAGCTCCAACGCCACATGTTCCTGGACACGGATCTCTACACTTTTGATTGTTGCAGGCTTGATTTTGTGAACATTCAGAGCTGACGACACACTCCGGTCGACACATTGGTGGGCTTCCGATGAATCCAGGAACGCATGAACATACGGCTTGACCGTTAATTTCTCGGCATTGGCTGTTTGGACCGCAGGGCGATGGATTGCATGGATTTGTGACGACAGGTGCTTGTTGTGGTCTACATTGTACGAAAGCATTTCCGGCCATTCCATTTGGACAACTGCACATCGGAATGTGGTTGATGACCTCACACAAAGCATCTTGTCCGCATGTTCCTGGACAAGGATCAATGCACTTACTTCGTATACATGCCTTATTTCGTGGGCAATCTGAGTTTAGTACGCATTCTGGTCGACAGCCCTGATCTGGATCGCCTTGGTATTCTGGTAGACAGGAGCAGATTCCGTTGTTACACTGCGCATTTGGTCCACAAGGTGACGGATTGCATGGGTCATCGTTAACGGGTTCTCTCGGAGGAGGAGGAGGAGGCGCCGGATAACAATTCGTGAACGGATCTCCTGTGTATCCAATCTCACATGTACATGTTGGTGTATGGTTGATGACGTTGCATCTAGCTCCAATCCCACATGATCCAGGACAAGGATCTCTGCACTTTTCATTCATGCAGGCTTGATTGCTTGGACATTCAGCGTTGATAGTACATTCGGGCCTACAGTTTGGAGGTGATCCAATGTAGTTGACTAGACAAGAGCACGATGGCACTCCATTGATGTTTCGACATTGTGAATTGGGGCCACATGGAGAAGGAACACAAGGATCACGGACTACAATTTGAGTGTCTTGAGGAGGCGCTATATTGAGGAAATGTTCATGAGTATGAGAATGATTGAAGGTGTTAATATGATCTTACGTGGATTGGGGTAGCATCGTGTGAACGGATCTCCAGTATATCCAGATTGACAAGAGCAAATGGGACTATGATTTTTGACATTGCATCTAGCGTTGGTTCCGCATGTTCCAGGACATGGGTCTACACATTTCTGATTGACACAGGCCTTATTCAGGGAACATTCAGAACTTGTGACACATTCCGGTCGACATCCAGGAGGAGATCCAATGTATGTGGGCAAGCACGAGCAAACGGCCTGTCCATTGATCTCTCGACACTGGCTGTTGGAACCACATGGGCTAGGTTGGCATGGATTCACGTATTGTTGAATTGCTGTTTGGGGTGGATTGATGAATTTAGGTTCTCGTTTTTATGTGTCCTGGGTGAATTTGCGTTGTGTTAGAGTACTCATTGAGAAGAGCAGTGAAGTGTTAGTTCATCGTCGTAATTTTTTGTTCTGCAATGCAGTTCGGAATAATGGTACCACGGACCAATTTCCATACAAATTAGCCGGTTTTACCTGCTTGAACTTTGTTTGGAAATGAGTGGTGTACGTATCCGATCAGCTTTGTTTATAAAATTCTAGGCATAAATGCAGTTTATCTTATTTGACGATAATGACACAAAAGCTTGATAGATAGAAGCTTATCAAAGCAAGCAAAGTTCTAGATTAAGCTTGATAATCTTACGTTCTCTTTGTTGAATGCTACAAAATCTGAATGGATCTCCTTCATATCCCGAGATACACGTACAAGATGGAAGGTGGTTTACGACTTGACATTCCGCATTTTGTCCACATGTTCCTGGACATGGGTCCTGGCATTTGTTACGGACACAGGCTCGGTTAGAGGCGCAGTCAGAGTTCATGATACATTCTGGTCGACATCCCTCGTATGGATTGCCAAAGTGATCTTCAATACAAGTACATGATCCGGCGCCGTTCTTTTCCCTACAGATCGCATTGGCTCCACACGGGCTTGGAATACAAGGTGAGGTTGGTTCCCTCGGGACATCCTGTTGAACCGGCAAACACTGAGTGAATGGATCGCCAGTGAATCCAACCGAGCAGATGCACATGGGTGTATGACTGACAACCCTGCACTCAGCGTTTGCTCCACATGCTCCCGTGCATGGATCCTGGCATTTCTGCCGAATACATGCAAGATTGCTCGCGCATTCTGAGTTACTGATGCATTCGGGGCGACAGTTGGGAGGAGAACCAATCATGTTATCCAAACATGTACAAGATGGTGAATCACCAACAGAGCGGCATTCAGAATTGAGACCACACGGGGATGGTTGACAGGGGTTTGTAGGGGTCATCTGTACTGGAGGTTCAACTGTAAGAAATGGCAATGATGATTGTTAGCGTGCGAACTTCGGGTTTGATGTGGAGACGACATACTTATAAGTTGACAACGGATGAATGGATCTCCAGTGTATCGCTGAGGACAACTACAGATTGGATTATGATTGACGACTGAGCATCGAGCTGCAACGCCACATGTTCCTGGGCATGGATCTCTACACTTCTGATTGTTACAGGCTTGATTTTGTGGACATTCAGAGCTGACGACACACTCCGGTCGACACATTGGTGGGCTTCCGATAAATCCAGGCATGCAGGAGCATACAGCTTGTCCATTTATCTCTCGACATTGACTATTTGGCCCACATGGCGTTGGATTGCATGGGTTGGTAACAACTGGTGCTTGTTGTGGTCTACATTGTACGAAAGCATTTCCAGCCATTCCATTTGGACAACTGCACATCGGAATGTGGTTGATAACCTCGCACAAAGCATCTTGTCCACATGTTCCCGGGCAAGGATCAATGCACTTACTTCGTATGCACGCCTTATCTCTAGCGCAATCTGAGTTTAGTACACATTCAGGTCTACAGCCCTGATATGGATCGCCTTGGTATTCCGGTAGACATGAGCAGATTCCATTATTGCATTGCGTGTTTGGTCCACAAGGTGACGGATTGCATGGGTCATCGTTAACGGGTTCTCTAGGAGGAGGAGGTTCGGGATAGCAATTCGTGAACGGGTCTCCTGTGTATCCATCATCACATGTGCAAGTCGGCGTATGATTGAAGACATAACACCTAGCTCCAATCCCACATGATCCAGGACAAGGATCTCTGCACTTTTCATTCATGCAGGCTTGATTGCTTGGACATTCAGCGTTTATTGTACACTCGGGTCTACAGTTTGGAGGTGATCCAATGTAGTTGACTAGACAAGAGCACGATGGCACTCCATTGATGTTTCGACATTGTGAATTGGGACCACACGGAGAAGGAACACAAGGATCTCGGGCAACGATTTGGGTATCTTGTGGAGGAGCTGTGATTTAAATGTGAATTGGTGAATTTGAATGTATTAAAATGCAGTTGGCTTGTTTCTTACGTGGATTTGGATAGCATCGTGTGAACGGATCTCCAGTATATCCAGATTGACAAGAACAAATAGGGCTGTGGTTGTTGACATTGCATCTAGCATTGGATCCACATGTTCCAGGGCAAGGGTCTACGCATTTTTGATTGATGCATGCCCTGTCTGGAGTGCACTCAGAACTGGTGACACATTCCGGTCGACAACCGGGTGGAGATCCAATGTAGGTGGGGATACATGAGCAGACAGCCTGTTCGTTAACCTCACGGCACTGGCTGTTGGGGCCACATGGGCTAGGCTGGCAAGGATCTTGACTAGTGATAGCTGTGGATATATCTCATTTGAGTACGTTTGTAATGGCATATTGAAGCAAAATCAGCGCATATATTCTGGCATACAGCGTAGAGAGAAGCTTAGAACAGAATAGATTAGGCCGTATTGATAGGAACGGGTTTGTTCTTGTCAATCAATAGCCTTATCGTATTCGTTGGCTTTATTATTATTTGGTGTAAGGCAAATTGCTTGGAATTGATTCAAGCATATTTCTTGCAGATGTAATTTTTTAACATTGTTGGCTAAGCGATTTTTTGTTAGTCACTTGCTTCTCAGTTTGAAGCAATGCAGAATTCAGATGTATTGGGATTTGCATATCCATTCCAACTGAATTCTGCTCATCAAGCAAATTCGTCGTTTTTCAATAGAAAGTATCGGCACATATACGTAAGCTCGTAAACTGTCATAATTGTCATTGTCGTGTGATTAGTAGTCGCAATGCAAGAAACGTCCTGACTAGTGTTCATACTGGTGCAGAAATAGAGTAAGGAAGCATGATCTTACGTTCTCTTTGTTTGACATGGCAATAACGGAAAGGATCACCCTCGTATCCATCGATGCAGGTACAAGAGGGTAGGTGATTGACAACTTGGCACTCGGCACTCTGGCCGCACGTTCCGGGGCACGGATCTTGGCACCGGTTACGGATGCAGGCTCGGTTCGAGGGGCAATCCGAATTCAAGACACACTCGGGACGACAACCTTCATAGGGATTTCCAAAGTGATCCTCGATGCAGGTACACGATCCTGCACCGTTTTGTTCCCTGCAGATAGCATTGGCACCGCACGGACTGGGCACACAAGGAGACTGGATGTCTTTGGGGATATCGGCTGGAAAATGAATCGAGGGGGTAGAGACACTTGGTATCAAACGACATTGACGGTGGTGTGGGAGCGAAGCGGACCAAAGCGACCAACTAGCGTAATAAGCACCGAAGCAAGGGGGGCAGGGGTTGCGTTGTGATTTGTTTTGGTGGGGAGGAGGTTTGCGATTGCGTTTGTTAGATTTGCGTGAATTGCGTGGTTGTGTTGCATTTTTTTGCGCTCAAAGTACAACTATTTTTTTTGTGATATTGTACGGCTGTTTGCGGTTGCGGCAGGCGGTGTTATAGTTGGAGAATTCGACAAACTTACCTTCGTGAATTCTCGTGAGGCTTTGAAGCTGAAGCTAAAGCTGTGGGGATGCATCATTGGACTTTGTGGATGGTTTTTGAAGTTTTTCGGTTCGAAAAGGTTTCTTAAGCAGTCCAATGATGGTCCCCTTGTGAGTGTTTTTTTCCTTAGGCATAAAGGCTTTGCGATGGAATGTATCGTTTTGTTTGGTAAATTTAGAAGAAATTTAGGAAAATCCGGATTGATTTGTGATTAGAGCGTTCACGTTTTTGTAAACAAACAGATCAATCGCCGGCTTCTCGCAAACAAACTATACCAAATGGCAGAAGAATGATTCCTCTATCATTTGGTAAAGTTTGTTTGAGAGAATGAGATTGAGCGAGAAATCGGTGATTGATCTGTTTGTTTACAAAAGCATGTACGCTCTAATCACAAATCAGTCCGGAAATGTTAAATTCGGGAAGCATAGGACAGCATAAGCCAAATGGTTTCGATACATTACTTCGCAGTTTGAACAATTTTCAATGCTACCCTTAAGACCCATCTAGGTTCAACACCATTTCTGTTCACCAGTTTGGCAGTGCTACTACCCACAGTTGTCTTGTGATATTCTGCCGTGTTCATTGTTGCAAAAATTCTAAATTGCGTATGCACATAGTTAGGAATTGTGAAAAGCTGCCAAGGGGTCATTCAATAATTACGTAAGCACTACGGCGGGAGGGGAGAGGGAGAAGGTGTGAGTGATTTTCACATGTTTTCTTACATGGGAGCGAGGGGCTCTCAGAAATATATTACGTAAGCATGAACAAGTCATATACAGACCATTCAAATATTCCATGTAAGATCTTACAAAGGGAAGAGGATAGTTTGTTATATATTACTAAGTCTTACAATGAGGGTGGGAAAATCCCAAAAAAGTGCTTTCCTTATTATGGCATGATCCCCTAGAAGCAACCCCTGAAAAAGTTATTACTTATAGTTTTTCTAGTCCACCGTTGTTTTCGACTATTTTTTCAGTATGGTGAAAATCCCATTGGTAGGGCCTGAGAAAACAAAACACTAAAATTTCCATACTCGATGAGTAGAGTATACAGAACAGCTAGCCCTGATATTTTTTTCTGAAGACACTTCTTCACTCACGCTTAAAATAAGAAAGCTCTCGCGTAACGTTTGAAAATAGCCTATCAACTTGTGTAAACATAACTTGTTAGGCCCTTTTCGCGTGAACCGAAGTACGCAAACCACCATCCGATCCATTAGGGAAAATTCTCTCCTTCCCGATAGTGCTCTTGGTTTGCGTGGGCGTACTTCGGTTCGAGTGTTGTTTACAAAATTTGATAGGACTTTTTCAAATGTTACGCGAAAGATATTCATTTCAAAAGTCGCGCTAATTCATTTTACTTGACGACAACTATCTGTTCATTTGGGGAGGCTGATTTTACCTGGGTGGTAATTATACGAAATGAAATAAATTCAGGTTTTCCAAATGAACAGCTGTGAAACCTGGAAAAACAAATTTGAGCGTCTTTTGATATGAATAAGTCTTATTTCGAGCATAATTAGAAGTGCTATGTTTGGAAAAATTGATCAGAAATAGCTGTTCAATATGCTCCTTGGGATTTTTGCATAGCTATTAAATGGACGTATCTGCTTTTGTAAACAAAGATTCAAACGTCAATTTGTCGAAATTCTTTGCTCGCCCACGCAAACTAACACCAGGCCAGCTAAGAGTTTGACAAAAGCAGATACATCCATTTTTGATTTCTTAATTTTGAAGCTTTTTCAGGGTGTGTTTCTAGGAGTTTTCCACCTAATCTTGTGCCTAAGCAAATATATATAAGGACTATTGCAAACATTTAAACGGCATATTGTGATATTGATTGTTCTTCCTGTACCTGAATCTGTGTGGTGACAACTGTGGCTATAAATTGGCGGAGTGCAACTTGATGATATGCCCTGCACGTGCACACCCATGTACGTCGATGTGCTTAAGATTTTTGAAAATAAAAACATGAATTTCAGTATAAGGCTTCGACAATTAATCATAACTAACAGGCAGAGGGTTCATTTTTCGGGTCAGTCAAGATAGATGGCGATGGAAATTATTAAACTTTTTTCATAATTTTTAGAATCAGTTTAGAAATTGTTTCCCTTACAAACAATACAACTTTGATCCACGATGAGATGGTTCAAGATTGAACAATCAAGTGGGACCAGGAGTAACTTGCCCGGATCCTATGGGCAGATGGCCAACTGTCTTCCAAGCTGAACTCCAAGCAATTTTAGAGTGTTCTATTATATGTTGGCGTAGAAACTATAAGAGTTCAAATATATGCATCATTTCCGACAATCAAGCTGTTCTAAATGCTTTAAAGTGGGCGACATGTACATCAAAACTTGTCTGGGAATGTGTTCAATCTTTTCAAAAATTGTTTTGTCATAATCAAGTCAACTTATATTGGGTTCCTGGTCATTGTTGGATTGACGAAAATAAAAGAGATGATGTATTAGCAAGACTCGGATCTTCTCATAAGCTCATGGATACTCGGCTTATCGGCTGCATCTCTTAGAATGGAGCCAAAAGCGTGGGAATCTTTAAAAGTGGAGGAAAACTGGAAGAACATGAACATTGAGCTGAATATTTTTTGTTGAAATTTGGTCCAACAAGAGATTTTGAATTTTATTTTTAGCAGGCCAAATATGGATAAAATTCGTACAATCTATATACTGAATTGATCTAGATAAAAATAACTTGCATCAATTTTTCATGTTTAGATGGAAGTATCTTGAAAGATAGTGTGAATTTTTCTCGGGAGGTCTAAATTCATAACTCTGGTCTTCTTCTTCTTCTTCTTCTTCTTCTTCTTCTTCTTCTTCTTCTTCTTCGCATTTCAAGCTTATTGCATATCGCATATTAGCTTATTGCGTGCTCTCAACTTAGTGTTCTAGATGCACTTCCATAGTTATTAATTGAGAACTTTCGATGCCTGTACCATTTTTGCATTGGTATAATTGTGTGGCAAGTCCAATCATACTTCTATGCCCAGGGAAGTCGAGAAATTTTCCAACCCGAAAAATTCCTAGACCGGACCGGGAATCGAACCCAGCCACCTCCAGCATGGTCTTGCTTTGTAGCTGCGCCTTTACCGACTGAGCTAAGGGAGGCCCCAATTTCCAATTTCCCCAATAACTCTGGTACTAGAGGGTTAAAATAAATAATAAAGTAAAAACAAAAATCCTATCTTGGAAACTATGAGAATTCAAATGTAATTACATTTAAATTAATTTCATGAGTTGAGTTAGGTAGGCTCTAGGTGTGAGAGCTGCCTCCCTGGCGTCACTAGCATTGCTTCTACGAACTGCTCGAATGATGTGATCCATTGTCTATTCCATTCGAGCAGTTTAAAATTACATTTACTACGAGTCGAACTTGTCAATTTAATAGTTTTTGAGATTATTTCCTCGTGAATCCCGAGAAAAGTCTCGACATTTAACCATTTTTCAAACAGACTAATCTAAATTGATCGATTCTCTTCGTCAGCTTTCTCTTTCATCAACAATTGGGCTACATAAACGTTTTCTAATGTATTTGTTATATATTATATATTATGTAATAATATATATTATATGGTAGATCGTTCCTTCCTACATCGAACTGGGTATCGAAAATATCCGGAAATGTGCCACGACAGTGACGATGAGAGAAAGTCGATGAAAAGAATCGATCCAGTTGTGTGAGATTTATGTAATTCTCAAGATGGTTAAAAATAAGTCAACAATTATTTTACATAAATCGCTGGTTAAGAAACACGCCAAAACTACTTGACATTGATAAAGGTAATAAGCTGAAAGAGAGCATCCTTTTTTCGATTTCTGCATCATCGCATCATTCTAGCATCTTTTTGAGTATTTCAATCGTTCGTCTATATCTAAAATGGATACATCAAACGTTGCTTGATTTCGTTTAGTTCAACGTCAAGTGACACATTAACTGAACATTCAATACGGCTGAATCGTGTAATCGTTCGATGAATGTAATTTATACTCTTTATCTTGACCAATGTCCCGAAAATGACACAAAAGGCATATCAAATAAATTGACGGAATGTCAGTGAAGCATAAATTAAAAAAATCAAAGTCGAGTTAAAAAACGTGTCAACTCGAAATTGACGATACTTCAATTGAAAAGAAGCATGTAAAGAAAGATGAGAAAATTTGCAGCTTTCATTTCATTAGTAGCGTGTTTCGTTTTCGTTCGCTTTGGTAAAACGCAACAATGAGCTCGAGATGAACCCTTTTCACTCCAACTGTTGGAGGTAAACCGATAAAATGTTGGACCGCAACGCTTTCCTTTCTTATTGAGAGTTAGCTTGTTTCAATACTCCAACGTTGTAATTGTATCAGGTAATCAAAAGACATAGTATTCCATTTCATAATTCAGTTTTTGTTCATTTTGAGCAACCAGAAGCACACCGACTTACAACATAAAAAAACCTATTGGGTGACACTGAAGCACTTCAACCTTTCCTATTGCCCACCATATTCAAGCAGTGAAGCGTTTTTGATCGAATTGCGGTGTAGGCATTTATGAATTTAGGACTTATAGCTCTAGGGCCAGCGCATCTTTTTTAGGCATTTCTGTCATCTTGACTGTACTGGTGAGCACGGATTTTGCAATTCTGATCAATTGTGATAGTAAATTACCTGATTTTTTTTCCAAATAAATTTAATAGTAATTCTGTTTGGAACTAGTCTTTGTTGTTTTGAAATATGACATGTAACGTAATTTTCGCGGGCTTCTAAATTATAATATGTTTCTAAAATTCCGTATAAGATCGCCATTTTTTTGTTTGCAAGATTGTGCTCACCGTACGGCCGGTGTTTTCTTTCATACATTTACCGCCCGTATTAATCTTAAGCTCAAAGCCATTTTGGTAGCCTGCCGCCAATAGCACTCGTATCCAGCGTAGCACAAAGATAATGCAAAAATCGACTCACCTTGAATGAACTGGCAGCCGGTGAACGGATCACCCGTGTATCCCTCTTCGCACGAGCAGCTCGGTGTATGGTTGATCACTGTACAGCGAGCGTTGAGGCCACAAGATCCCGGGCACGGGTCGGTACACTTCTGCCGAATACAGGCCTGATTCTGCTGGCACTCGTTGCTGAGCACGCACTCGGGGCGGCAGTTTGGTGGTGACCCGATGTAGTCTGGTAGACATGAGCAGGCTTCTTTGCTGCCAACAACCTTACATTCGGCATTCGGTCCGCAAGGCGATGGGACGCATGGCGTCGGCGGAAGCGGAGTGGTCGTGCGGATTTCCTTGTAGCATCGCGAGAACGGATCACCAGTGAAGTCCGGACTGCAACTGCAGATCGGATTGTGATTGATCACCTGACACTTGGCGTTCTGTCCGCAAGAGCCTGGGCATGGATCGATACACTTGTAATTCACGCAAGCCCGCTGCGATTCGCACTCTGTGCTGAGTTGACATTCGGGTCTGCAGTTCGGTGGACTTCCGGTCATTTCTGGCTGGCACTTACAAATTGCTACACCATTCTGAATTCGGCAAATACTGTTCGGTCCGCATGTGCTCTGATCGCACACCGGTGGTGACCTGGTAATTGGTTCTTCTTGTTTCAACACACACCGAGTAAACGGATCACCAATCATCCCTTCCGGACAGACACAGGTTGGAACGTGATTCACAATTTCGCACAGTGCTTGATTCCCACACACTCCAGGGCAAGGATCAACACACTTGTAATTCACACACGCCAGCTGCTCTGGACAGTCACTGTTAACGTCGCACTCCCGTCGACAACCGCTGAACACATCGTACGGGTTTCCTTCATAGTTTGGCAAGCAGTAGCAAGCTCCGGCATTGTTTCGCTCTCTACATTCGGCATTGGGTCCACATGGCGATGGCGTACATGGCGTCAATCGCTCAGTCGTTGCTGTAAAACAAAAACACAAACCGTTACAATCATTATCAAACTACGCAAATATTCCAGAAAACTTACGTGGAACAGAGCGGTCGCATTGCGTCAACGGATTACCCTCGTAACCGTCGCTGCACGTACAAACGGCACGATGGTTGACCACTTGACAGATAGCGTTGCTTCCGCAAGCTCCCGGGCACGGATCAACACAGCGTTCGTTCTGGCAGGCTAGGTTGCTTGCACACTCGGCATCGATGGTACATTCTGGGCGGCAGTTCGGTGGTCGACCAATATAGTTCGGCTGGCACGTACAAGCAGGTTGCGTTCCTACAACTCGACACTGTGAATTAGGTCCACATGGCGATGGCGAGCATGGATCAATTGGATCCCTGCCGACTGGTACGACCTCCTTCTTCTCGCAACGAATAAATGGATCACCGGTGAAACCTGGCGAACAGCTGCAGATCGGATTGTGGTTCACGACTTGACAACGAGCGTTCGTTCCGCAAGTGCCTGGGCATGGATCGATACATTTCTGGTTAACGCATGCTCGATCTTGACTGCATTCCGAGCTGACCACACATTCCGGTCGGCAGGATGGTGGCGTTCCGATGTAACCAGATTGGCAAGAGCACACGGCATGTCCATTAACTTCTCGGCAGTTGCTATTTGTTCCGCAGGGTGATGGATAACATCCTGCTTTTGGTGGTTCAGTTACTCTTTCCTCGAAGGCGCATCCCGTTCTCGGATCACCAGAGTATCCTTCCAGGCAGAAGCAAAGCGGGCTGTGGTTTTGGACTCGGCATTCTGCATTCAGTCCACACACTCCGGGGCATGGATCTTTGCATTTGTTGTTGACGCACGCGCGGAATTTGTCGCATTCTGAGTTTTGTACACATTCCGGACGGCAACCGGTGTATGGATCACCGAAGTAATCCGGCAAACACGAACAAGACCCAGCGCCGTTCCGTTCCTTACAGATTGCATTTGCTCCACATGGTGATGGATTGCATGGATTTACCGGTTCAGGAGCACGCTCTAGATGGAGGAAGCATAAGGGTGTTATGTTAGCTCTAGGGAAGTCTAAATTTGGGCAGTAAAAATAGTTGAAACTGTAATCTTACGAATGAACTCTGTGCAAACTGAAAAAGGATCCCCAGTGAAGCCGGCCTGACATTCGCAGACTGGATTGTGCTTAATTACAGTGCATATGGCGTTAAGGCCGCAGGAGCCAACACAAGGATCTTTACATTTTTCGTTTACACAGGCTAGGTTTGCAGGACATTCTGCGTTTATCATACACTCCGGCCGACAGTTGGGTGCCCTGCCGATATAGTTCGGAAGGCAAGAGCAAGCCGGTGTATTGCCAACGGTTCTACACTGTGAGTTTGGTCCACAGGGAGATGGCACACATGGATCAATAGGTTCAGATACCACAGGACGTTCTAGAAGAGATTTATATACAACATAGATTGAAAGATAGAATAGGGTTTGTAGTCACATGCAGAGCAGGCAGTAGAGTCATATAAACATGCTTACTTTCTTCCGGTAGACACCTTATGAAGGGATCCCCGGTAAAGCCAGGAGAACAGCTACAGATAGGGCTGTGATTGACGATCTGGCAACGTGCATTCTGTCCGCATGTTCCCGGACATGGGTCTTGGCATTTTTGATTAATGCAAGCCTTGTCCATGGCACATTCGGAGCTAACGACACATTCCGGTCGACAACTGGGTGGAGTTCCAATGAAACCAGTCTGACAAGAGCAAACGGCGTGTCCGTTGATTTCGCGGCATATGCTATTGGGTCCGCAAGGAGATGGCGAACACGGATTGATAGGTTCGTTTTGCTCTAGAAGGGTGTATTTACACGGTTAGAGTGACAGATTCTTAGAGGTAACATATAGGCTAGCTTACTCGGAGGAATCGGCTCGTGGCAAGCGGACAGTGGATCCCCAGTAAAGCCCGAAATACAAATACAACTAGGCGAATGATTGGCCACGTAGCATTCGGCATTGAAGCCACAGACACCTGGGCATGGATCTTTACATTTGTTATTAACACAGGCCTTGTTACGTGGACAATCGCTGTTGGTCACACATTCCGGGCGGCATCCACTGTACGGATCACCAAAATATTCCGGCAAACATGTACAAGAGCCAGCACCATTGCGTTCCTTACAAACGGCATTTGATCCACACGGTGAAGGATTACAGGGATCTTGTCTTTCGTCCCTTATCGGTGGAGCTATAATAGAGTGAAAGGATAGATAACACACAAACACATACACACATACATGCTTAGTAGAGTATAGGACTAGTATATACAGAAGCTAAAATATCATGCGTCTACGACTACGTATTACTAAATACTAGAGGCGAAGTACGGGGAAGAGGCAACTTCTATGTCACGTTCTTCGTCGTACTTGTACCATTAAAATAAAATAGAGGAAAGATTCTTACGAGGAGTAATCGTACACCCAGAGAAGGGATCACCAGTATAGCCAGACGAGCAGGAGCATACGGGAGAGTGTTTAATCACGTTACAGATAGCATTGGGGCCGCAGGAGCCTGGACAAGGGTCTCGACATTTTTCGTTAATGCATGCGAGGTTGCCGGCACATTCCGAATTGATGGTGCATTCTGGTCGGCAGTTTGGTGCTCGTCCGATGTAATTCGGTAGACAAGAGCACGCCGGAACGGTCCCAACGGCGCGACATTGCGAATTGGGGCCGCACGGGTTCGGTACGCATGGGTTTTCGGGTACCTTGGGTTCCAAGTCTTCTACAAGGAGGATAGATAGGTGGGGTTTAGATAGAAATCAGAAGCAAGGAAGTAGACAGCTTACTTTCTTCTGGTAGACACCGAACGAAAGGATCGCCTGTAAAGCCAGGAGAGCAGCTGCAGATAGGATTGTGATTGATGACGTTGCATCTAGCGTTTAGGCCACACGTACCGGGACATGGGTCAACGCACTTCTGGTTTACACAAGCTCGGTCCTGAGGACATTCTGAGCTGACAGTACACTCCGGTCGACATGCCGGAGGTGTACCGATGTAATTCTTTTGACAAGAGCAAACTGCATGGCCGTTAATTTCACGACATTCGCTGTATGGCCCACATGGTGACGGACGACAAGGGTTCATAGGAACTGGGTCAGCTACTGCAATATGGAAGTATTGAAAGGTAAGTGACTTTTCTGGGACGAAATTTGTTAACGGTTGGAAACCTACATTTAGGAATCTCGTGGCACGCAACCGATGGATTACCCGTAAATCCGGCGATGCAAGAGCACGTCGGGGCATGATTGGAAACGAAGCATTCGGCATTCAATCCGCACATGCCCGGGCACGGATCTTTACACTTGTTATTCAGACAAGATCTTGTTTTTGGACAATCGGTATTGAGGACACATTCCGGCCTACATTCGTGGTATGGATCACCAAAATAGTCTTGCAAACAAGTGCAGGAACCGGCGTTGTTGCGCACATTGCACTCAGAATTCACTCCGCATGGAGAAGGATTGCATGGATCAACGTGTTCGGGTACATGTTGAACTAGAACGAACATTAGGAAAAAATGTGGGAGTAAGATTTCTGTGCTTATTGAAACATCCAATTGAATATTACTTGGAATTGGCATGCAAGCCGAGTACGGATCTCCACTGTACCCATCGTAACATTTACAGCTAGGTTGATGGTTTTGTACAATACATGTAGCGTATGTTCCACACGATCCAGGGCATGGGTCTTTACATTTTTCGTTGATACAAGCTTGCATCGAGTTACATTGCGAATTGGAAGTACACTCCGGACGACAGTTAGGGGCACGTCCAACGTAGTTTGGCAGGCAAGAGCAAGCGGCCGTGTTTCCAACGGGCTTGCATTGTGAATTAGGTCCACATGGTGACGGCTGGCATGGATCTATTGGATCACTAATAACCGGTCGTTCTAGCAGAGGGGAAATCACAGGAAACATGTTAAACTTAGCTCGTTCAAAAGATCGGTTAATTTAAGCCTTACTTTCTTCTGGGATACATCGCACGAATGGATCCCCAGTGAATCCGCTCTTGCAGCTGCAGATTGGATTATGATTGACCACCTGGCAGCGTGCATTCAGTCCACAAGTTCCCGGGCAAGGATCTTTACATCTCTGTCCAACACATGCCTTGTCCAGAGGACACTCGGAACTAACGACACACTCCGGGCGACAATTCGGAGGAGTACCGATAAAGTTTGTACTACAAGAGCAGACGGCATGATTGTTAACCACCCGACAGATGCTATTTGGGCCACATGGCGATGGCTGGCATGGATTGATCGGTTCCTCTCGAACTGAACATTGAGGAAAATGAGAAATATCAGTAAATTTGTCGCAAAAGTACGCAAGATTTTTCAATTATCTTACTTTCTGGTTGTGGCGTACACGCCGTAAACGGATTGCCAATGTATCCGGCAATACAAGAGCACGAAGGAGCATGGTTAACCACGTGACATTCGGCATTGCTGCCGCATGTTCCTGGGCAAGGGTCAACACATTTGCTATTGATACAAGACCGTGCCCTAGGGCAGTCACTATTCATGACACATTCCGGTCGGCAACCGACGTATGGATCGCCGAAATATTCCGGCAAGCAAGTACATGAACCAGCTCCGTTTTGTTCTCTGCAGATGGCATTGACACCGCAAGGGTTCGGTGTACATGGCATTGATGGCGGTTCGTAGGTAACTGTGAAAGGTTTGAAAGAAGACAGCGTTAGAGGATGATAGAGTGGTGAAATGAGCTAGGATATGGATGGAGGTGAAACTGCAGCTTACTTTGTAGTCTATTACAACCAGAGAATGGATCACCAGTGTAATCCGGATAGCACGTGCACATGGGTCTGTGTGACGAGACTCTACATTCCGCGTTAGGTCCACAGGATCCACGACATGGATCTACACATTTTTCGTTCACACATGCCTGTTGCATTGGACATTCTGAGTTGACGACGCATTCAGGTCGACAATTCGGTGGTCGTCCAATGTAATTGGGCACGCATGAGCAAACTGCACGGTTACTTTGTACCCGGCATATAGAATTAGGACCACAAGGTGATGGTTGGCAAGGGTTCAGGTTTTCCTCCTGTAGGACGGGTTGTTCTAAAAGGTACGGGCAACACATAGGTAAACATATAACATAGAGATAGATTAGCATGCACAAGCCTAAGCGAAAGCGTTTTGGGGTAGACTACCGATGGAAGTAGCCTACCAAGCGATAGCGAATGTAGCAACAGAAGCGATAAGGTTCGATTTGGAATCTTACGCGGTTCAGGAGAACATCTAACAAACGGATCACCGATAAATCCAGGGTTGCAGCTACATATCGGATTGTGATTAACGGTGCGACATCTAGCATTGTTGCCACATGTGCCAGGACAAGGATCGACACAACGCTGATTCATGCATGACTTATCCCGAGAGCACTCGGAATTAATCATACATTCGGGTCTACAGTGTGGAGGTGCCCCGATACAGTTGTCCTGACATGAGCAAACGGCGTGGTTATTCACCACCCGACAAATGCTGTACGGCCCACATGGTGATGGTAGACAAGGGTCTATAGGCTCGTCTTTAGGTTCTAATACATAGGAAGTATAGGGATAGTTAGAAACAACACACAGATAGTACACTACAGGATAGGTCTTACTTTCTATAACGAGAAGGTGACAGGCCAGTGATGGATTGCCCACAAATCCATTGACACACGTGCATGTAGGAGCGTGGTTATGTACATGGCATTCGGCGTTCAGACCGCAGGTACCAATGCATGGATCGACACACTTAGTGTTGACGCATGACTTGTCGTAAGGGCAGTCTGAATTCTGAACGCATTCTGGTCTACAACTAACATAAGGATCACCGAAATAGTCTTGCATGCAAGTACACGAGCCAGCACCATTACGTTCTTTACAGATAGCATTTGATCCACATGGCGACGGGTTGCAAGGTTCTGGTATTTCATCTCGGTAGATGACTACAAACATGGAAATATCGCAGTAAATGACAGTTCGACGAATGTCTTCTTTCGGATTGGAGGTATTTTTCGGATTATGCATAAAGTGGCACTTACCTTTGGGACTGCATCCAGTGTACGGGTCACCTTCGAAGCTGTCCATACAGTAGCACTCGGGACGATGGTCACGAGAGACGCATTGGGCATTGAAGCCACACGATCCAACGCAAGGATCTTTGCACTTCTGTGCAAAGCATGCACGATTCGATGGACAGTCTTGATGGGTTTCACATTCAGGACGGCAGTTCGGTGGAGCACCGAGCATACCTGTCACGCACGAACAAACGGCTCGATCATTCACTTCACGACACTCGGCGTACGGTCCACATGGACTCGGTTGACACGGATGTACTGGTTCAGCTGGTTTCGGCATACACTGCTCGAATGGATTTCCGTAGTAATCTCGTAGACAACTGCAGAACGGTTTGTGGTTGATGACCTGACACTGTGCGTTAGTTCCGCATAGTCCTGGACAAGGATCCTTACACTTAAGGTTGATACAGCTTTGGTCATGTGGACATTCTTCGTGACTTGAACATTCTGGTCTGCATGCTGGTGGAGCTCCACGGTATCCTTCTGGACACGAGCATGTTGGACGACCTGCCACAATTCGACAAACGCTATTCGATGGACATTGAGCGCATGGATCCGTAGGTGGCATAGGTTGCTGAACCTCTCTTCGACATCCTTGGAACGGATCACCGACGAAACCTCGGCTACATTCACAAACTGGGATGTGATTTGCCACGATACATTCAGCGTTTGATCCACACACACCGGGACAAGGATCCCGACAATGTTGATTGATACAGGCCATCTGACTGGCACAATCTGAATTGAGTACACACTCGGGTCTGCATCCGGTATTATAAGGATCTCCCAGGTACGGTGCGATACACGTACATTTGGCTGCTCCATTAACACCAGTGCATAGCGCGTTTTCAGCACACGGATTTGGATAACATGGATCGGCTGGCGATGGTGGTGCTCGTTGCACTTCCGAACATCCAACGAAAGCGTCGCCTTCAAAGCCTCGCTTACAGTTACAAAATGCTGAATGGGACACAACGTGACACTCGGCATTCGTACCACATGCATTTGCGCATGGATTCTGGCACTTTTCATTGATGCAAGCCTTGTCCTGTGGACACTCTGTGCTAAGAACACATTCCGGACGACAATGTGGTGGGCTACCAATGAAATTTGGCTGACACGAGCACACTGGTCGGTTGCGCTTAACTTGACAAATTGAATTCAATCCACAAGGCGATGGATCACATGGATTTCTCGGTAGTTCGGTCGGTGGATCCTTCTGTCGACCTTCACACACAACAAATGGATCGCCTTCCTGGTTTGGTCCGCAGCTACAGATTGGATTGTGATTCAATACTTCACACCTAGCTCCGGTTCCACACGTTCCCGGGCATGGGTCAACGCACTTCAAATTGATGCAAGCCTTGTTCTGTGGGCATTCGGCGTTAATCATACATTCCGCTTGGCAAGCCGGTGGTACACCTCTGAATCCCGGTAGACATGAACATACTGCGTAGTTATCGGGTGTTGACAAACACTTACTGTTCGGACCACATGGATTTGGATCGCAAGGTGTAGTATCCGGAGGCAGATAGGTTTTCTCTGTACACGTGATCAGGGCATCACCCGTATGCGTCGGTGGGCAGTAGCATACTGGAATATGGTTCACTACTGTACACTGAGAATTTACCCCACAGACTCCAACACATGGATCTTGGCAACGATTATTAACACATGCCTTGTTGACTGGACAATCGGTGTTGATTACGCACTCGGGTCTACATCCAATCAGAGGATCTCCGTAGTAGTTCTTCTTGCAAACGCAGGCCAAGACTCCTCCCATTCGTTTACAATCTGTGTTCGCTCCGCAGCGAATTGTATCACACGTTTCCAGTGGCGTATCTTGTTGAATACAGCGTTCGTATGGATTTCCATACAGGCCTGGTGGACAGGAGCATACCGGTCGATGTTGCTCAACCGTACACACGGCGTTGTATCCACAGGAACCTGGACAAGGATCCTGACATTTTCCTTGTAAACAAGCCAAATTGAATGGGCAATCCGTATTCAGAACACACTGTGGTCTGCAACGTGGGTTATGAATGGCATCTGGGGCCGAACATGGATCACACAATGCTACATCATTGCCATAGACCGAGCATACACCTTGCGGTCCACATGGTGATGACTGGCATGGCTGTCGTGTCATATTTCTATCTTCTGGAATTGAAACGCATTGTACGAATGCATCTCCAGTATATCCGTTTGGACATTTGCACATCGGTGTATGGTATTCGACTTGGCATTCTGCATTTACACCGCAAACTGCCCCGTTACAAGGCGGTACACAACGGCGGTTGTAGCAAGCCTTATCCGTTGGACAATCAGAGTTCAGTTCGCATTCGGGTTTGCAGCCTCTCTTTGGATCACCTTTGTAGTTGGGCAAACACTTGCAGATCGGTCTGCGGTTGCGCATGGTACACTGTGTGTTGATGCCGCAAACTCCTGGTTTACACTGATTGTTCGGAACTTGTTGATCCATTGTGTAACAGCGATAGGCTGGATTACCAGTAAGTCCTGCATTACAGAAGCAAACAGGGTGATGTTTTTCCACCTTGCAGTAAGCTCCCGCTCCGCAAGAGCCTGGGCAAGGATCAACGCATTGGAATCCAATACAAGCCTTATCGACCGAGCAATCATTATCCACTCGGCATTCGTATCCATGACATCCCTCAGCACTGGTTGGATCTCCGCTGAGTCCTGGTGGGCATCTGCAAGCAGGTGATCCATCGGTTAGTATCAAACACTCGGCTCCTGGTCCGCACGCATTTGGTTCGCAAACCGAACGTGGCTGCTCTATGCATCCAGCGTAGGCATCCCCGATGTATCCTGGTCTGCAGTAGCACTGTTCTCTTCCCTCGGCGATGTAGCAATCTGCATTGATTCCACATGGGCCAGGCTTGCACAGTTCGGGTGTAACAACTGGCTCTATGCAGCTTCGGAATGGATTACCAACGTTTCCTTCCGGACAGTAGCATACCGGATTGCGCGAAGAGTCGCAAACAGCTCCAAAACCGCATGGGTTTGGTTCGCATGGATTTCTTGGTTCAATGCATCCTCGGATCGTGTTGGGACTTTCTATGTATCCACTAAGGCAGGTACATTTGGCGAATCCATTGTTCAGTAGGGTACACTGCGTGTTTGGTCCACATGGCGACGGATCGCAAGGGTTATGTGGCAGTTGGCACGGCACTTCCGGTGGGTTGCCTTCGAATTCTGGCAGGCAGAAACAGGCAGCTTGTCCGTTGATTTTACGGCATCCAGTGTTTGGCCCGCAAGGGTTTGGTGAACATTTGTCTCCTTCAGGAACTGTGGGGAGGAAAGAGCGGGATAAGAAATTGTGCTTTTAGATGGGTTCAGAAATGGATACTTACTGCAATTCTTGAACGGATTTCCAGTCATTCCCTTTGGACAGAAGCACACTGGACTACCAGCGTCAATTTCGCACATAGCGTTAACACCACATGGGTTCGGATCGCATGGATTGCTAGGTGGACTGCATCCCAATCGGCCGTCTCCTCTGTACCCTGGTGGACACTTGCACTGCGGTTTATGGTCACGAACATCGCAAAGTGCATTTGGTCCGCATTGACAAGGAGACAAGCATTGTCCGTTGATGCAAGCTTCGTATGAGCTGCATTCGCTATCTGACCGGCAACCGTGTAGTTGAACACATTCAATGTACGCATTGCCAGTGTATCCACTATGGCAACGGCATTCGACGCCATGATTTTGTGGGATGCACTCGGCATTGTCTCCACAGGAATCCTCCTGGCAAGGATTAAGGCACACGCGGTTCAACCGATCGCACAGCTTATCCGGTGGACAATCCTCGTTATACTGGCACACTGAACCTGGAGTGGTCACTACAAAGGGATTCGAAGGAACTGTTATGGAGATTGTCACCGCAGAAGCATTTTGGGGAACTAGTTTACCTGGTTGACAAGCTACGAAACCGTTTCCGTGATAACCTTCAATACAGCTGCACTCAGAACCGTGGTTCTTGTTAATGCACACTGCATTCGTAGCGCACGGATTCTTTACATCGCATGGTCGACGGCACAAATTTCCGACACAGGCTTCCATGAGAGGACATTCGTCATTCGAGGTGCATTGAACTGTTAAAGGTGCAAGGAAAAAAAGAAAACAGAAAAACGGGTGTGTTTTGAATACTTGGTGCAGAGAAAAACGCTATCTATACTGTTGCACGTGGATCTGCATTTATACATATTCTGGAAATTTTTACATCATTTACATTTTTTAAAGTGGTTGTGGCCAAACGTGTGCAGAATGTTAACACTTGATTTGCTTAGTAGTGCAGAGTAGTTTTGATTGAGTAAAGTAGATGAAAAGCGTTAGTGATCCTTACTTGGTTCCAGTGGTGTGCACTTGATAGTTGGATTACCCTCGTGCCCCGGAGGACACGTGCAGATTGGTCGGTGCATTTTCGCGTGACAGGTCGCCGTCGGAGCACAGACACTGTCAAATAGACAGGGATTCTCGCACACCTCCATAAAGCAAACCTCGGTTTCGATACAGTCGGCATCCGATTGGCAGGGTTCGGGTATTTTGGGTGTGCCAGGTGGTTCTATCGTACGTTGTTGTTAATTGGGCGCGGATGTTGGTGGTGGGGGGATTAGAGTGTATTAGAACAATCATCGAATGTATTGTATAGCAGTTATCGGCGTGGATGTTTCTCCTTAAATGGCGGCTTAGGGCTATTGTTTATTTACAAACAGTAGGCTTTTCTAAGCAGCCATTTAAGTGTTGAACGCTGTTCAGGTTGTTCATACCAGCAGTTCAGCGATTTATTTCCCCTAATGACCTGTTTACATAGGGAACATGCATAAATGACGTAGCATTTGAGGGGGGAGGTGGGGGTTTCAGAATTTGTGACCGGCCATGTATTGGATATAGCCAAATACGCTACGAGGGGGGGGGGGGAGGGGTCTAAAATTGATCAAAAATATGCTACGTCATTTATGGATGCTCCCATATGTGCTGGTTCATAATTATGATTAACCCAAATTTGGTGTAATCCGGTCATGTTTGTACCAGAAATTGATGCGTTAATGTTAATTATTAAGACCTTCGAAAGTAACTCAGAGACTGAGTCAAGTGGACTCATTCTCTTATTTTCCCATACACATTTTACGAAATTGGGTAAAATGTGTATGGGAAAAAAGAGGGTTTCTCAACTTGACTCAGTCTGTGAGTCATCCAAACCATTTGTGGGATAGTTCTACCATCCGGGTTACCGTTCGTTTATTGTATTTGTTTATTAGGTTTTGCGAATCAGCACAAGTGTAAACACCCCATAAAGATCAGTAAGCTGGTTTGTTATGTAAACTATCCGCTTCTCTCGGTAAAATATGAGGTTTTAGAACGATTCTTGACCAGCAGGTATGAACAAACCGAGTTGAATGTATTTCCATTTTCATTGTTGAAAAGAGACAATAAATTAGAATAGACATAGGTTATAGCAAAAGTTAGAGGCTCGTTTAGAATAGGTTAGAAGGCTTAAAGCTAGCTAGCTAGGAAACAAACTTTACAGTTGAATGCCTAGGACGGGAGCACTCAGAGAGAAACAAACTTCAAACTCAGTATCAGGAAACGCAGTGTATAAAACAGTGTAGAAGTGCACAGAACAGTATGAGAGAGAGAGAGGGGAAGGAGACGTAGAATCGAGATACTCTCGTGGCAGGCAGCTGATTATACCTTTTGCGCAGGGTGTATTGGGAGGTAAGTTGTCTGTACATTTGGGAATACAGTGTGATTGTTTGCATATTTCGGATATCTCGCAATCGGAGGAGGTTTTGCAAGTTCTCGGTGGTGTATGGGTTGTGGTCGCAGTATCTCTCAAGTCCGTGGATTGTAACTCATCCATGGGAGTTGATAGTGTGTGTGAAATTGGAGAATCAGTTGAAATGTCTTCGGAAGCTTGAGCCGTCATGGGGATTGTTGTTGAACCTAAACCTAAATCTAAACCTGTCGAGGAGGGGATTGATGTTTGGTCAGAAAACGGCTCGGTAGATGCAAAACCGGCAGTCGAGGTAGCAGTGTTTCCAGATGTTGTCGCATCTAACGTGGATGCTTCAGTTCGGTGCGTTTTGATGGTCGTGGAACCAACTTCATAATCCTTTGTAACATGTTCTAGCTCCATTTCTTGAGAGATTGTAGGTCCTGCCGTCGTACTACGATCCTCATTTAGATGAGTTTGTAATTCGGTAATACCTATCCGTGTAGTAGGTTCTTCAGAAGCCGTAGTCTTCGGATACTCCGTATCTTCAGTCCTTGGCGTCGGACGATGTGTGCTAACGTAAGGTTTTTTGGAAGTACGGTCGGTGGTACTGGAGGAGGTCGTTTCCCTATCCATTGCAACCGGAGTTGTAGTTTCGATAGACGACATATCAATTGGAAGCGTTGTAGTGGTAGTGCGTTCAATCTCTCCTGATATGGTGATCTTTTTGGTACTTGTCAACAGACTTTCACTGTCGATCGAAGATGATCCCTCTGTAGAGGTGGTCAACTCATCCTGCGGATGCTTTGTTGAGCTAGTGTATGCCGAAGATGTGTGTCCAGTGGTTATTCCAGATTCCGTATAGTACGTAGATGTTGTCTCCAGCAATTCGGAAGACGATGATGTCTTGGTTGCTTCATCAGATACAGTGGTGGTAATCTCTTCATCTTTCACCATATCCCTTAAAGTTGTGGTATGGACCGATTCTGGAGTTGTAGGAATAATGGTTGAAAATTCTTTTCCTTGGGTTTCAGTGCTTGAGAATGTCATAGATGTAGCAACGTCAGTACTACCCTCATGTTCAATGTGTAGTGCCGTTGTCTTCTCTGAAGATGTGAAGTAAGCATATGTAGAAGGCTGTTCTTCGTCAGCAAATCGCATAGTAGTGCTACGATCATCTATTGAGCTTGTTGCATACTTTGTTGTGGTTTTATCGAAAAATTGATCAGCTGTAATATTGGCTGGTTCAGCCGCAGTTTGCTTTTCTGTGGTTCGATCCGATCCCATTGTTTGTGAAGATGATCCAATTCCTTTTTGCGATGTCACAGCTTCCGACGTGTAGAGTAGTTCGGTCGACGTGGTGTATTTTTTGGTTTCCGCCTCAGAGACTGCTCCAGTTGTGCTGGGTCCCGGTTCTTCCGAATATCTCCTAGTGGTCTGAGTATGCGTAGTTGTTTCAATCTGATGGGATGATGTTTTATCCTCAAAGTAACCGCTTGTACCCGTGGATAGCATATTTCCATCAGTATAACCTATGGTTGTCTGTTCCTGCATTCCAATTGTGCTGCCTTTTTGATCTTTCTCCACTATCGACCTCGATGTCGTAGTATAGGATGTCGGCGTTGTATAATCGGTAGACTCAGCATGTACCATAGATGTTGAGGTTCGTTTTGCTGCAGATTCCAATGTTGTACTGCCTGCATCCTGAGTTATTTCATCGGTGATCTCAGTATATGAAACGGTTGAAGTTCTTTCTTGATCATCTACTGTGGACTGTATTGTTGGGGTGTCAGTGTTGTATGGCATGGTGGTTCTTTCGGATTTTCCGAATGTCACTTCTTCTTCTTGACCTCTTACAGTAGACCTATCTGTAGGAATTGTTGCTCCTTTAGATCCCTCAGTGTATAATAGGGTAGTCCTCTCTTGAATTTCCGGGGTTGAAGTTCCTTCTTGATCACGGGCTGTAAATCTGCTAGTTGTAGTTTCCGTAGATTGTGATGTTCCGTCGGAAGGTGCAGTAGATGTATCGGTAATCTTGTCTTGCTCCCCAGATGTTGAGGTGACCTCTTGATCTTTCATCGTAATTCTTGATGTTGTATCCGCTTGATTCGTTGTTACATCCGTCACTTCAGTATATTCTTGGGTTGTTTTTTCTGGCAATCCAAATGTCGGCGTTCTTTCTTGATCTTCCGATGCGTTCTTCAATGTCGTAGTATCTGTACCTGCTTGATTTATCATTGAAGAAATCGTTGTAGTGTAGGCCGGTTCTGTTACATGGGTGACCTTAGTATATCCTTGGGTTGTTCTTTCTTGATCTTCCGATGATGTTGTGCCATCCTGACCGTTTGATGTGAAGTTCCATGTCGTAGTATCAGCTACTTGCGTTCTACTATCGGTAATCTCAGTATATCCTTGGGTTGTTCTTTCTTGGATTACAGCGGTTGACGTGCTTTCTTGATCCTTCGATGTGGGTTTCAATGTCGTAGTATTCTGCATTTTCGATGGTGAAGTGACTTCTTCATCCTTTTCTGTGAATTTCAATGTCGTAGAGTCCGTTACATGCGTTCTACTATCGGTAATCTCAGTATATCCTTGGGTTGTTATTGCCTGGATTACAGATGTTGACGTGCTTTCTTCATCCTTCGATGTGGATTTCAATGTTGTTGTATAGTGCGATTTCGATGACAATGTGCCTTCTTGATCTTTTTCTGTGAACTTCAATGTCGTACTGTCCGTTATTAACGTACTTCTATCAGTAGCTTCAGTATACCCTAAAGTTGTTCTTTCCTGCATTCCTGATGGCGAAGTACCTTCTTTAAACTTCAATGTCGTAGTCTCCACAGACTGCGTTGTTTTATCAGTAGTTAGTTCCTGAACTTCTGGTGTTGAAGATTCTTCTCCAGCTTTCAATGTTGACTTCAATATCGTAGTGTATGCAGGCTGTGTTATTCCATTGGTGTCCTCTGTATACGCTAAGGTAGTCTTCTCCTGCATTGCTGGGGTCGATGTGCCTTCAAGATCTTCTGATGTGGACTTTAATGTTGCATCCGCACGTTTCGTTGCACCGCCGGTGACATCAGTATATGTTTCGGTTGTTCCTTCCTGTTCTCCAGATGTTTTAGTATCTTCTCGGTCTTGCAACGAAGTATAAGTAGGATGCGTTGTGCCGTCAGTGACTTCAGTATATCTTACGGTAGTTTGCTCTTGTAATCCTGGTGTAGAAGTTTGATCAAGATCATCAGAGGTGGACTTAAATGTCGTGATATCCACAACCTGTGTTGTTCCATCGGTGGTTTTAGCGGATTCAGTTGTTTTCTCGTATACATCCGACGTTGCAGTTCCTTCTATATCTTTAACTGTGGGTCCCAATGTTGTATCCTCGGAATTCGTTGTTGTTCTATCGGTCACTTTAATGTATTCTATGGTTGTACCTTCCTGAAGCACATACTTTGAAGTATCTTCTTGGTCTCTGGTTGTAGAGTAAGTTGGCCTCATCGATCCACCAGAATATTTCGTAGTTGTATATTCTAGCGCAGCAGGAGTTGATGTACCATGTTGATTTTTCACTGTCGTTTTCAACGTTGTAGTGACGAATTTCTCTGTCTCTGATGCAGTTGTTGTACCTTGATCGTCATATTCCGATGAGCTCTGCCAAACTGGAGACTCCTGGTTTGTTGTGGACTCAAACACTGTAGTCTCGCTCCTTTCAGTTGTGCGACCAACAGTCGAAATATCCTCACTCAGAGTAATCGTGGTTTTAGTGACTTCTGAACGTTCGCTTTCAGTTGTAGAATCGTACTTCGATATACCTGGAGTATTTGTCGACCAGACCTCATGGTAATCCTTGCCAGATGAAGTTGTTCCTACGGTAGTGTATTGACTGTCGTCCTGTTGTTTCGTTGTCAATATTGCCGAGTATGTTGTACTTTGGTTAAATTCAGTTGTGGTTGAACTAGATGACATAGGAGTATTTGCAGTAGACACACTAGCAGTTGAAGATTCAGTTGTAATTTTGTCTTTGAAGGTTTCACCATAAGCAGTTGTTGCATCCTCTTCTGATTGAGTGAAGTGTGACGTTGAAACTGTAGTTTTGTAACCAGAGGAAGAGTACTCAGTTGGTGAATCTGTTGATACCGTTCTGTCATCACCAGTTGTTGTAACCGCAGCTCGTTCTTCCTCATCCGTCACTGCGGTGCTATCTAGTCCACTTTTTGTAGTAGAGTCAACAGCAAAAGGCTTAGTCGTTTCGGTTACAATCGATGGTACCGTACTTGCGGTAGAATCCGTTTGAGCCGCACCATTAGTTGCATAGGTGCTTGTAGTCAGTCTTTCGGTAGATGTTTGATCTACGGCAGTAATGACAACCGTGCTTTGTGGGCCAATTCGAGTACTGCTATCGCTAGTGTCTGATTCTGTTGTATGATCCGCTTGGGCTACAAGCAAAGTTGTCTCATCTGATATAGAACTTGTTATACTCGTAACGGTTTCCGATGGTGTAGTTGCTTGGCGATCGGCTGCATCCGTGGTTGGTTGTTGGGTAATAGTCACTGGCTTAAAAGTGGGAATTTCCGTAGTAGTTCGATCGGTTTTTGCCTGCACTGTTGTTTGATCCTTTGTATCACTGAGCGTCGTCCGAGAATCCATTACAGCGCTACTAAACGTAGTTGTCTCAGTTTCCCGATCACGTTGAGCTCCAAGTGTTGTAGTATCAAAATCTGGAGTTCCAGTTTCTACCGATTCGGGCACTGTCGTGCTTCCAATAGTCGTAGAATCTGTTCTATAACCAGTTATATGTTGCCCTTTAGTCGTTTGTTGATCTCTTGTTGTGTCTTCAATTGTTCCGGTAGATGTAACTTCACTAGCTACTGTTGACGCTTCTTGATCATCAAGACCGCCTTTAACAGTTGTAAAACCTATTACTGCAGTAGTATCATGAGCTGGAATGTACGTGAAGACGGTAGATTCGGTTGTGGAATAAACTGTAGTCTCCTCGCTGTGAATTGCAGTGGTAGATCCCGTGTCAGTAGCTGCTGATTCTGGAGTTGAGCCTTGATCTGCTTTTGTGCTTTCTGTCGAAGAACTATCATCGGTAACCGTTAGTTCGCTGGTAACTGTGGTTCTTTTATCAGTTACATCTTTGACCGTGGTTGTCGATTCAGCAGGCTTCTCGGAGTCTACTTCACTTTCTACAGTTGTTTCTGCTGTGTATCCAACAGTTGTAGTGCCCGTTGATGAAGCTGTGTCAGAGATGCGCTCAGTAGTAATTGTTGAACCAGTTCCCGGTTCAGCCATTGTTTCCCGATCAACGTTTGTTGATGTTGCGGTTGTTCTTTCCTGATCAGTTGAATCTTCGGTTGTTGCTCCACTGGTTCTTTCGTTAGCGCTTATTTCAGTTGTTTTTGATGCATAACCAACAGTCGTAGTTGTCTCAGTTTGAGTTGTTGTAGAGGATCCTGCATCGAAACCTTCCTCAGTACTTGTTCTCGTACCGGTTATTGATTCAGTAATAGTTTCTTGATCTATTTTTGTCCTTCCCACGGTTGTACCAGTGGAGCTATAATCAATGATGGTTACTCCAATGGTAGTGCTTCCCTGATCAGTTGAATCCTCGATTAGAGTAGTTGAAACTGTTCCGGATGTTCTCTCGGTAGCAACTGCAGTTACTACAGACGTGTCTGTTGTTGGCGTGGAGGTGGTCGTTTTTGAATCTGCTATTGTAGTCAAGGTTATAGTTGTCGCACCATCAGCTGTTGTAGTAGATCCTGCTTCGATAACCGATTTTGACGTCGTAGTGTCAGTAAATGCAATTCCATTTAAAACTGTAGTTACTTTCTCATCGGTTGAGTTGTCCATTTTGGTTGTAGTTTCCGACATGACTGTAACTACAGAGGTATCTGAATCTGTCGTCGTCTCCAGGTCCACTGGACTGCTTTTAGTCGTTGTATCTTGGTAAGTGGATCTACTCGTATATGTCTCAGAAGTCGTCTCACGTTCCGTTACCGAGCTAGCTGTCGTATCGAAACCGGATGAACCGGTTGTCGATACTGGTGTTTTGCTTGCATCCGTTAGTGTTGTGGTTTCAAGGTTAGTCACATCCGAACCTGAGTGACCGGTAGTCGTCACATCGGCCACAGATGTCGATGCTAAGCTTGGATGGTGAGCGGTTGATTTTTTCTCCATTGCACTGCTGCTGGTGGTCGTATCGGACGCAAATGGCTCAGAACTTGTGGTGTATTCCAGCTCAGTGTAATCGCGATATGTTGGAGCAGGAGTTTCTGAAGTTGACGGACTCTTGTTTGTTTTTGGCAATGCAATGATAATGGTGGTTATACTTGAGGTAGTTTCCTGCAGGAGTTCTGTTGAGAACATAGTGTGAGTATCACTTGACGAAGTACTAGTAGTCGTTAGCTCCGCAGTTACGGAAGCTGTCGTAAGTTCAATGTCTTTCGCTGGTCCCTCAGTACTGCTGAAAGTTACGTCATAAGTCGTTTCTCTTCGCTCAGATGATGTCTCTGGAGAAAACGTAGCCGTAGAAGTCGATGTTTGTTCAGCTGATACTACGGTAGTGGTTGTTCCAGTTTCGGTACCACCACGGACTGTAGTCGTACCGTCGGAAACGAGATCAAAACCTTTTTCCGTTATCGCAGGCTGTGTCATTGGTTCATGCGGTACATTATCCCGCGAAGCTGTAACTGTGGAACCTAATTCAGGGGAAGCGGCCGAAGTGGTCTCTCTTGCCACTTCAACCGTGGAAACAGTCGAGGGTAAATCGGTAGTGCTCTCGGACGAAGACATTTCATACTGGCGAGTTGTTGCTGTTGGTGGTGTTGTTGTTATTGGCAGTTTTGTTACGAAATTAGTTGTTATTGGCTCGGTTGTGTGTGGTGTATAATCTGTGTGTGTGCTATGTACATCTGGTACCGCTGTCGTGGTATTATTATCTAAAACTAGGTTAGGTGTTGTTGTTGTTGTTTCTTTGTTAAGAAAAATAAAACAAAATAAATCTCGTTAATCAAAATCACTGCTAAAAATTATTGCGTGGTAAATATAAATACGGTTGGTGCTTGACACAGCAGTAAATGTGTGCGTGTTGTGATACGTGTATGTGTATGTGTATGTGTATGTGTTTGTGCGGGGTGAGTGTGCTGCGTTTGTGTACGCGGTTCACAGAGTGATACTATACAGAGGGTGATCGTGGTAAGATGATGATTCAAAAATTTGGTCACTCGAAAGTTCTAGTGAGTTTGCAGAAGCGATCTAGACTCTAGTGATGAACGGTCAGTCCAGTCAGTCACTTACGTTCGATTTCTACCGTCTTCCGGCGTGTGTCCTAAAATGCAAGCTTTAGCGAGATGAGCTATTTGGATAGGAACAGAAGCTAAGCCAAACGTTAGAAAAAGGAGGGTGGTAATGGTAATTATGAAGCTAGAGCTGTATGGGAAATGAGAAATGGTTTTGGTTGTAAGCTGGAAGTTGTAAAAATTAGGCAAGCGTAGACCATCCTTAGCAGGACAAATGCACAGTAGTATTTTGATTAGATTTTGAGGTTAATAGGCACTGTTTTATGAAGTATGCTTGAATGAAATTATTAATTTCATGGTGGTAGCAGCGGCGGTGATAGCAGCAACTTTCGCAAGCGTACCATGGCAATCGGGGTTGGTGGGACTTACCTTTGACACAGGCTCCAGTTAGCGGGTTGCATGGAATACCGGGTGGGCAGTGTTCGCAGCCAGCGACGACGACGTTAGGGTCCTGAGAGATGCAGTTGCAGCCGTCGCATACCTTACCGGCTGCGCAGTCACTTGCTCGTTGACATTGGCAAACTGCGGAGAAGAGAGGTAGACACCGTAGGTTAGTGGATTGGATTGCGTTCATCAACACCTTCATAGGTTCACCGATCTGGGAGTAGAAAAGAATGATTGGCAGCCTTTCAATATGTAAGATGAGTGAAGAACACGGCTCCGAAGTCCTTTTGAGGTCAACGTAACATTTCTTGAAAACTGTGTTTGAATTTCATATCATACGAACCAAGAAGCCTTCAAAAAGGTTAAGCACTGGATAAAGATTATTAGGATTTGCAGAAGGCATGCTATTCAAACATTTTCACTTCCAAAAAGACCACACCACATGGGCAACCGTTCCTGGGAAGTTTGTATTATGTTTTCCGGAGGAAGTCGCGAGTTGGAAAATACTTTCGTGAAACGTTTCGGGGAAGTCAAGATAAGCTTCCAGATAATGGCGGAAGTAACTTACGGGGGAGGTCAGATAAGGTTTCCGGGGAAAATGGAAGAAATTAACTGTGGAATTTATAAAACTATCCGGGGGAAATTGGAAGAAATATCCGTAAAAAAATGGATGAAACTTCTGGGGAAAGTCGGAAGGAGGATCCTGGAAGACAATTTAACAAGGTGTCAGAACAAGGTGTCGGGAAATCGAAAGATGCTTTTGGGGGATGTCAGAAGCAAAATCCGAGGGAAGTGTGGAAATACTTTTACTGGGACTTGAAAGATACTTCCGGGAAAAGTCAAATGATGCATCAGGGGAAGCCAGAAGAAACTTTTAGCAGAAATATTAGTTGGCTGAATTTTCCAATTGAAGCCTGCATAACCCTAATAAACAAATACCATTAACGAACTGTATTCAGAATGGGTTAAGCGCCCTTTTATTGTTATTTTTATTAGGGAACCTATCCGAAAGAGTCGGACGACACTATCGAAGAATACCAGAAGAGCTTCTGCGGGGATCTTGGTAGCAGCTTCCGGGGAAAAACAAAGAGAAAAAAACTTCTTGGGAACTTGCTTGAAATCTTCAGTCGAATGAACTTCGGGAGGATGTTGGAAGAAACTTCCGGGGGATGTTGGAAAATACCTCCGGGAGAAGTCGGAAGACAGTTTTGGGAGGAGGGCACGGTCCTGGCGTAGTGTTTAGCATCCATATCTCTAACGCCAAAGTCACGAGCTCCTATCATAGACGTGTTGTGAACAGTGCGCAAAACAGTCAGATTTTCATATGAATATGAACTGCCATATCCCTCATCATTCACTTCATCGTGAGAGTCTAAATGATTGAGAAGTAAACGAGTCACTGACAGCCGAGCACTCAGTCAGTAGCTCAGTCAGCACTTTTATTCTTCCATGATGGTGCCCAATCCTTGTTTTGAATGACTGAGCATACATTTGCTATGGAAAAATGCCTCAATTACATGCTGTGTGAGCGAAGGTAAGCGGTGTGAGTCGCCTGTGCTTGAGTGACTGAATGGTTTTGTTGGCTCTTTCATTGCCTCTACCTTTACCGTTTGGTACAAACGGTCTGGGCAGGGCAACGAATTGAATAGTGCAGTGCTGTCACACTCTAAGCAGTCAATAATTTTAAGCTCTGGTTGTGAACCCGCGATCTCTGCTATATGCAGTTGATTTATGTGGTTCTGCAAATGTCGGGTATAAGAATTTAATTCATTTGTCATTTGACTCTCTTTATCAGTTTTTGTGTGTCTTGTTTCCCCGTCTCGATAAGTTTTATCGCCGCCCACTGGTCACCATAGCTGTTCGAAACCCAGACGAATCTAGAACCGCATTACCGTTCATACTGATGACAACGCTCTGATGAGACAAAGAAACCCCAGCCCCAAGCTCCTCCCCTTGATCCTATCCTTCGACAATGTACCCCTCTAACCTCGGATAAGCCGGCTAAGTAACGGCTACATAGATTAAAATTAAGTGAATTTTGTAGCAGACAATGAAAATTAATAATTGGCTCCGTAAAGCTGACGCTATTGAGCCTTCCAAATAAACGAACTAGATAAAAAAGTCACGAGTTCAAATCTCATCCTCGGACAAGTAACGAATGATCCAAGTAGTGTAGCTGATAACTCTTACTGGAAATTTACGGGAATCGAAAAATATTCAAGTGTGGTGTTCCGTATCATTTGAAACATTCTGAGACCTCTCCAAATACACTGATATTTGATCATGCAGTAGAACCCTGGCCCGAACCTTTCTTGTTTACAAGCCCAAAACCGAGGCTGGTAACACTGAACAAGAAGAGCTTAGGGCCAGAGTTTGATGTGGTAGATCTTATACCAGTAACACACCACGAAAAGATGATCTACCAGCGATATTGCGGGACATGTTGGAAAACACATTAGAGCAGTTCCACGCCAAATGACGCATCGGAAAAACTCGACCTTCTCCGATTTTCAATTTTTTTTTGAATAATTGTGTGTTATAAGCAATGCAATCATTTACTTGTTTGCAAAAAAAAATCGGTTAGTTTGGATATTGTATTTTTTTTCAAACTGGCGACTTTGTCATTTTTTAGTAAATTGTAGCACGAAAACGTCACTTCTGATCGAAATGACGTATGAGACAAAGTTATGAAGAAAAATATAATCTTTCTGGAAAAAAAATATACAAGGTATTTGTTTTAGTAATTATGACGAAAAAATCCAAACAAGTGTTGAAAGCTCCAATACCTATCTCAAAAAGCATATCTTCAATTTTATTTTATTTTCTAAAAAAACTCATGAAATTGCAATCTTTTGGAATATTTATGGTGAATCGCTGTGGAAACCTTGTTTCTGATTGATCGTAATATCACCTTGAGCTCCCCCAAAACATACAAAAATCAAACTGGAACTCCACGTTTGCTACAGTGCGAATCGTTTTCCGTGCAAAAACCTTGGCCAAAACTACATACAGGGTGCGTGACGAATTTTTACAGTAAATGGCATATTTGAGAAAAAATACACCAGTTAGTTATTCTAGCAATGAATTTTGTGCGATTTATTTTCTTTCGCAACATATGGAAGTTGTAAGTAAATTTATTCAAAAAAATTGCCTTCCCTTTCGACGACTGTAGTTAGACGCTTCCGGAAACTGCAGTATGCACGTTTTAAAATGTTTCGATCCATAGATGTCATCACTGCCTTGATTTTAGCTTTTAGCGACTTAAGTGTGGTGTGAGGGGTTCTATTGGTATCCCGTTGGACGACGCCCTAAACAAAATAATCCAACGGATTGATATCGGGACTGCTTGGGGGCCAAATTTCTTCCTCCCAAATTTACGAAATATTTTCCGTAAGCCATTTCTGTGCTTTATTAGCAGTATGAGCAGGTGCTCCGTCTTATCACTTTCCCAAGCCTTTTTTAATATTATACACTGTTCTTTCCGACACATTTACCGACTGCATACTCCGGCGCGCAACAAAGCGACAACGGCTGACAGATTGCTCTCTTGTTTCGACATCTTTACGTTTACTCAACATGGTTTGTTTAAATCTTACACCTAACAGTATAAGCTATCCAGTGCTGCCAAATATATCTAAATCATGATGCACAAGCATGAGAAATTTCTATTTGAAATTTACTGCAAAAATTCGTCACGCACCCTGTAGAAAAGCTAACAAGAAGTTTAACATTATGACCAAAAGTTGCTGTTCTACGATGTTTGTCAATTTTCAAGTGTCCATGGTTCGGAATATTTAACAATAGTTTGCATTTTTCATGAGCTTTTTAAAAAACAAAACAAATAAAAATTGAAAATAAACTTTTTGAAACATTTGAGCTTTTATATTTTTTTTTCAAAATTACTTAAAAAATACTGTGTATATTTTTTTCAGAAAGAACTTACTTTTCTCAAGAACTTTGTCTCAGTCGTCATTTCGATCAAAAGCGACGTTTTCGTGCTACAATTATTGGAAAATTTCGAGGACGTTATTTTGGAAAAAAATAAAAGATCCAAAATGGCCTAATTTTTGCAAAAAATATGAATGATCGGAGAAGGTTGAGCTTTTTTGCTATTTGGCCTGGATTGATTATCAGGGAGAAGCTGGAATGAAATTCCGGAGGACATCAGACGGGATTCTGGGGAATTATAGAAGAAACTTCCGGGAGAAGTTGGAGGAAAGTCCAGCAAAAGATGTCAGAATCTTCCAACGTAAGATGCGAGAAACTTTTGAGAGACATCGGTAGAATCTTCATAGTCATATAGAACGTCGAAGTATGTAGGAGATAACTTCCGAGGCAAGTCAAAATATTAAAATAAACTGAAGTTAAAAATAGAACCGTTGTATTAATAACTATCATTAGTGAGCATCAGTTATGGCACAAACGTATATACGTAATGGTACTAGTTTTTGACGCTACCCATTTAATTAGGCGATGACTGGTACACGCCAAAAATAGAGCAAATCAGAGCTGTCAGCTGTTCCCCAATTCACAGGTAGCTTAAATCAGCCGGGATACATACTATGAACATTAAGTCAATAAATTTGAATTATTTAATTTCGGATGGATCGAGACGACTGTCATATAAGCTTACTGTGACGTATGCATTGATAATTTAGCTAAGAGAGGTTGCTAGGCTGTGGACATGAGGATCAATTATCGCTATTGGACGGAACTGCATAACGACAAACAAGCTGTAAGCGTATATGGTTTAGAAGATGTTTTGGGGAAAATCGCTTGAAAAAGCTACCTACGAGGCAACCGTAGACCTTACACAAAGTTCAAAGAGATGGTCAATCAACAGTGAGGAACCATTTTGAAAATTAAACTTGAGACGAATCGGAATGGTTATTAAGGAAGTCAAAGTAGCTGAGGTCTGAGCTCGAGTCTGAGCTGTTTCAAGAGAATAACGGGAAAAATTTGAATGTATTATGGATCGGGATATCCAAAAAGAAACTAAAGATACTCCGGCTTCCGTGACAAACGTCAAATCAGTTTTTAAGGCATCCTACTAGAATCACCAATGGCACCTTACAAAATCCTAGAACGATTATTAGAATTATGCAAAATTTAATTTTTTGACTCCACAGTGCTCAAACAATTCCATTTTGGATCTTGATTTTGTTTTCCCATAGTAACTTCCATAAGGTCTTAGTTTGATTTTCCCATAGTAATGTCCATGTAAACCTGGAACGGTTTGTGCACAGTTAGTTTCTAACCAAATAAGTTCAAATTCTTCGAGGTTAATCAAGCTTCGATTTGAAACCGTTTGAGCACTGTGGAGCGAAAAATTCAAATTGAGCATCAGCCTAATGACCATCCTGAGGCACCCCAGTAAGACCAATGTAGGCAACTGTATATTGTAGACCGTACATAAAGTTAAGAGTTAACGGTTAGGTCCCATGAGCCTAGTTTGAAACGACTTCCACGAGTAACATGATTTGAGATGGATTCAGACGACTGGAAAAATACATCGTAGATAGTTTTCGTTTTGGTTTAGGTTGAACCTGAGCTATTGCGAAGGCGTCTCTGAAAGCGCACTTAAACTAGAGTTGATTGTGGGTTGAGAAGGTCGCCCTGAGATCTGGTAAATGCGTTTAAGATGATTATTTTTGGTACCGGAAGGAGAACTTATCCAAAGGGGCCCGCATCTGAGTAGATCTATGGCCTCGAAACGTGCAAAACACTAGGAATGTCCGAGGGACGCGTTAACGGAACATATTCCCCCAGAAGAGAGCCCGGTGCCAAACGCAGAAGCACCGAGCCAGCGGATTGTGTGGTTAGACCAAGTGGAAGTGCGGGACTCGAGAAACTGGAAACAAGCAGCTATGAACCGAGTTATTGAGCGTAACAGCAAGGGACGTCTGAAAGGTCCTTGGACCAGTAGAACTAGTCCTACCTTTCCGAAATACTCACGTTTGATGCAAACTGCTTCGTGGTTCTGGACTTCGCACTCCTGTCCGGCCTCGCACGGATTACCGGCTTGGCACGGATTGATACAGGCGCCGTTGATGCAGGACCGTTCCGCTGGGCATTCGTCGCTGTTTCTACATCCAATTTCTGCAAAACGTACAAAACGATATTAGTACGGTTCATGCAGTGAATTCCCTGCTGTTTTGTCTTTCAATCATTCAAGGCAAATATATGTTACTGGGTATCGTATGTTGACGACATGTACTGAGTTGGGGAGTTGATAATGAAAACTACTGGAAAGATTGATGGGTGCTATTCCTACGTTTGCGCTACGGTTCTAGGCTACGCATGACCACGACTACAGGTATGTTTGTGGAATCTACGCAAGCAGTTCGAAAGCAAAGCACATCAGCTACATAAAGCTACATACGTACATATGTACAAATCCAAAGCAAAGTGTATTTTTCGGGTGTTAGTGTACAGTGGATACAGTGAAACAATAACCCAACCACCAAACAGTTGTGTACATTGATTATTTACAGCTAGAACTGTAGAATACACCAAGAGATCATTTTTATCGTTTCGCACGGCATGCACTATTCTCGACGCTAGATACAGTCCCGATCGTGCACGGTTGACCACTTTACATTCGCAACTTCACTATACAGAAGGACTACTGGAAAAAGAAGACAGAATTTACCGAAATGATCGATTTCATCACCGTTTTTAAACAGAAATAGAGAGACAGAGATATTGGGATGCTGCTAGCAGAGTACAAGAATGAACTTTGAGAGATATCTGCTATGTGGATGTCGGTTGTTTTTTTTTTATTTCTGATAATTCATGCGGCTGCAGTTGTCTGGTCTGCAGTACAATGAGGCGCTTTAGCGGTGCATTGACGCACTTGGGGTGCCACATCGTTAGAGAAATGATTCAGGATCTAACAGAGAGTGTTGCAGGTATGTGCCATTCAGGGTTTCTCTATGATTTAACCCGATGGAGATCCCGATCGTGAAGCTTCGGATCTGGAACATCGTTGCTGCAGGTACCGATAGAGAAGTATGATCAGACAGAGGCGAGAAAAGAAGATGCACTACGATAGAACACTTCCCGGCTGGCAAGATGAACCCCACGGATCGAGATTGGATGATGCATTCCAATATAGAGAGGCCATGAATGAATTCCGATGCGGCGGATTCAGGTACTGGTTGAATGGACACCGCATGAACCCTGATTATCCGGAAAGGAAAATGTATTCGGAGGGTGACCTGCAGCAGCGCTTCGGATACATGAAGCCAAGATCGGTCCAACGGGCAATCGACTAGGAGAGATTCAGTGAATATATTACCTGATTCTGCTATACAATTGGCTGAATCAACGGGGTCAGCTTTATTGCAAAGGCACTTTGGTTGGTGGTTTACGGTTAGGCAGGGGACGTTACGAGGGCAGGGATTGGCGGATCGGCACGGATCGATGCAAACGTTGTCGACACAGGTTTCGTTCTGCAAACAATAACCATTTGCCAAGCACACTTGCGGTGGTACAAGTGGCGCCATCGTAGTTGCAGAATCATAGACATACGTTACCACCTTTTCGATCGTTATCGATTCCTGAATTGGTACCGCAGTTGTAGTGGGACTTTCTTCAGTGGTCATGACTTTGGTGGTGGAAGCATCATGTGTACTCATGGTTGAAGCGGTCGACGGTTCGGTACTTTCAGTAACCCTACCACCTCTGGTTTCGGTAGTTGACTCCGTAGTTCTCGGTGTGCTAGCGGTACTTTTCGTGGACTCATAATCATCTCCATCGCTTTCCTCACTACCATAATCGTAATCGTCATCTTTTCTATCGTAGGCATTCGTCGTCAGAGGAATGCTCCGATCATCCTCCGGTTCTGTCGTCCCAACAGGGGACTCTGTGGAGGTCGTCATATCCACATCGTAAATAACGGTTTCGGTTTCCTTTCGATCCTTGACCGGTTTGACCGTGGCTTCTTCACGGTACATGTATTCATTGTACCGCTGTGTGGTGCTGCGATTCAGCAATACATCCGGAAGTGTCGTTGGTCGGGTGAGCATTGTCGGAGGGACGTCCGTTTCGAGTTCGGTCGTTTTACGGTCTTGTTTGACCAGAGTTCCGGGGGCTTTCGTGGTAGTAGTTGTTTCACCAAAAGTGATGGATTCTGTTTCGGCTGTGGTGGGTAAGCCGTCGTTCATTTGGGTCGTGATTGGAACAGGTGTTGTGGGCAACTCTGAAGCCGTCGGTGAGCTTTTTGAGGTAGTGTAGAGTTGCGAAGAGGTAGTTTCGATTTCATTTTCACTGGAACGGGAAGTGTCTTCTTTTGAAATTGGTTCAGCAGTTGTTACCTTTTCGGTTGTGGCTACGATTGTTGATGTTTCTGTTTGATTTGGTGGCAATGACGTTGCCTTGGACGATTGCTGCTCTTGTTCAGTGCTTGTACTAGTCGTAGTCGTTGGTAACGGTGAGCTACCGACAGTCGAAGTATCTACGATTGTAGGATCACTGGTTACATCCACGCTTACCGGCTTGGCACTGAAGTTTTTAGGACTTTCCGTAGTTACTGCTGAAGTCTTTGTGTCTGTTGACGTTATCGAATTATCTTCGGATATTGTTGACTCTTCGACAGCAATCTTAGTCGTGGATGAATGTTGACTTGGAATATCAGTAGTCTTATCAGGCTGACTAGTCGTAGTCTGCGGTATATGTGAGCTTTCGGTAGACTCGCTACCTATCGCGCTTCCTAGGGAGGTTGTGGTAATCGACTTGGTAGTGAAGTCTAATGTAGTAACTGACGTAGTTTTTCTGTCTGTTGACGTCAGCAGATTATTTCCGGTCATGGTCGACACTTCAGCGGAAGTATCAGTTGTGAATGGAGGCAAGGTGATCTTATCAATAACCTCATTAGACTTACCAGTCGAGGTTACTGGCTTGTTAGTTATCACGTACTTGTCTGAAGTAGATTCTATGCTGACTTGCGTGGTCGTTGTTACCGTTTCGGTCGTTAAGTCTTTGAGACCTTCCGTAGTTACTGCTGATGTCTTCCGCCTCGTCAGCAAATCATCGCCGGTAGTGGTTGCATCTTCGGTATGAGTCTTAGCCGTGGAGCTAGAACTATCATTTACGGAAACAGTTTCTGCGGTGGTTGTAGCTATCGATTCAGTAGCCAAATCTTTGAGACTCTCTGTAGTTACTGCTGGTGTAGACGTCAGTGAGCCATTCCCGGCAGGAGGTTCAGATGTAATACTAGGAATATCAGTAACCTTGCCAGACAAGTCAGTCATAGTGGTGCTGGTAGCCATCGATTCGGTAGTCAAATCTTTGAGACTCTCCGTACTTTCTGCTGTTGTCTTCCACTCTGTAGACGTCAGTGAATCATCCTTGGTAGTTGTTACTGCATCGGTAGGAGTTGCGGTTGTGGAGCTAGTAGCCTTGCCAGAAAAACCCGTCGTAGAAATAGTGTCTGCGATGATAGTAGCCACCGATTCGGTAGTCAAATCATTGAGACTCTCCGTACTTTCTGCTGATGGCTTCCTCTTCGTAGACGTCAGCGAATCATCTCCGACTGTTGTTTCCCCTTGGCCAGGAGTCACAGGCGTGGAGCTAGGCTCAGTAGCCTTGCCAAGCAAACCAATAGTTGAAATAGTGTCACCGGTGGTTGTAGCTATCGGTTCAGTAGTCAATTCTTTGAGACTCTCTGTAGTTTCAGCTGAGGTCTTCCGCTTCGTAGACGTCAGAGAATCATCCCCGCCTGTGGTTTCTGATTGGAGAGGAGTACCAGTTGTGGAGCTAGGAATATCAGTAGCCTGGTCAGACAAACCAGTCGTAGAAACAGTGTCTGCGATGGTGGTAGCCATCGATTCGGTTGTCGAATCTTTGAGACTCTCCGTACTTTCTGCTGTTGTCTCCCTCTCGGTAGACGTCAGTGAATCATCCCTGGAAGTGGTTGCTGCATTGGCAGGAGTTGCGGTTGTGGAGCTAGTAGCCTTGCCAGACAAACCCGTCGTAGAAATAGTGTCTGCGATGATAGTAGCCACCGATTCGGTAGTCAAATCATTGAGACTCTCCGTACTTTCTGCTGATGGCTTCCTCTTCGTAGACGTCAGCGAATCATCTCCAACTGTTGTTTCCCCTTGGCCAGAAGTCACAGTCGTGGAGCTAGGCTCAGTAGCCTTGCCAATCAAACCAATCGTTGAAATAGTCTCACCGTTGGTTGTAGCTATCGATTCAGTAGTCAATTCTTTGAGACTCTCTGTAGTTTCAGCTGAGGTCTTCCGCTTCGTAGACGTCAGAGAATCATCCTCGACCGTGGTTTCCCATTGGAGAGGAGTACCAGTTGTGGAGCTAGGAATATCAGTAGCCTGGCCAGACAAACCAGTCGTAGACACAGTATCTGCGATGGTGGTAGCCATCGGTTCGGTAGATGTCATTGGATTATCGGTGGCAGGAGTCTTAGTAGCTAACGGTGGTAGGGTTGGCTTATCGGTAGCCGTAAAAGTGACATCGGTTAGTTCGGTATCCATTTCCGGTTCAATAGTACTGAACACATCGGATCGATCGATGCCATCGCCGCCGCCGCCTCCGTAGAATTCCGTCGTGGCGCCTGTGTCGAACGGTTTGCCATCGTCGGTGGTTGGAGTCGTTTCTGGGGTAATGGGAACGCACTTACGGTTGGGATTACCAGTATGCGATGGGGGACAGGTGCAAATGGGAACGTGTGCCTTCACGGTGCATAAAGCCGATTGACCACAACCTGACCTACAAGGATCAAGGCAACGGCCCGCTAAACACTGTAACTGTTCGCCGCAATCGGAGTGTTTCGAACAGATGGGCGCCACCTTCTGTACTTGTTCTTCTTCTTCTTCTTGTGCTTCTGTAGCTGTGGAGGGTAAGTGGTAATTTGGTGTTGTAGGTTAAAAACATAAATATAACAATTTAGATAACAAATACGCATTATTATTAGGGATAGGGTTCAGTCACACTTATGTACAAATGTAGAGGTCAGAAGAGAAGGAGACAGGAGGCACATCATTGATGCAAGTTACTATTATTTACATGTAGTAAGTCTCACAGTAGATAGTAGTAGTAGTGTGGTAGTAACGGTATATAGTAGTGTGAAAGTATAGTGACTTGATAGGTTTTGAAGTACAGATAGTAAGCAGTACACTGGAAAGTGTAGTGAAAGTAGTGTAAGTGTAGATGAGTGATAGTGTTTTAGGGATAGTGACATGGGATGTTGTTAACGTAGCAGTACGTAGACAACATCCGCAGCGGGCGTTGCTTGTAAAAAGCATTTTAAGAGCCAATCGAGTGAGTGTTTAGCATTGTTTAATGCTTGTTTGTTTAATAAGTTTTGTTTTTTTTTGCTGAGCATGAGCGTGTGTGAATGTGGAGGCGTCGTTAGGGCGTTTGAATTTTAATAGTTCCAATTGGCATTTTTGTTTTCCATTATAGTCATAGTTTCTGATTTAGAACGTTCCGATCGTGGTAGTGTTGTAGGTGGACAGTTGAGCTCGAGACGGGTTGTCTCGGGTCTTGGGAAGTGATAGAGACTAATTTACATAAAGTCGGCTAACAGTGACGCTGTAAGGATGGCCTGTTACAATGTCCTTAGATTTACTTTCATCTAGAGAGAGTAACACGTAGGAAGGGAGCGTGATTGTAACACATACAGAGGTAGAGAGAAAGATCGTAGAAGAGGTAGAGAAGAGATTCTGAAATGTTGAATTTCTGGAGTCTGGTCCTAATTTAATCTGAGAGACAGAGAGACAGAGATACTTGAGGAAGAGCTCTTCTATCATTGCGCTAGTCGCCGCTAATTTCTCTGTAGTTATGTTACCTTTCAAACATCCTTGATGGGCATCTTTCGCAAATCCAGGAGGGCAGAATTTACAGATCGGTTTATGGTCTTCGACAAAGCATGGTGTGTCGTCAGCACACTGTGTAGTTTCGCAGGGATTGACGCACTGGTAGTTACGACAGGCCAGATCGGCTGGGCATCCGCTATCTCGAAGGCAAATCGAGAGCGATGGACTACAGTCCTTCATGCAGATGCACGACGGTTTGTGGTCCATTACGAGGCATGCTTTGTCTTCCGGGCAGGCTGGACCTCTGGTAGCCGAAGGCATACAGGGATTCAAACACTTTCCATCGATGCAGGCCATATTGGAGGCACATCCGTCATCACCGTGGCATTCGCGTTTCTCGGGCGCACAGATCAGTTCTCCATATTCATTGACAATGAAGCCATGTTTGCAGACGCAAACTGGACGATGCCGTCTCGATACGCACTTCTTGTTCGGGTCACATACGAATGTGGTCGGAACGGTACAGGGATCGCTACACTGCCCGCTGGCATCGCATCGTAAGGACGGGTCACAATCGTTATCCGTTTCGCAAGCAATCGAAACGATCTTGGGATCACTGGGCTTTGGTGTGCTGACTTCCTGGCATTTGGGATCAGGTTTACACTCGACATTCGGTCTGCCGACGTAACAGTTGGGGCACGAACACCGTGGCCTATGGAGAACTGTTTGGCATAGCGCGTTATCCCCACAGGCTCCTCGCAACGAGCAAGGGTCTGAACACTTTCCTCCGATACAAGCCTTTTCATTGGGACATTGCATATCGTTCGCACAGGACTCGTCTAGATTTGTTCATGTGATGATAATAACAGGATTTTAAGAATAGTAACTTTGTGTGAGTGTGTGTGTGTATGAGATGAGTGTATGTGAGTGTGTGGGCGTGTGTTATGAGTGTATTCCATGTGCTGAGTCTGTTTCTGGATATGCCAAGTAACCAAGGGGCAAATGTACCAATATCTATTGGCGTCACCGTCATCTACAGCTCTAGACGTCCTTTCGTGAAGAAAATGTTTATAAATTTAGAAGAAATTTGAGGGTGGGTGCATCATACAGCTTAACTTGCATCACTATCAACTCTAGGCAAACGAAAAGTATGTACGGAAGAATGGTGCAGATTTCTAGAAAAATATATATCATAGACACAAACCAATAATTGGTCCATTTACCCCAAAAACTCCTGGACTGCTATCCAAAACAAACAAAACATAAAGGATTGGAAGAAATTATTTCAAAATAAACAAAAGGAAAAGAAAGACAGCTGTTCATTTCGGACATCTCTAGCGTCAGCATAGCCGCAGACAAACAGACGTAACTATTGTTAATGTCAAAGTATGTTCAAAGCACTACCGCCATCTGTTGACCAAACGGCAAACATGAATGTAGATGCCTATGCATGCCTCGGTTGACGACATTGGAAGTTAAACTAAATTTGATGCAATTTTAGATGCACGCTACGTCTATTTGTCGACGACCTAGCTGTATTTGTCTGCGTTAAAAAAAAAACATGGAACTGTGGAAGCGAGATCAGAAATCGGTTTCGCGTAGTTAAAAAAATCAATTCTCACAATAAAAGTACATCCAACACATGCGCTCTGCCCGGGAAAGATACAGGGTGTCACAATCAACTGTGGCAACAGTGGTTTTTTGTTTGTTTACAATTTTCGTTTTCAAACAATTAAGATTTGGAAATCGACTGTGTGTCATCTTCTGGTCGACTTTTTCTTCTTATAGGAAAACAAAGGAAGAAACTGAATACACTCGTTTTTGTTTTGCTTCGAAAAGTAAAAGATTGAAAAACAGTTTGAAAGAAAGAGAAGAAGAAGTAAGGAAGTTCGTATGTACAAAAACAGGAAACTTAATCTTAGCCAATTTGCAAACGTATAATTTTTTCCATATCAAATACTGACAAACAGGAGTTAGAAGAAACTAATAAAATACAAAGAAAAAAACCCATTCAAAACAACCAATTCAATCATATTGTGTATGTGTGTGTGTGTACACAACCCGAGCCTAACACGTGCAAGCAATGAACTATGTGAGAAGTGTCCCGTCCACAGTTCCCAATCTGCCTGATCTTTTCCGGAGAGAAACAACTTTCGTTTGTTCTTTTGAAATAATTTCTTGTTAGCGTCAATAAAAACTAAAACTAGAATTAAAAATAATAATAAAAAACAAAACATAAACAAAACGCAATGAAACGCTTCAAATAACCACTAACAACTATGAGAGACAGACATAAAAAACGATGCGTGTAGAGTTTTTGTTTTTGTTCTGTTTGTTTTGCTGCGTAAACAACAGGGACTGCGGTGGGATCGCATGGCATGGCATACTTTGATTTTTTGCATTTGTCGCTAGCCCCGGGAATTGAGGAGTCCACGCGGGTAGGTCGAAACGTCAAGAAGGGATGTGATTTCGCGTGATTTTTTGTTTGTTTGTTTACAATCGAGAAATCAAATACAAAGAGGGCGCAGATTGGGTAACCGCGATAATGACAGCGACATCTCTAGCCATCTAATGGGAGAAGGTTTTTCACCGCCAGGAGGTTCAAAATTGGTGAATGGAGAAAAGAGCGGGGAGGATTGGTGCTGCTTTTTTTTGTACAAGGTCTTAATTGCTAGAAGTATAAACTGTGATTCTGTATATTCATGGGAATAATCGATCTGGTCTGTTGTCACAGTTCCTATTTATATTTAAAGCCAATTGAGACGGTATGAGATCTATATGACTTAGAACCGATTATCGATGGATTGTTTGCAATTTGAATTGGAACAGGTGCAAAATGTGTATGAACATGCTTTATATATGTAACATCTGGTGGTGATTTCAGTGACAATTCAGAAACAATCCAGCGATAATCAATTTTGCATGAGAGATAAATCAACTGATTGGATGGTAGTGACTATCATTTTGGCAAATTAGGTCGAATTCAATGTAAATGTGACTGTGGGAAGGTGATTGATCTTTGGCATTAATCGAATTATTCAAACGAATCGTTAGACAAATATGGTCGATTAATCGTATCGTGCTTGGGGAATTTAAGTTTGCTGGTTGAATACTTGATGAATATGATTTTGAATTATTATTTTTTATCTGAGGGGTTGGCTATACTGGAGCGGTAATATAATTGTGGATCAGTCGATTTTTAATCGGAAAACAAACTCTAAACAAAACAAAGAAAAATACTGAATCAGTAATACGGAGTTCAAGAGTCCACTCACCATTACGGCAGATAAACTGAGTGCCGTCTCGGACGCATTCTCCTTCGGCGCATCCGGTCGTTCGACAATCGGTAACAGATCTTTCGTTCGTACCTGTGTAAATCACAAAACATCAACAATTAACAACTTCTTGAACCATATTATTTCCAACACTTACATTCCGTGTAGGGATCACCTCCCGGGTACAATGGTGGACAGTAGCATTCCGGCTCATCGTGCTGCGTCACGCGACAAATGGCGTTCGTTCCACACCGGAAATCACGACATTTGTTCGTCTGTTTAGCCTCGCACAGGCAACCCTGTTTGGGATTACCCATGCAACCGGGCTGGCAGGTGCACTCGTATCCGTTGGCATCCTCGCGACAGATCGTATTCTCGCCGCAAGGATTCTGTGCGCAGCTATCCTTTTGTACCGGTTGACACTCCTGGCGTGCATTTCCGAAGAATCCAGGAGTGCACGAACACTGCGCCTGGCGATTAACGACACGGCACTGAGCGTTGACGCCACATGCTCCATCTTCCAAGCACGGATTGGTACATTTTCCTAAGACACACTTCTTATCCAATTCACAGTCTTCGTTCGTTTGACATTCGTATTGCACGCAGCCATCGCGTGGATCTCCTTGGAACCCATCGGGACACAGGCAGAGTGCTTGATGGTCGGCCACCTGACAGATGGCATTCTTTCCGCAAGCTTTACTTCCAGCACATGGATCCACACATTTCCTGTTAACGCACGAACGTTCTCCCGGACAATCAGCATTGCGCTGACATCCTGCCATACATGCTCCATTCTGACAGAGCTGTCCAGCTGGACACGAACCAGGATTACACTTCGTTCGACATCTACCTCGCGAACAGGTTTGTCCACATGCACAGTCCTTAGCTTGTCGGCACTTGTCGGCGCAGAATATTCCTTCCTCGTCACAGTAGCAGTAAGAGTTACACTTCTGCGGCGGAGGTGCGCACGACACCAGTGGATTTCCAAGATACCCATTCGGGCAACTACACTGAACTCCGTGGTTGACTACCGAACATTCCGAGCAAATGCCGCACTGTCCTAGCACCGTGCACGGATCCGTACACTGCTTGTTGATGCAGGCTTGATTGTTCGAACAGATGTTATCCGTCCGGCAACCCGTTTGACAAATCCTATTTTCGCAAATCAATCCATTCGTACACGAGGCATCGCTATTGCACACCGTTCGACATGTACCTCGAATACAGCGTTCATCTGCCAGACAGTTCTGATCGTTTCTGCACGTTGGCATACACGAGTTACCATAACAAGCCATTCCTTTCGGGCAGTCGGTTCTCGTTTGACAGGTTCTCTGCTCTGCTCGGCATCCCGTCAATGGATCCCCAATCAGTGGCGGTGGGCAAGAACACTGTTTTCTATGGTTAACCACCGAGCACAGTGCATTCGTTCCGCAAGCAGTTGGCTCCAAGCAAGGATCGACGCATTGTTGATTCACACACGCCAGCTGGCTAGGACATCCTGCGTCTGATCTACATCCAACCATACATGTCTGTCCCTGACAAACTTCACCGTTTCGACAATCGTCGTCGCGTCTACAGATTGGTTTGCAAGTTCCTCGATCGCATCGTTCGTTGTTCAGGCATCCCTGATCGTTGGCACATACCGGCCGGCACAAATTTTCGATACATGACGTACCTTGCGCACAGTCTCTGTTCTCCGTACACTGCAGTGCCGGAGCTCGGACACATCCGATTTTCGCCGTCGGACTTGGAACCATGCCGTTAATACACGAACAACTAGCACGGTGGTTGACCACCGAGCAAGCTGCACTAGGTCCGCATGGATTCTCCTGACACGGATCTCTGCACTGGTTGGCTCGACAAGTTTCACTCGCACTACAGTCGTCATCCGAATGACATCCGTAGATGCATCGTCCGTTCAGGCAAATGTGTCCAAGGAAGCAGTCGTTGTCCAAGCGGCATGTCACTGTTAAACGAAAATCAAGAATGTTTATACATTGTCACCTTAGCTAATCACAAATGCTGATACTTACACATGCACTTGTTACCGATACACTTCTCGTTTAGTGCGCATTCCTGATCGGCGCTACAGCGTGGCAAGCACATCGATTCATGGCAAGCGGTACCCTCGATGCAGTCAGCATTGGAAGAGCATAAGATCGGAACTGCAGCAAAAATCAAATTGTGTTAGTATCTGTCGATCACGATTCACATAGACTACTTACTTCTTACGCACTCCAGTGCTGCGTCACCGGTAAAGCCGACTGGGCAGGAGCACTGCTTGAAGTGCCCACCCATCAGACATTCGGCGTTCATTCCGCAAGCGTTCGGTTCGTGGCACGGGTTAATACATTGACCCTTCGAGCAGACTTCGTCCTGGTTACACTCTTCAGTGGCAGTGCAAGCAGCTATAGTACGAACAATAAAATCATAAGTTAGTATTCAGTTCAATGCAGATCTATAATAGTGCTGGAAAATAAATGAAAAATTGGAAAATTCGCATGTGGTTGGATTAGGAGAAGTGAAAAATGGGGTTCGAGGGTGAGCTTGATCGACGTGAATTGGTTAAGATCGCTGCGTTTTGGTTGAATCGGTTTAACACCGGAGGTGGTGCTTGAATGAATTTTGTGAATTTCATTAGTGGATCGTTTTGAGGGTTTGTGATTTTGACTTTGAAGTGATTGCTGAGCAGTGAACGAATCATGAATGGAGTGCTATTGTCTGAAGAATTGTTTTGTATTTGTCGTGGAACTCTGGGGACCTGAAACAAACTCACTTGAAAACGACGGCAGCTTTTTCCTAGTTCAACCCCGATAATAAGAAGAAACCCATAGACTTGAGGAAAGAATAGATTAAATCAAGTTTACAACGAATAACGCCATGCAAAAACACTTACGTTTACAGATTTGTCCATAGCAGTACGAATTCTCCGGGCAGTCATTATTTAGCTTGCATGGCAGAGAAAGAGGTTTGCATCCGTTCAGTAGATCTGTAGGATCACCCTCATAGTCACTTCGGCATTGACAGACAGCTTTGTGGTTTTTAGGCTGACATTCAGCGTTCGGGCTACATTCTACCTGTTCACAGACATCCCGACATATTGGTTCTCCGTTAGATTTGTAGCATTCTGCAAACTCGGGGCAGTCAGTGTTCGTTTCACATTCAGCCGCCTTCTTGCAGCCGATCGCATACGGATCCCCTACCAAGCCAGCTGGACAGGAACAGCGATAAGATCCTCGGCTGTTTCTACATTTGGCATTTGGACCGCATGGAGATTCTTTACAGAAATCAATCAGGTTGCAGCCTTGCTTTGGATCACCGGTGAAACCTGGTTGACAATAACACACCTGTTTGTGGTCTTCAGCCGAACATAGTGCATTTGTCCCACAAGGTTCACCCATAAGGCAAGCAATCTTACAAGTATTACTCTCACACGTTTTGTCACTTGAGCAGTCGTCGTCCGATTGACATTCGATTTTCCGACAAGTTCCCGACTGGTCCTGGAAGTAGCCAGGTTTGCAATCACAAACAGCCGAATGCTCTCTAGCTGAGCATTCCGCGTTTCTTCCACACAGCACGCGTCCTGAACAAGCGTTGATACATTCCGAGCGTCCTGTGGCATCTGTGACACAAGTTTCATCAATGTCGCAGTCCTCATCGGAACGACACTTGAACTCTTGGGTACAGATATTGTTCTGACAAAATTGGAAGTCTGGACAGCTGGAGTTTGTTCGGCAAGTCGGTTGGCATACACCCTGGATGCAAAGTTGATCACTGATGCAATCACGCCCACTCGAGCACAACGTGCAGCAAACTCCGGCATTACATTTCGTTCCAGCGGGGCACTGTTGATCGCTGTTGCAATATTGCAATGGCACGCATCCTAGCAGTGGGTTTCCGGTTGTTCCAGGTTGACAAGAGCATATGGCGAGATGATTTTCCGATACGCAATTCGCGTTCTGACCGCACGCATTCGTCAGAGTACATGGTTCAACGCACTTGTAGTTGATGCAGGTTTGGCTAGCAGAGCAATCGTTGCTCTCGGAACATTCGACTCTCAAGCAGCTAACCTTCGGATCCCCTCGAGAATTCGGCGCACATTCGCACACGGCTTCGTGAGCAACCGCCGTGCAAACTGCATTTTCTCCACAAGCATTTTCAATCGTACAAGGATTCTTACAGCGAGACTTCTCACAGACTGCCGTTGTTGGGCAATCGGTATTGGCAATACATTCATCTGGATTCCTGCATCCGGTGTTGATTGGATCGCCAACAAGACCTTCTGGGCAGGAACAGGTGTAACTTCCGGGCTGATTCTGACAAGTTGCGTTTGCGTGGCATGGATTTACACGGCATTCGTCCACATCTTCACATCGTCCTCCGACAACGTCGTAGCCTTGCAGGCAAGTACAGCTGGCCTGGTGGTTCTCGATATGACACGCTCCCTTCCCGCAATCAACCAACTCGCAAGGATTGACACATTTGTTCGTTTCGTCCTGGCATTGTCTATCCTGCACACAATCATCATCGGCCAGACATTCAACGCGGAAACAACCAACGGCAGTATCTCGAGCATCGCCAAGATGACCTGATGGACATTGGCATTCTGCGACGTGATCGATAATGTGACATTCGGCGTTTGCTCCGCATTTAGTCACCTGACATGGATCCGTACACTTTCCTTCAACGCATGCCAAATTTTCCGCACAATCACCGTTTTTGTAGCATTGGTTCGGCAGACGACAACCTGGATTGGAGTATGCATCTCCAACGGTTCCTTCAGGGCAACTGCATCGATATGAACCTGGTATGTTCTCACATCGAGCCGTTGCATGGCAGGGACTGTCTGTACACTCATCAATATCCGAACATCCGAACGGAGTGCCAATGAATCCCTTCATGCACTTACAATTGCTTGCAATGCAGGCTTTTTGCGATGGGCAATCGGAATCCGTACTGCATCCTGGTTGACACGTTCCAGCTTCATTGCAGACCTCTCCTGGTAGGCAATTATTGTTGGTATAGCAAACCTTTGCACACATATTGTTATGACATCTTTCTCCAACTGCACAACCGGTGGTCTCTGAGCATGGTAGGTTGCACTGGTTGGCAATACACATGTGTCCTGAAGCGCATTCTGCCGAACTAGTGCAAGTCGAAGGCATCCTGACGCATCCCTGTTCCGGAATCGGGTTTCCTTCGAACCCTGGAGGACACTTACAACTGGTCACATGCTTTACAACGCTACAGATAGAGTTCGGACCGCAAGCACCTTCCGTTTCGCATGGATCTCGGCACTTGCTGTTGATACAAGCCTTCGAACTGTCGCAATCTTTGTTGCTTCTGCATCCAATCAAACAGCTATTGCCAATGCAAGCTTGTCCGCCATTACACTGACTGTGGCTGGAGCAAGGTTGTGTACATATCCCATTGACGCACTTTTCTCCGCCTGAGCAATCGTTGTTGTTGCGACACACCACCATACATTGACCATTTTGACAAACGTCTCCTCCGCAATCCAGATCATTCAGACATTCGTTAACGAGACGCACGCACCCATCTCTCGCCGAACCGCTAACTCCCGGTACATACTTGGTCTTACAACTGCATACAGGTGTGCGGTTGACGACAGCACATTGGGCGTTTACGCCACAGGCATTAGTACACGGATCAACACATTTACCATTCACGCATGCTGTATTTTCCGGACATTGAAGATCACCATTCGGACAGTCACCCTCAGGGCGGCAACCCGTCATCGGATCTCCTACTTGTCCAACAGCGCATTTGCAGATGTGTCCCTCGGGTGCTGCTTCGCAGGTTGCAGACGGATGACATGGGTTGGGTTCACAAGATCTTAGTGGTGTACATTCTACGTCAGCGATTGGGTTAGCCTTGTACCCCGGAGGACATTGACACACGGAACGATGATTCTCGGCAATACATACGGCATTGTCTCCACAGGTATCCTCCTGACAGACATCGTAGCACGTGTGAGTCATTCGGTTGCACATTTGCGTTGGCGGACAATCGTTGTTGTACACGCAGGGCACGGATTGACAACCTTTCGTCAAATCGTATGGATCACCCGCGTATGAACCCGGTGGACATTGACATTGGGTATTATGATTGTTGCTGATACAAATAGCATGAGGACCACACTGAATATTTTCGCAGGCTGGTCTACACGACAATGCTCCCTTGTACGTGACACAAGCATCCGATTCAGAACATTCCGCACTGGTAAGACATTTGTTTTGTAGCTCTGGACGACATCCGTTTCTGTCGTTGGGATTTCCAGTATAACTCGGCAGACACTGGCAGCTGCCGCGGTGATTCGAGGATACGCAAACCGAATTGGCCGGACATGTGAACTCCGCGCAGACTGGTGTACATTTGAGAATCCCCAGTTCATCCTGTCGACAGGCAGCGACCTGATGGCACTCCTCATCATTGGTACAATCTGGTATAGATGGTTTCTCGCAAGCAGATGATACCGGGTTCCACAAGAATCCTTCCTGACAATGACAGATGGGATTGTTATTACCGTCTGGTTTGCATACTTCGTTTACTCCGCATTCTACCACACTGCATGGATTTACACATGAGCGCAGCCCGGTTTCTGTAAGGGCGCATATTTTTCCTCCGGCACATTCCGAATCGTCCTTACAACCTTCCAGTAGCTTGATTTCCTTTTGACATCCCAGCGTCAGATCCCCTGGATTGCCATTGTAGCCGTGGGCACAGATGCAGGTAGACCTGTGGTCATTTGAAACGCAGAGAGCATTTGGACCACATTGCAGTTTACTACATGCATCGACGCATTTCCGCACTCCTTTTCCGAATTGGAAACAGATTTCCTTATTCTGACAGTTGGCATCGTTATCGCATTGTCCTTCCGGAATGCATCCGCTTCGCAGATCTTTTGGGTTACCCGTGTAACCGGCTGGACAGACACATTTCCCGGAATCGCAAGCAGCTCTTGGTCCACAGTTGATCTTGGCGCACTGATCTTTGCAGGTGCCCCGTTCGCAGGTAAATCCTGGAGGACACTGCACTTTCTTTCCACACTGGCAATTTCTTGGATTCTCGCATACATTCCTCTCCACTGGTGAACAAATGGTGAACGGGTTTCCAGTATGACCAGGTTTGCAGCGACAATCGAAGCTTCCTGCTGTGTTGATACAAACGGCTCCCTCACCGCATATATTATTAGTGGAACACTCGTCAATGTCGTTACACTGGACATATGGATTGCCGACGAAGCCCGTAGGACAAATACATTCCACGGAGCTGAGCGTTTCACGGCACAATCCATTTCGACCACACTTCATCTGACTGCAGCTATTCCGCGACTTGGACTCGCAGATTCCGTACGGGTTTCCGGTCGTGCCCGGATTACAAACACAGCTATTTTGCACGATACCATACTCACAGTGAGCGTTCTGACCACAGTCTGGGCTGCAACTAGGCGTTGTGATAGCTGTAAAGAGAGATTTATTAGATTATCGTTCGGAAGATTGTCTTACAACACTTGAACAACTTACGTGGCATACAAAGCATTTCGGGATTACCAACAAAGAACGGTTCACAAACGCATTTCCCTGAAGCGTTGTCACAAGTGGCACCAACTCCACAAACGACTCCATCGCATTTCTGTTTGCAACGACCGTTGATACATACTTGAGGCTCGGTGCACGGACGGTTCGAGGAACACTGGTCAGTGCTGCAAGATCCACCTGGGAAAGGATTACCAACCTCTCCCGGAGAACATTTGCAAGTCGGGCCACTGTTGGTAACTATACACATGGCACCTTGTCCGCACATATAGCCGCTGCATTCTGAAAACCGGAAGGAATTTTAGAATATTTATCGCCCCTGATCACTATTAAAAGTACTTACGAGACACGCAGTCACCATTAGGACCTTCGACAAATCCTACTCGACAGCGACACCATGCAGCGTGCTTCTCCGGCTCACAATAGGCGTTGGTTCCACAGAGCAAGCTGCCACAGGGACTGACACACGTTCCCCGCTCACAAGCCAAGGTATCAGCGCAATCTTCGTTTCGACGACACTGGCTTTTGACCGAGCCTTCCTCCAGAATACAACCGCCCTTGTATGGATCACCCACCATTGATTTGGGACAAACGCACTTGTATCCTCCCTTTTGGTTGATACACTGCGCTCCGTAAGAACAAGGTGAGTTTGCACAATCATCTTCATCCACGCATCCGGTCAATGGGTCACCTTTGTAGCCGACCTCACACATACACTGCGGAGGATCGGTTGGAGTACAGCGAGCATTGATTCCACAGGGGAACCTTTCGCAAGGGCTCTTACATTTGTTCCCATCGTAGGCATCCATGTAGAATGGTGGCGGACATATGCATTCTCCTGGTTGAACGCATTTTTCGTTAGCGCTGCACTCGCGATCTGCTGAACACCGCTTCTGTGCGAGAGCACAAAGCCCGTTGTACGGATCTCCGGAATATCCTAGCGGACACTTACATTCGTAACCGCCAATGGTGTTCATACAGACGGCATCATAACCGCAAACTTGTTGGTTTTCCGTACACTCGTCAATATCTTCACATCTACCGTCCGACTGCGAGCGGAAACCTTTTGGACAAGCACAATAGCTTACGCCACCGGTGATTGAGATACACTCAGCTCCACCAGGGCACTTGCCATTAGGTGCGCAACTGTCCAAAACACAATTTCCATCCATAAACTTGTACGGCGCTGGACATTTGCATTCCAAGCTGTTACATTCATCGCACGACATGAAAGGATTTCCGTTGAATCCGGATGGACACTGACATTCGTAACTTCCAGGTAGGTTCTTGCAGATTGCATTGACGCCACATGCCGGCTTGTTCGGGTCTTTGCATTCATCAATATCCTTGCAGACGCCCTTGGCATTTCGCTTGTAGCCTTGGCCGCAGATGCAAACGCTGTTTCCACTGTAAGCGTCCTGAATGCATTTTTCTCCGGTCGGGCATGGATTCTGTTCATTGCAAGTGTTAAGGGCAGATTTGGAGCAACCTCCCGAATAGGGATCACCTGAACTCCCTCCAGGGCACTGACAAGTGTAGCCACCGGGAAGGTTGCTGCATACGGCTCCGCTTGGACAGGGATTTGCGGCACATTCGTTGATATCAACGCACTGTCCCGGTTGACCGGTGAATCCTTCACTACATAAGCATTGTGCATCTCCATTAACCAACATGCAATGCGAGTTTGGTCCGCAAGCGGAATTCTCGCAAGGATGTCGACAATCATTTCCAATGTTCGGTTCCGGACAGAGGCACCGTTTTTGTGCATCGCAAATGGCATTACCTGGACAGTCGTGATCTTTGGTACAGGTTACAATGGTGATACACCTTACAGTAGGATCGGGATCGGCGATGGAACCTGATGGACAGGAACATTGATGCGAACCGTCTACATTCTTGCAGATGGCATTCTCTCCGCAGGCGTTTGGTTTTGAGCATTCGTCTACATCGTAACACTGACGTTTGGCGTCACCGGTGTACCCCGGAGGACACTGGCAGCTGTAGCCACCTGGTTGATTTGAGCAAACCGCATTAACACCACACCGCCCGTTGGGTCCTTGCGCAGGATCGCACTCGTTGATATCAACACAACCGGCAGAAATGTCGGCAGGGTTGAAAGTCCATCCTTCGTCACAAATGCAGAACGCTTCTTGTCCTTCTGCCTTGCAGTAGGCATTTTTGCCGCACTTGACATCCGCACACGGTGTCTTGCAGTGTATCCGAGGGGGCGTTCCGATGAATCCAGCTTCACACTCACATCTAAACGAACCCGGTGTGTTAATGCACACTGCAGATGGTCCACAGATTTGGCTGTCCATCCTACATTCGTCAATGTCTATGCAGCTGGATCCTTGTGGCTCGAAGCCGTCCTGACAGAAGCACTGTCCCTCGATACATTCGGCATTGTTGGCGCAGTTGAAGTTGCTGCTGCAAAGTATGTTAACGTCGGCCTGCTCGCAGGCGATCGTCGGATTCGGTTTTCCCGCATACCCCTGCGGGCAGAGGCAGGTGTAACCAGGACTGGCATTCTCGCAGACAGCGTGATTGCCGCATGGTTTGTCGGACGCCGTGCACTCATCGATATCGACACATCCCCGAAATGGATCTCCCGTGTATGCTGGCTTGCATGAGCAAACAAAGCTACCGACCGTATCCGTGCATATCGCATTTTCCCCACACGGATTATCAAGGCATTCGTTTACATCTACAATGAGAAATGTGTGTTTTGTGTGTTGGTGTTGGTGGATTAGTGTGTTGGTGGCAAGCGGAAGACCATCGGCGAGGGCATACTGATTGGTTCTTGACACAATTTGATCTATTTATCGTCGAACCTGCAGTCGAGCCGTCGCCGTTGGTCTTCAAATGTAAAACTTAATGTAATCGAAATAAGCATTTTGGAAACTAACTTTTGCAAAACAGTTCACCACGTCCTTGGAATCCTTGCGGGCACAAGCATTTGTATGATCCAGGAAAGTTGATGCACTTGGCATTCTCTCCGCAAGCGTTAGACTTAGCACACTCGTTAATGTCGATGCACTCGCCGCCCGAGTCGGACATTCCGGACGGGCAGCTGCACCGGAAGCCGCCGGGAGTGTTGGTACACTGGGCACCCTCGGCGCATGGGTTATTTGAACACTCGTCAATATCTGTGTCACGCATGTGTGTATGTGTGAGTGAGAGTGTGGTCGGTGTGATCGTGAGTTTGTTTTTTTGTGTGGGCGGCCGCATTTTGGTGATGGTTAGTAGAATTTAGGCATCCGTTTGCGAACCCGGAATAAGCGCCGTCAAGCATTTAGGTGACGACGGCAGGTGATGGCGATCGTGGCGAGATGAAAATGAGAAAATGAATGTTAATGTTAGTAATCGTCGTAGGGCATCATCAATATGGGTTAATGTGAATTAGCTTCCTCTTGCTCACTATACCGCTTTTCGGGGGTGGTGGTGGTGGAAGAGTGAAGCATGGTCTCAACTGTAACTCTAAAATGCAATCCGTCTCATGTAGTTTGATGAGCTATACCGATCACTCATCGTGTCGCAATTACCTTGACAGTCCGTTATCGGATCGCCTTGAAAACCGTCGGGACATTGGCATCGAAAGCTCCCGACGTCGTTCCTACACAGTGCATTCCTTCCGCATGGCGAGCGTGTACATTCGTCAAAATCGACGCATCCCTGAGCCGAGCGTGCATCCCCATCGAACCCGGAGGGACAGTCGCAGCGATGACCGCCCTCAAAGTTCGTACATATGGCACCTGGTCCGCAAACTCCCGGCTGGGCGCACTCGTCAATATCTGTGCACCCATTGTACGGGTCACCGTAGAAGCCGTCCTTACACAGGCACGTATAGTTACCGGGATAGTTGACACAATCGGCGTTCACTCCACACGCTTGTGGATCGAGACACTCGTTGACGTCTGAAGAACATGCAGAAGAAGAAAAAGAAGAAACGAAGACAGCATTATGACATGCGAAACGGGCAATACGACACGCTAAATTGAATTATTATTCTGAATGGACAACAGGTAGGTAGGTAGCAGGAGGTACTGAACGATCGTAATATCTTTACACATTGATTCCCGGTTCGATTTCGATGCGCTTCCAAGGAGGTCTCGCGGTAGGCAGCAAGAACGTGATTCTTTGTGATTGGGTTTGTTGATTTCTTCGAACCGCAGCGGCGTGGCGGCACATCAGTACTTAGGTAGCCAACAACAATTGCCAGGATGAGTTCTAAGAATAGGATGCAAATGCATAATCATGCACCGGAGGAGAAAACAAACATCAAGTGCATAAAATGAAGCATAAATATTGCGAATGTGTATAATTGCGTTTTTACATCAGTTTGCTGTTATTATGGCAGCATTGGGCTCGGGTGAAAGGGGACATGGTGTGGTGTGTCGTTTTGCTTGCTCACGGATTCTTTTGTGTTTATTCAAACAGAAAGATGGTGCACCTTCAGTTCAGGATGCCGTCTAGACTCGACTCTGAGCAGCACGAGTCGACGATCAGGATGAAACAGAGGAAGATGTTTGATTTTATGATTGGAAATTATACGCATTGTGAGTTTGTTATTCCGATCTGATGCTAATGTTTAGTGAGAACAGGAATTTTTCAATTGTGTTCTGCCATACATTGCTGCAGGGGGAATGGTGATGTCATAGTAACATGCAAGATTTTTGTAGCATATATTTTAATTAAATTGTAATGTAACGACTTGACTAAACCAAGTTCAAAACGACTCGTACGGAACTGAAATAATTTCATCCGAAACTGAATTTGAACTTCCTAGACTCGGCATCCCATCCTTTGGAACGTAGTAAAAATCAGTAAATGTAATTTAATATGCCACAGCATCTGAAATTGGGACATTCCGCACTATAATATTAAGGAAAACGGATCAAACTTTTTAAATACACTTCATTCCACAAACGGAAAAATGCGTTGCGCAAGTGAGGATAAAATTTGCACTTGACATGTTTTATGCTTTTTCATCTTCAATCGTTTACATTTGTAGGATCTTTTCATCTCTGAAAAAGGAAATTTGATGATTTTACCTTCTTTGATAATTTTTATTCCTGTTCCCACAAATGCTGGAAACGAAATTTTAAATCCGGAGTGATCCGCGATTGGGGCGCATCTGCTCTTGTTAACAACGATTTGAATTGATGATTTCTCACGAATAAAAGCTCATTCTTGCACAACACAATCAGGTAAGGGAATACCATATAAACATTGAATGATAAATAAGAGATTATTCAGGCAAAAATATGCCTTTTCAGCTAAAACATTGCAGATTTAGCTTCTAATCCGCTCAAATTGTTTGTTGGGTGATTTTGTTCATGTATCAAGTGTAGAAGCAAACAGTACAGTGACCTGCAAATTCTGTGGACCGGAAAATTCCAGGGAAATCCAGAGAAAACACCGATATGAACCAAGTATGCATCCAAATACAGTAGCACATTTTTCACAAAGAATATTTATTTGATAATTGCGATTGTTTTTCAGATACTACCAGCGATTGCTTGTGCTTTTTATGCTGGGATCAATTTCCGTACGACATCTCCACATGAATAGTCAACTGTGGAAAGGCCACTCTATACAAATTATACTATTAATAAAACAGAGTAATATTATTTTAAAGATATTTTATTTCAAATTAACAAAAAGCAGGAAAATGCAAAAATCAAAACTTTTGATTCACGGAACAGTTCAATAAAAAATCACCGAAGCGTTCAGTTATTTTGACAGTTCATGAAAAAATATGTTAACCGAACGTTCGGTACTGATTTTGACCTGATTACCGAACGTTCAGTTGTTGGATGTTCGGTAAAAAATTACCGAATACGGTAATTATTTCTTAGAGTGTAGAGCATCAACTTTTGGTCATATTTTTATGATTATTTCATGTAATTTTTGCACAGAAAACAATTAAGAATGTCTCGACTATTGTTTCCTGTGTATGAATTACGTACGTAGAAAAAACGCACTAGCAGAAAGTTCAAAATTTTTACCAATAGTTCTTAGTTGGAAATGCAAATAATAGACAGGACATTTTATATGATAGATGAGGGAACGAAAAGTATAGTTGATAGCTCCGTTATAGTGCGGCAGTGTGAAAATTGTATATATAATGTAGAAAGCGAGCAAAGGGCATTTCCTTTACGAAACTCATTCGTTGATGAGGGATGGTGAGGGGTCCTCCCCCCCTCCCACCACTGGGAAAAGCGATGGTCGCTTATTTGCTCATGTATCTCCGAAGTGTGGAAACAGTTCTATCGATTGTTTCACACTCAAGTCGCCATCTGACGTAAGCATTTGCTCTACCCGTTTCGTGCCTTCCTCAAAATTGGCCTTTGCTCGCTTTCTACACGGCGAATGAGAACGACTCAAATTTGAGTTTAGTTCACTCATAATCGCCAAAAGTGCAGTAACTCAGCGATGAGTATATTTGTCTCATGGTTTCCTGTGGAAAACCTAAAAAATCTGCCGGAAAATGAGGAAATTGACGAAAATTTTATTCAGTCTCGGAGTAGTACCAGTAGACTGAGTGAATCCAATCTTTACTTTTCTCAAATTCGGGAAAACAAAAACGGTACTTTTGGCGATTATTAGGAAAACGGTACTTTTGGCGATTATTAGTGAACTAAACTCAAATTTGAGTCGTTTTCATTCACCGTGTACTTTCTATATACAAGCGGGGCCGGTGGTGTAATGGTAAGCGTGATTGCCTCTCACCCCAGCAGGTCTGGGTTCAATCCCAGTCGGCACCGCCTGGATGTGCTGAGGCATAACATCAGCGATCACGCCTTCCTTCGGAAGGGAAGTAAAGCCGTTGGTCCCCGGTTCATGAGTTGATGGGTCGATAGGTAGGGTCCAGGTGTGGGGGCTGCCTTCCTGGCGTCGGTATCACTGGTGCTTAGCACGGAAAACAAGATAGACGTAAAACAAATCAAAGGAAAACTACTTACTATATACAATTTTCACACTGCCGCACTATAACGGAACTATCAACTCTATACTTTGATCTTCTCATCTATAGTATAAAACGACCACTGTAAGTCTGCTATTTGACGTATAGTATCTCGTAAATCGTTAAAATCACGCATGACGTAATAAATACATGATTAGTTATAGTACAAAAGCTCTTGTTCTACGATTTCATGGTTTTAAATTGGTCAAAAGATTGCATTTTTCATTATTTTTTTTTATAAAAATGAAGATTTAGAATTCGAAATATGTCTCCACTAAGAAGCAGATACATCAAGACTTTAGCATGCATGTTAGAGTGGTTCAAAATATCGATTTCGCTTCACCAGATTAATCGATTTCAAATCAGGCCATTTTGTCAAGCTTCTGCATTCCTGTTGTTTGCGGTGACATCTATCAAAAACTACTCATAATCTGTTTTACGTTAATTGTTCACAGAGGACAGTGCAGTGCAAAATATGTCTGGTACCTCTATATATGCATTTAGATTAATATTCGAAGTCCCTCCTTTTTTACACGTTCTGCACACTAAATAGCTCACCCCTCACAGAATTTCCCGCCGATTTTTATCTATGGGACATGGAAGAAAATATCTTTTGTGCAGAATATGCAAAAAAGGAGGGACTTCAAATGTTAATCTCAATGCATATATAGAGGTACCAGACATGTTTTGTAGTGACAGGTACTCTATTTTGTAATCTGTGAAAGGGAAATCACAAATCAAATGTCATCAAAATACATGGCATCTTGAGAGATTGAGCTCGTGAGAGAGAATTTTCTCTCTCAAATTTGAATTTTTTGGCTCTCTGGAGACTGGTAGTAAAGCAGGTAAAATGTATGGGGAAAATTAATTTTTATTTAATTGTAGCTTGTTTAACAATAATTTCCTGGGAAAAAGTGAACGACAAAGTCCCTGACTAATTTATTTAGGTTGTCGTTTACTTTTGTTTTAAATGAATATGCACCGAAAGTGAATTATTCCCACTTCTCTCAAATTCTATATGGGGATTTTTATCACTTCATACCAGCGAAACAGCGCCATCTCTGTGCAAAATGGCCGGACAATATGCTTAATTTTCATTTGGATGCGAACTCATGAATGAAGTTTGAAAGTTTTGAAATTTTGAAGATGCAGCAAAGTAAATTGAGCTTTTAGATTCTGTATCAGTTCCCCATTGTGTTTGAAAATCAAGCTCCTTCTGCCTTACTTTGTTTTTTTTTGCCGTTGAATATCGGCTTCGGAGAATGATTGGAGGGAATATTCAAGGTGGAAGTAAATAAAAGTAAATAATCACAATGAAAAATGACTTGTAAGGTCTAAAACACTTTTAATAAAGGTATTGTCAGTAATTTAGACTTTTCTAAATAATTAACAAGCTATTGATGATTTAAAATTGAAAAATGTTTTCAAATTATCGATAAAACTTGGAATATTGCATGGGAATGTAATTTGAAAGCTGTTGAAAGAATTTCAATAGTCTAATTTGATTCGAGTCATACGATAAGCCACTAATTTTATATGCGGTATTTTGAATGATGAATGAATTATAAAAACGAACGGCTACTTATTTGATCCCTTTTCTAGACAGCTTATTTTTTATCCAGTCCTCACCTTACAATTATTGCGTTTCCCTTTCAAACTGCCGAAGAATTAATTTACAGATCATCTCTCCTATATTTGCCCGCATACGGACGTGAGATGGCAATCATCCCGGTGACTCCTCCCAACCCAGAACCGATATTTATCTTGTTCAATCAAGATTGAATAAATTGAAATCTGAAGAAAATTGCACGCACGCAAGCCTCCCTTATCCTTCGGGTGCAATCATGGTCAGATGACCTTGAATTCCGTGCCGCCGCTCCGTTGGAGAAGCTCATTGTTGATCACCAAATCTCCCTCTGGTTAATGCTGGTCAAGAATCGATTCCGCCCGTTGACTAGAGAAGAACAATGGGAATTATTGTTGGTACGAACGGTTGTTCCTGTTGATAACAATGCCTCGTTCGTTCTGATGTCCCCTCCCCCGTATGACAGTGAAAAATCATCGCTGATAGCAATAATGCGAAAGGGACGAACAGTACCGCTCTCCGTGTTGATCGCTGCCTACCGATAAAGAACAATGGAACTCTTAGCGCGGGCACAAGATCATAAGATGTCGTCCGCGGACAGGATCATAAATTTCTTTCGGTTCGTCGAAAGGTGTTGAAATTTAATAACTTCTATTCACGGTTTACGACCGTTGGATAGGGCCGTTAGGAAAATGGCCAGGAAGTGCTGTTTCTTTCGATGGGTTAACAACAGATTATCGCCATTAGATAACGGTGTGTCGGGTGACAATGTCATACTAGAAGTACCGCTGCGGGAGAAATTTATGGGTCCCTTTGGTGTACGATGCACCAAATGAGTAATGGGCCCATTATGTGAAATTGATACAGCCGATGCAATTTGTTTGCCTACATTCAGAGGTCACGGTTCAGATATTGTTCCGAAGCTTCCCCTGCTACTGCTGCTGGTGCTGAGCTGAAAGGTGAAGATCGTGTTGGGACTTACCTGTACACCGTTCCTCTCCGTCGCCCTCGAATCCTGGCTTACATTTACACACAAAATGCGCTGGTAAGTTGCAGCATTCTGCGTTCTCGACGCATCGAGCGGCGATCGCGGGATCTTGGCATTCGTCAATATCTGAAAAAAAAAGAGAGGAAGATCATCAATAACTGATCGAATTTCTATCCAATTTTCTCCTAGATGTACAGGAGAGCGTAACAAGCAACAGGTATCGGTAATTTCTTTCAATTCCCACTTCACATATACCCTTCCTGGGCATACAATAGTTATCATGACTAGACGTGAATGGAGAACTAGCACATTGATTCCTTGGGCTGAAGCCAGTAATTGAATTTAGTGAATAGGCACATTTTATTGTGGTCGCAAATTGACTTTCATTGAGTGTGGTTTCGAGATAACTTTACAGTTGGAGGTGGTCGGAAGGTAATGATGCGGGAGATAGTATGACAGGGATTTGTGTTGGAAGCCGTTGAGAGATAAATAGATCGATAAAGGGTGATTTCCGTTCAATGGACTCGGTGGCTGCTTATAATAAGACTTACAATGCCCGTTTGCTATTAGCGAGAGCGATAATATTGGTACTTTGTAGAGCAAGGTCTTTTGGCTGGTGAATGACCAGCAATGTTAGTAAGAGTATTTTTTTGCGTTGTAATAAATGACTATCTTTTTTGATCAAACAATGGACCAGAAACTGTTTCTTGGGCTTACTGGAGAAGCTTTTGATTCAATCTTGTCGCTGTATGCTTGATACATATTCCAAGAACAAATTCGGTACAACTAGTTTTATATCCGTCAGGTAGGCTTGCTCAGATCGCTTCCACTGGTATTGAGTTCGGGCCTTTACGGCTTTGATGACAGACCTGCTGTCCAATGAACTTGTTATCTTTACTTGTTGGAAGTTTTATGAGCTACCACTTTTGAAACGATGGTTTTAAACCCCAAACTGATCAATTCATAACATTTTAAAATATCAACCTAGCTTAACGTACATAGATCAAGTAGATTGAATAATGTCGTGATCTTTTCCAAGGTCTTGCTCGTTGAATCTTTATTTCAAAGCTATCAACCCAGTTTCATACCATACGAAATATGAAAACATAATAAACACATACTTTCACTTAAAAGCCAACCTAGCGCCTGAAAACTCGAGGCATGAATAGCTAGTCTGATCCGCCCTTTCGTGCGATGAACGCTTTGCTTACCAACCCAATTTCCCGCCATGACCCAGAAACCTTGCGTCAACAACAAGCGCAACCCTGACCCAGTTAAGCTAATCCACCCGCTCCTAATGATGCCCCGGAACAAAATTAGATCAACCACCACCGCCCGTCCCCGGAACAGGTTCAAAACCTCATCGCCAGAACACGCTTCTCCGTTACAATTACGTAAAACAAGCACTCCGAGCACTGGAGTTGGTACGCTGCAAAGAACTTCAGCGAAAATACGAAAAACGACTTAAAACAAACTGTTTATGGCGTTTGATAATCATCTTTGCTTAACTCGAGCCGTGGCACATTTCGACCTCGACGACGACGACGACGATCCGTCCCGACCTAACGAGGCTACAAAACGGTCTTGGATGGTTGTGCACGTAGGCGGATTATGAGATGCTCACACGACGATGGCTTGGGCTTTTGTTCTTCACCTTCTCTCCTCCGCAGCCCTTGATGATGCTCATATGGAGCCTTCCGCCTGCTCTTTCTCGAACCGGGACAAATGGGATTTGTATGCAAATATCAACCTTCTCCTCCCTCCCCCTCTACTCCATGGCAAAAGGTACGCGATGATGATAAACGTTTCGAGATGCAGATTGTAGTTTCACTGCCCTTCTTGCAGCGTCCGAGAAGGATAGAGAGGTCAACTGTTTGCTCCAGTTCTGTGTGTTACTGCCACCGCACAACTGCCAGACAATGCGAGCTCGTTGACCCAGAAAGACTCCTCTCGGCAAGATGACCGTGCAAGATGCGGATTTTCATGCATAGATGGTGTTTCGGCGCTGTGAGTGACGTGACCCATCATAAGGAGAAATAATGAGTCTTTTTTTCACCTCGCACCAATTGGCTGATGATTGGCCGTGCAGTGGTGCTGATGACGGAAGCAAGGGTGCGAAAGCAATTTTATCCGGGTAACCCGGCCTGTTGGCTCTGGCTAGAGCCATCATGTGCCGCTTAATTATGCTGAAGCAGGAAACCAATCAATCGAGAGACAATTTGCTTTTTTTTATGACGTTTTGGTGAACTCATTAATGGGACATGACAACTGTCATCTGTCCCGGTCAAGGTTGGAATTTCCCGGAGAACTGGAAGCGTGCTACGTTACGTGGAAAGCTTATGTCATGGTCACAAACTTCTCTATGATTTATTTGGTGATTCTCCAAATTTGATAAAACCTGGCTGAAAATTTGACTCAAATGAGTTCGAATTGTGGCTGCATTTTTCCATCGTCGTTCACGTCTCACGCTTTTTAAAATTTTCCTGCTTAGCATGTTGTGGGTCTAAGAACCATCAGAATAAGTTCATTGGATCACGATGTTCAGTATACCTCAATGTTAAATACGAGGGTCTCACGCATGAAGAAAAGGGAGCCAGAGGATATGTCTTGAGAACCATACTCCCACTGGAAGGCAGACGATGATAAATGCAGATGGTATTGAACCTTGGAAATCGATACAAGATATAGTAGCGCTGCCTTGACTCAAGCTTTGAATGGTGGAGAGGAAATGAGGGGTGAGGGATGATACTCAGACATAAGGTCATTTGTGATTTTCGTCCATCGTGAAAATTTTCGTGGAAAACATTTTTCAGTTTATATTATATTTGGTTTGCTGAATTTTCAAAGTTCGTGATGTCCGGGAAAATCCGAAAACTGTAACTAAAGTCAACTCACATTTTTTGAATTTTTGTTCCGTTCATATGATCATAAACTATACCTGTGGGCGAAATTTCCTAGCATTCTGAAAACGTTTGACTCAAACCTGTGTAGTTTTAAAAAATCCCCATGAGCATGAATGCATGATGACAATTCGTACTTGCTACTCCGCAATTGACCAGGGAAAGGATTGTTAGTTCGACAACCGTTGTTAGTAGAGACCAAGTATTCCCCTGCATCTCCATGACTGTCACTGGATGGTCGTTTGGAAAGTGATACAATCTTTTAATGCTTGATTAGCCAACAATTCGACGCTATAACTCAGTGGGATTGAACCCACGATTCTCAGCTCAGAAAGCAAAAATAGTAGCCATTAGGTCGCCGAGCCCTTTATATCACAGCAAACCGCTGCGACCGACGATCGTTTAAGCCCAGCGAATAAAGCTATTAAAATGAAAGCAGCACTAAACTATATTGTCGACCCATACGTCATATTTTATTTTTTTACTTTTTTCCGCATAGTTTCGACCGAGTTCTATTGGTAGCGATTTTCTTTTCTTCGACTTGAAAATGTGATCGTGTTTAGAAAGAGAAGCAGTAAAAAAAAATCTGTTCAGTAAGCAAAAGATGTATCCAAGTCCCTCATATCACTAAAAACCACAACGACCGTTACGGCGTGAACAACGACGGTCACGCAATGTGACACTTTGTTTAGATGAGTTTTAGCCGTAGGCTACACAGCAAAAAAATAATTTTGATATCACGTCAAAGTGGATGCACTACAATCATGTCGAAAATATGGTGTAATATTACTTGCTAAAAAGGACAAAATTATCATTAATACAATGCATGAACTGACATTACGCTGCTTTTACTGCATTTGTTTATTTATGTGGTCATAAAAATTACATGAAATTTTCGACATGATTGTAGTGCATCCACTTTGATGTGATATCAAAATTATTTTTTTGCTGTGTAGTTCATCTCCGTAAAAAAAATGACAACTTTACATTAAGATCTTGAAGGATTTAACTTGCATTTCCAATTAAGATCGATGACGTGGCATCTCAATTGACCAGTTCCACGCCAACTGACCTCTCCGAATTCCATACAACTTCACATAAATGTTCATTGTTCGCATTGAGGCAATGAACCATGTTGTGCAGGAATTCGAACATTTTGCCTCATGGCCAATTTTTGAAAATAGCGTATTAGTTTTTTTCAATAAATCATAGCATGAAAACGGCTCATCTAATCGAAATGGCGTCTGAGGCAAAGTTGTAGGAAAATTAATTGTTTTTTTTTTCAGAAATAATACACACTGAAAAAAATTAAAACATTTCGTCAGAAATAAAAGAAAAAATCTGTTGAATAATTCAATAACAAAAAAAGTAAATTTTTAAGATCTTTCAATTTATGAAATGAACACAATGGACACTTTAAAATTGACCAAAATTGTACAACATCAACTATTAGAACAACATTTGATCTTATTTTCCGCTAATAATTTTTTATAGTTTTCATGCATAAAAATTGTACTCGAAAAAAATGCAAAACTTTCTTTTGTGTATAACTTTTTATTGCACCAATTTAGTCTAGTTTAGAGTGTAATGTTTACAAGTGCAAAATCTCGTCACAATCTGTCAAGTGGTTATCGAGATGAATTCCAAGCAAGAAGTGCTTCGACAAAAAATTATGGGAGCGGTCGTGGAAAATCCAGGCCAGTCCCACAGGTGGGAACAGTTTGGAATCGACAATTCGACCGTGTCTCTTGTGGTAGAATTGTTCAAGGAGACTCAGACAACTCAACGGCGAGCTGGCAGTGGAAGAAAAGCGAAGACGTCCGACCCCGTAAACACAAGGAAGGTGAGGGATTACTTCAAGCGCAATCCAAACCTTTCGATTCGGGACGTGGCCTAGAAGGTCAATTAATCCGTCTGGTTCGTCCAGCAGAAAAAGCGGGCCGGACTTTATGTTTTAAAGGTAAGGAAGGTGCCTAACCGAACCGGTAAACAGAATACGGTGGCCAAATCCCGCGCCAGGAAGCTGTAGCGCGAGTGGTTGGTGTAGCCGAAATGCATCGTAATGGACGACGAGACGTACATTAAAGCGGACGCCAAGCAGATCTCCGGCCTGGAGTTTTTTGTAGGCAAGTCCCCCGGATGTTCCGGACAAGTTCCGGAAGAAGAAGGTGGACAAATTTGCCAAGAAGTACTTAGTGTGGCAGGCGATCTGTGGGAGCGGCAAAT